CCTTACCTCCTGTACTCTCTCTCTGGCCCTGGACTTGCATTTTAAACAGGACTGCTCTATAGGATAATCTTCTCCATTGCCGTTCTGGAGGATGTGATGGATCCATCAGGACGTCGGAGGGCAGTCATCGTGGTCTTATAGTTGGCGAAGGACAGGCGGGCCTTACGAATACTTTTCCCGGCTTCTGCCGCATCTACCAGTACTTCTGCTCTTCTCTCTTTGAGGTCTTCCTTGATCGCATCTCTGCACTGCTTTGCGAGCTCGGACGTTAGCTTGTGGTTGCCTGAGGCATGCGCCAAACCACGCTGGCGAATTAGCTCAAAAGTTTTCGAAGATAGGCGATTTTTTGTGGCTATCTCTCTCTTGGCGTTCCTCGCACATTCATGGAGGTGCTGAACCAGTCGATCGTATTCCTCGTCAATGTTGTCAACAATGGCATCTTCCCATGTTGCCGCAATAGTACCAAAGAGTTCCCAGTTGGTGGTCATTCTGGGAGTTCTCTTTTTGAACTTTGCAGCCCTTTCTCCCCGCTCTGTGAAGTAGAATTTTGCACGAAGGAGATGGTGATCCGATCCTGTTCGAAATTTTGGGACAACAGCGACATCAGGCAGGCAAAACCATTGATTGAATATGATGTGGTCTATTTCGTTGTGGAATCATCCACCGGGAGACTCCCATGTCCATCGTTTAGATTCTGCCTTCTGGAACTGTGAGTTACCATGAATGGTCTTGGTTGACATGATGAACTCAGACAGTCTCTCACCCTGTTTGTTCCATTCTAGGCCATGGGTCCTGATGTGAAGTTCTTCAGCTAATCTTCTCGGTCCTATCTTGGCATTAAAATCACCCACAATGATCTTGTAGAAGGTGTGGTCTTCTTTATAGAACTTCTCTAGCTCCATGTAGAACTTCTCAATTTCTCTTTCATCATAATGAGATGTTGGTGCATAGACAACGAAGATAGAAACTACAGGCAGTGAGCCACATCTATTCAAATGTAAACGTCCGATTCGGGTTGTTAGGCATTCGAATGAATCAATGCTCTTGGACAAGTTTGTGTTGACAAGGACACCGACGCCTCCAACACCTCTTTTATTGCATGTTCCGAGGAACAATTCTTCTCCAGTGTCGAAAACGGCATGGTGAGATTCATGCCTTCTTGTCTCGGTCAGACCAATGATGTCGTACTTGATCATTCGCACTTGTACCATCAGGTCCTCGATGGATGCATCTGATGCTAGTGTACGTGCATTGAAAGTACAGACGATCATTTTTGTCTTCCTTCGTTGTGGCAGCCTAGTTCGGCCTTGAGATTTTGTCGGCCTCTCCGTTCTCATCCTTCTCAGTGCTGCCATGTTGGTGAAGCCTTCAGGGTCAGGTGAATGAGACCAGTTGTAGTTACTGGTTTTGGCATATCGAATACACAATGGATAGCTTGCCAGGCTCTTCCGTGCGGGCGGAATACTCTCAGTAGCTTGCCAGTCTTTCTGAGAGGGAAAGAGGCTTTTGGGGCGACCTCTAATCACCCTTGTAGGTGTTACCATATTTGAACCCTATCAAATATGGTACGACAATTCCGGAAGATGGGTATTTAGTGTCTTATGATGTGTCGCGCGGCCGCAAAGCAGCCGCGCGGGTCCGGAAATCATCCTGGAGTGTGGCGACGGCTGGGTAGTGGAAGTAGTATCCATGACTTCTACTCAAATCTCTTCGAGAGCCATGTCCTCTTGCCGACATACCAAATTCCACAGGATGGATATGTCGTTCCCAACGTTCTCCCTTCCGAAATCCGACACGCCATTTCGTCGATAAAGAAACAAACAGCACCCGGCCCAGACAAGGTCAGACCTGAACACCTGAAGAACCTGCCGTCAGTACTCATCAATACACTGGCTCGGCTCTTCACTCATTACCTGTCTGAATGCAAGGTTCTGTCCCAATGGAAAACCAGCAGGACCGTACTACTGTTCAAGAAGGGAGACATCCATGACATTGGCAACTATCGCCCGATCTGCGTATTGTCTGTCATCTACAAGTTGTTCACTCGAGTCATCCTAAATAGGATTGGCAGAACACTAGATGAAGGACAACCATGTGAGCAAGCAGGGTTCCGCAAAGGATTCAGCACCATCGACCATATCCACACGATAACCAAGCTCATTGAGGTTTCTCAGGAGTTCAAGATGCCGCTCTGTTTAACGGTCATTGATTTAAAGAAGGCCTTTGATTCTGTTGAGATGGAAGCGGTCATTGAAGCCCTAGCCAATCAGGGCATTCAAGCCCAATACATCAGGATCCTCCGTGAGCTGTATCGCGGATTCACTACCAGGATCTCACCATTCTACAAAGAAGTGATCGTTGATGTCAAGAGAGGGGTTCAGCAGAGTGTTACCATTTCACCGAAACTCTTCAGTGCCACCCTCGAGAACATCATGCAACGACTGGAATGGGAAGGAATGGGAGTGAAGATAGATGGTCGGCAACTACACCACCTCCGCTTTGCTGATGACATTGTTTTAATAACACCAAACATCAGCCAAGCGGCACAAATGCTGGCCGACTTTGACCGTGAGTGTGGAAAGGTAGGACTACAGCTGAATCTTACGAAGACAATGTTTATGAGAAACAGCCTCGTTCTTGACACCCCATTCGCTCTCAATGGAACGACCATCTCTGAATGCAACAGCTATGTGTACCTAGGTCGAGAAGTCAACATGACAAATGACCTGGCACCCGAGCTGCACAGGAAGAAGAGAACGGCTTGGAACGCCTTCAAGAACGTCGAAAAAATAGCTAAGAGGATGAAGAACCTCCAGCTCCGGGCACATCTCTTTGATTCCACTGTTCTTCCTGCATTAACATATGCCTCAGAGACCTGGGCCCTACGCAAACAAGATGAGAACACTGTTCAGGTCTCCCAAAGAAGAATAGAAAGAGCTATGCTTGGAATATCACGTTTCACTCAAATGAGAGAAAGAATCCGGAGTTCCTACATCCATCGACGATCAAGAATCAGGGACGCTGTCTCATTTGCCAAGGTGTCGAAAATCAGATGGGCTGGTCACGTAATGAGATTTAAAGACGACCGTTGGACCAGAGCTGTTACTGACTGGATTCCACGGGATGTCAAAAGACCACGTGGCCGCCCACCTTCCAGATGGTCAGACTTCTTCGTCAAGATCATGAACGATCGGTTTGAGGCCCTTCATGTTCCCGGAGCGAACAGATGCCATTGGGCTACACTAGCACGCGACAGGGACAAATGGAGACGTTGCTGGCGCCCGCTCGAGCAAATCGACGACTAAGGGGAAGTTAAGTGATTAAGTGCTCTATAGGATGTGGACCAATTTCTTCATTAAATACGAGAGGGGGAAGCAAAGGTCAAGAGGCATATCTAAAAATACTTGAGAGATGGGGGCTGGAGCAATAGCACAGCGGGGAGGGCGTTTGCCTTGCACGCGGCCGACCCAGGTTTGATCCCCAGCATCTCATATGGTCCTCTGAGCACCGCCAGGAGTAATTCCTGAGTGCAGAGCTAGGAGTAACCCCTGTGCAATGCTGGGTGTGACCCCAAAAGCAAAAAAACAAAAACAATGAAAATACTTGAGAGGCATAACAAACACTGTCCTCCGGTTGTTCATCAATTTTGCTCAAGCGGGCCCAGTAATGTCTCCATTTTGAGACTTCTTGTTACTGTGTTTGGCATAACAAATACATCACGGGTAGCTCGCCAGGCTCTGCCGTGCAGGCAAGATACTCTCGGAAGCTTGCCGGGCTCTCCGAGAGGGGCGGAGGAATTGAATCCGGTTCTGCCCGGCTGCCCACGCGCAAGGCAAACGCCCTACTGCTGTGCTATCGCTCCAGCCCGAGAGGCATAACAACCAATTACAAAATATGAATGTTATTTGAATCCTGATTTAAGCAAAGTACAAGTGAGTGAACAAAAGTCATAACCTAATTGGGAGGATTTAAATACTCACTAGGCATTTGATGGTACTAAAAATATTAACACTTATTTTTTTTAATTTTTTATTAGTGAATCACTGTGGGGTACAGTTACAGACTTACAAACTTCCATTCTTGCATTTCAGTCATACAATGATCGAGTACCCATCCCTCTACCAGTGCCCATTCTCCACCACCAATGATCCCAGTATCCCTCCCACCTCCCCCACCCCAAACCCACCCCACCTCTGTGGCAGGGCACTCCCTTTTGTTCTCTCTTTCCTTTGGGATAACAATATTTTAAATACAATTATTTGGGTTAAGTTATTTTAAATACAAACAAATATAAGGCAACTTTTAAATAATATCTGATTTCACTAAATATTAATTTACTGGTTCTTATTAACATTTACTATTAGAAACTGTAAGATTTCAAACTGCTATTCTTACATGTGAACTGTCTCAAAAATAATGAACAGGCTTCAAGCTAATGAACACACATAATAGAACAGTTCTAGCAGCAATTTGCTTTCCTGGGAATTCATAATATAATGCCAAATATATCCAAATTAATTTGAGATAGTTTTTAAAATCCTAAAGCTGTTACATTTTAATGAGATTGATTTTAAAATCCTAAAGTTGTTATATTTCCTGTTTGATTTTTATTAACATGTCCCAGGATTTCGGAATATTCATGTAGCAGCCACAAAGATAGTCCTGGGCTTGAAGTGCTTGCCTTGCATGCTCCTGGCCTGCCTGACAGCACACACTCCTGAACACTTGCAGGTGGATTCCTCGAGGAATCCAAGCACCATGGGGTCTGCCCAGGTATGGAGCAGAGCGCCCAAGGTGCACCACACAGTCAGGCCCCCACACAGCAGAACTGTCGTTCAATCAGAATATCGACGACTGATATCCCCCCAAACTCCCCGTACTATGTACGTACCAGCTGTGAACTGAACTGAGTGTGCAACTGCAACGAATTATTTGGGTGTGAAGCTGAGAGTATCAAAAGTGATTTTATTGTTAAACTTTAAAGATAAAGTCGAACTCACCAGGTAATTTTCCTTGTATTGCCAATTCATCAAACTCATTGGGGAACTTCAGACCCTCTGCTATTCGACTTCCAGTCGTTAAAATGTCATACAATAATAAGCCAAACGAGTAAACGTCAGCCTGCTGGTTATAGATGACATTTCCTCTGGCAACCTCTGGTGCACGAAAACCTGAAAGAGAGCAGATGCATTCCTGGACATGCCCAGAAGTGGGGCCCAGCCCCCTGGCTCTGCAGAGGACAGTACGGGCCGGCCCGGAGCTCAGCCGCACAAGCAGTCACTCATATTCGCACTGAGAGTGGGAACTAAGGGTTCTAATAACCACAGGAGGTTCTGCCATCATATTATTTTTAAAATCTCTGGGGTAGAGTGACGTGGGGAGATAGCTCAGAAGGCTGGAGTCCATGCGAGGGGCCCTTCGTCCATGCCCTTCACCCCACAGCAGCACCAGGGGTCACTCTGCAGGGCCCCAGCTCTGACCACCCCGGCACCGACCTCTCAGGCTCCCAGAGTTGGACCAAGTGCCCCCAGGAGCAGTCCCAGGGCCCCAGGAGCACTGTGTGGGAGATCCCTCTAAAAATAAAATGAAGTAATAATTTTGGGCTTTTCAAAGCTCTTTGGGAATTCAGTTATGAAAACAGTTTATGAACATTAATTTGGTTTCCCTCATTTTTAGGTAAGTATGAATAGAACCTAGATTAAAATTTGTGCTCTCACCAAATAAAGGGTGTTTGGAGGATCCTCCCAGGAGGGGAGATGCATGTCGAAAGTAGACTATGGACTGAACATGTTTGCCACTCAATGCCTCTTTTGCAGACCACAACACCCAAAAGGAGAGAGAGAACACAGGGGATTGCCCTGCCACAGAGGCAGGGGGGATGGGGGCACGGGGGTGGGGGGATATTATCCATGGTGGTGGAAAATGGGCACTGGTGGAGGGATGGGTATCTGATCATTGTATAATCGAAGCCCAAGCACAAAAAATTGTAAGTCTACAACTGTACCTCATGGTGTTTCACTAATAAAAAAAATTGTGCTCTCTATTTTAACCACATTTGGAGTGTTCGAATGCTTTTTAAAATACAACTTTACTAATTTTTGTTTTGTTTTTGGGCCACAACACTCCCAAAAGGGCTTGGGGAACCACATGGGATGCTGGGGACCAAACACGGTTTGGCCACAGGCAAGACAAGTGCCCTACCGACTGTACTAGCTCTCTGGCCCCTTAAAATCCAACTTTAAAACTACAGTTCAAGCCATGGAGATAGCTGTCATGTAACAGGCATGTGTGAGATACAAGTTTCATCCCTGGCACCATTCTATTCCTGGCATTCCAAACATGACCAGCTGTGGTCCCTAAAGAAATAATAACCTGATATCAAATATTCTTGTTTCCCTGGAAAATTACCTCAGCTGGTGTTTTGGTTTTACCCATAAAGAACACAAGGATCAAGACCACAACTGTTCCCACAATGACTCTCAGTTCCATGTGATGGGTTGGGGAGCTGAGTCATCCCGTCACCCACCTGGGGTGCCCTCTGATGTTTTTATGCCCATCCGGCAGCAATACTGAGCAACCCCGTAGTCTGCGATCTTTGCGATGACAGCTGCATTAGGGTACAGGGTGAAGAGCAGAACATTGTGGGGCTTCAGGTCCCGGTATATGATCATGGCTGAGTGGAGGTATCTGTCAGAAGGCAACAGGATTGTTTGTTAGACTATGCTTATATCATGAAAATTCTTAGAGTAATCTCCTCAACAACATACATCTACGAAAAACACCAAGAAGCTCTCTGCGGAACAGACTCTCCAAGTTAAGGGATGATATACAAAGAGGCAAACACACCAGTCCAACACGGCAAACAGGTTGCTGTGGAAACAGCCAGCTGGTGGTGGGGTAAGGACAGCCTCCTCTGACAGGCTGAGACTGCAGACCACCTGCCTGAACATGGGCTTCAAAGGAAGGCTCAGACCCCTCCACAATTACTCTTGTGTTTTTTCTTGTTGTTGGTTTTGTTTTTTTTTTTTTTTTTTGCTTTTTGGGTCACACCCGGCGATGCTCAGGGGTTGCTCCTGGCTCTGCACTTAGGAATTACTCCTGGCGGTGCTCAGGGGACCATATGGGTGCTAGGAATCGAACCCAGGTTGGCCGTGTGCAAGGCAAACGCCCTACCCGCTGTGCTATCACTCCAGAACCCCTACTTAAGTTTTTTAACTCATTTATTTTTTTTATTCAATCACTGTGAGATGCACAGTTACAAAGTCACTCACAATTGGTTTTCAGTCATACAATGTTCCAACCCCTGTCCGTTTACCAGGGTGCATTTCCCACCACCAGCACCCCCTCGCCCACCTCTATGGCAGACACCACCTCTCTCTTTCTCCCTCTCCTTCTCCTCTCTCTCTCTCCCTGTCCTTTCTCTCTCTCCCTCCCCTCCCCTCTCTTCTCCTCTCCTCTCCTCTTCTCTTCTCTCTCTCTCTCTCTCTCTCTCTCTCTCTCTCTCTCTCTCTCCCACACACACACCCGCCTTTTTGGGGGAGGCATTATGGCTTGGAATACAGGGACTGAAAGGTTATTATGTGTAACCCTTTGCTTATTTTCAGCACTCAGTTCTTGTCCACAGTGATCATTTCCAACTGTCATTGTCACAACTCTATCCTTACTGCCCTCCACTCCTACACACACTTGTGGCAAGCTTCCAACCACTGACCAGTCCTTCTGAGGTCTATTTATTACAGTTTTTGGTTTTTGGTTTTAAATGTGCACTGAAATAAAAATGGAGAGGATTTTGTTATAAAATTACATTTGTTAGCTTTGATATTCCTAAAGCCTACGGAAGTTTATGACCATTTTTTAAAAATTCTCTGTATTCTTTTTATATGAACATTTCTTTTGATGGCAATGATTTTTTGTTTTTGTTTTTGTCTGGAGGCCACACAATGGTACTCATGGCTTACTCCTGGCTCTGTGCTCAGGAATTACTTCTGATGGTGCTCTGAAGACCATATGTTGTGCTAGGAATCAAACCAGGGTCAGCAATAAAGAAGGCAAATGCCTTTACTCGTATACTCTCTCTGTGGTACATTTTTGGAAAATGCATTGTGCTTTTCGAAAAATAAATAAAACTATAGTGATTTTTCTAACTTAATAGCGTTCCATGTTTGAAGATACAATTATTTTAAGTCCAATTTTATTATAAATTATGGGTAAGACAGAATATTTTGTATTCCAAGAGAGTTGGAATAAATAAACCCGCATTTTGCAAAAGGTATTATTGAGTGATAGTAAAAGCTTTGCTTATGGCTGACCTTGTCGATAGGAATAAAAACATGGTAAAATAAGAAACAAGGTAAAGTTTTCATCTCAACCCGGTCTTGTCCGTATGGCGTAGGGGCCTTCACAAACGCCCCCTGCCTTCCTCACGTGCCCACAGAGTCCAGGCCCGCCCACCCATCTCACGGCTCTGTGTTCTCCAGGTGGCTTCCCTTGAAAGGAGTCACTGAAGGTGAATTTAAATCCACTGTGTGCTTTCAGCTTTGAGGTTTGGTCTGCACCATATCAACATTTATTCCATTCCCTAGAGGCAAGGACCACCAGAGGGATGAGGAGCCAAGGGGTAGCCACGCTCTAGATTCTCACAGCCTGAGTGTCCAAGGCAGGAGTCAGTGAGCTGCATCGACCCGGCTCCTATGCCCGGCAGCTGTGTGCTCCACACTAGGCCCATTCATGCCACTAGACAAAATTCCGGCTGAAAAATAAGACAAACGTACTAATGAAGTTGACCTTAGCAGAAAGTAATGGGCTTGAGAAAGAAATTTGCTAAGGGCTTACTGAGAGCCCATTAGCCACTTTTGCTCTACTGAAGAGAAAAGCTGGGAGATTAAGAAGAAGAACATTAAAGCCAGGTAAAGCAGCATTGACTCGCATCCAATTTCTTCATAATGCATACCTCTTTCATAATGTTTGTAGAAAACTTCTCCCCAAAGGTTAAACAAAATAGTTAAAGTTAATTTGAAATAATGTCAGAGGGAAGGAAAAGTGCCTGCGTTAGTTACTGCGTTTGATTATACAATGCAATCTGAAAGAAATGTATCTTAATAGCCTTCAATAGAATAGAAAACGTCTGACAGATTAGCAAGTGCATATCTGGTCTTACTGAGAATGACAGCTATAATTTATATATAAGGTGACAATGAACACTGCCAAACACTCTGAAGATGAACTGGTCTTAATTAGTCTCTCTAATTATCATCACCCTCGGGGTTACTACGAAACCGTGTTCTTTAAACTCATAAGAGGGATCCTGCAACAGTGACTCTGCTCCCCGAGCAGGTCCGGAGGAGGCACCAGGAAAGATGAGGAGGGGAGTGGCACAGCCGTCTGACGTCTCTATTCTCAGACGCCGTCCTGGGAGCCTCTCAGGGGGCTCAGAGATGGAGCAGGTGCTGGACGGCAGAGGGCCATCCAAGGAGCATGCGGATGACAGGGACACTGCTCGGTCCACAGGCAATCCGAAGAGACGGGACTGCAAAGAGAATGCCTGTTCTCCTCGTGCTGCTACCACTCCTGCTGAAACGCGTTTGGGAAGACAGCCCCTCGGGTGAACTTTAAAATTCCCATGTTCAGGCAGATCAAAAGCGGCTTAAATCTACTCGGTTCTTAAGGTATAAAATCCACAATATTTCTTAGTATGACGCTGAGAAGAAAACAACAGGCAAATCACAGGGGGGAAATACTAATGCTTCATCAGAAAATGCTGGATTTGTCCTGAACAGTGAGGTTTCAGAGAACTGGAACAAGTTACTTCAGAGATGAAATAACTTTCAAACAGGGGTGAACAAAAGGAAAAAACAACTATTTTTATTTCACAGGTGAGCAGTTTGAGGCTTACGTTGGAATAAATAAGAAAAATGTAGGACCTGGAGTTAATCCAAGGAAGGAAAGTGCTCCGAACAGCTTCCCTGTCTCCCCTTGTTTCTTAGGCACAGCTGGTGGTGCTTAGGGCTTACTGCTGGCTCTGCACTCAGGGATCCCTCCTGGTTGGGCTCAAGAGATTCTGAGTGGTGCCAGGGATCAAACGTGGGTAACCCATATTCAAGGCAAGTGTCCACCTACTGCATCATCACTCTGGTCCTAAACAGATTTGAAATAAGTTAGACATGACTGTGTTATTTTGAAGGCCACACCCGAAGGTGCTCTGGGCTTACTCCTGACTCTGTGCTCAGGGATTACGCCTGGCAGGGCTCAGGGAAGCATATATGGTGCCAGGGCTGCCAAGTCAGCCATTTGCAAGACAAGGGTCCTGCCTGCTGTGTTGCCTCTCCAGCCCTGTGTGCTTTATATAAATAAAACTGATGCAATTTCCCCCAGTGTTCAAAAGCAGATATGTCAACCCAAATTCAAATCTCTGCATTTTTGGTTTCATTTAATAAGTTTTATATTTTCAACTGTTTCTGTATTCATTCAGGAAGGAAATCTACTCGCTGGGTAGGCTCCAAATATTGCTAACACGGTTGATCTGTGTGAGAAAGGCAACAGAGAGTTCTTCCAGGAAACCCACACTGCCGGCTAAGTGCCCACTGTCCCTCCCTCCTCCAGCTACCTAATTTCTCGGGGAGGCTCATGGGGCAGGGTGAAAGGTCTTGTTAGCACTTCACCTGGGACCTCCGATAAATATGTCATTCTTCAAAAGGAAAAACAACTCCAGGCAGTGGTGAGAGCAAGCAGAGCAGGACAGGGCCCAGAGGCACGAGTGTGTCCTCGGCCTGGACCTGCATGCCAGAGCTAAGCCTCTCTGCCACCTCAGTCACATGCGTGGAACCTCACAGAGGCTCAGCAATGCAGGCTCCAGACTGGGGAGGAGAAGGCAGGCCTTGCTCCCTGGGAGGTGTCTGGGTGATGGGCAGCACAGACCCAGGGCTGCTGTCCTGCTTGGAGGGCTCGGCTCGGGCAGGCAGGAGAGGGCAGGGGGGTGGGCCACACTGTGGGGCCCTGCAGGGCTGAATGGAGAGTCCTGATGAAGCCCCAGAGCAGGGGGGATGCACTGAGGTAAGGGGCCATCCCTGAGTGGGGCAACAGCCCTCCCCAGAGCCCCATCTGCATGCATGACTGTCACCGCTGAGAGACTGTGGAGGAAGGACCAGACAGAAAACAGTCACAAGGAACAAAGGGGAAATCCTCCCCTCCCACCCCCAGGTCCTAAGGTTCTGCACCACTGCCACTGCAGGGGTGAAGCCGGACACCTGTATCCACAGACCCATTTGCCCCTTCGCCTCACAGGAAGATTTCCTTGTTGCAACCATTGCCAGACCACGCCCTCCCTGCCACTACGACAGCTCCCCATGTGTTTAGGGCAAGCAGACCAAAGCGGGGAGAAGCTCTGAGGTCTGAGTTCCATTCAGACCGACTCCTGTGAGGGTCATAGCTCTGCAGACCCTGGGCAAATCAAGCCGCTTGAACAGGAGATGGTGCTTTTCACCCTGATTGGGGTATGCTCCTGGGACGCAATGTTAGTGGGTGGTGCTGTTCCCAGAGCCTGAGATTAAGTTCAGAGCCACGGTGGTCCTTACACAGCAGCAACAAACCACCCTCAGGAGTTACCTCAAGCCGTCAGCCACGTGCAGGGCAACCCTGTGCTGCAGGGTCCTGGTGAAGCCGGTTGCATCCTGCTGCAGCAGGCGGTCCAGGGAGCCCCTGGAGGCCAATTCCATCACCAGCATGCGCGGACGGATCCCAGCTGCCAGCAGAGAAATGAGGCTGGGGTGGTGGAGATGGCAGAGCACCACCAGCTCCTGCAAAAATGAGAGTCGTTTTAGGGAAACTTAGTCCATTCCATGCTCCCTTCCAAAAGGCATCCACAAAGCCACCAGACTGCTCTGGGGAGACAGGGTTCAGAAAAATACCTCCTTTCTTACAGAACTTTTGTATTTCCCTTATTTTCAGGAAAAAGCATCCAGTTCTGAAACTCCACTTTGTTTCGGTTTTAAATTCTACTGTGCTTTCTTGTGCTGCTTTAGCAGAATTTATAGTGAAAGGTCAGTACACATTGGTTCCACTGATAGGTTAAATCAACTTCGCCATATGGCCAGAAGGGTCAGTGTCTGGACACCCACTGCTCATCCACCACCCCTGGCCCTGAGCCTCCACCTTCACACACTGAAGGCCAGAAGTCTGCTGAGGACCAATCCTTTTCTTCATATTAGCATGGCCACAAAATTTATTCATTATTCAGAAAAGTGATTTCTGGGGCTGGAAATATAATATAACAAATAGGCACTTGCCTAACATATGGCAAACCGAATTTGATCCCCAGGACCTCATATCGTCCTCCAAGCCCCACTCGGAGTGATTCCTGAGCACAGAACCAGGAGCAGGCTCTGAGCACTGCCAGGTATTGGACCAAAAAAGAAAAAAAATTATTGAAACGATGTGTCTTTTAACATTTACATGATGGTAATTTATTTAGATTTCATCATCATTTCATCATCCTGTTATTCGTCGATTGCCTCGAGCAGGCCCCAGTAACGTCTTTTTCATCCTAGCCCTGAGATTATATTCAAGGCTCTCTAGGAGAATGAGACCCATCATTGTTACTGGTATTTGGCATATTTGGTACGCCACGGGGAGTTTGCCAGACTCTGCCCTGTGGGCAGGCTACATTCGATAGCCTGCAAGTTTGTCCAAAGTAGGAATGAGACAATAAGATGTCATAAAAAAAAGCTCTGATAAGATGTCGTGCGGTCACACCCACCACCTGGCCCCCTGGCGCCGTGTAATCCCATCAGCGGCCAAGACTCAGAGTCTATAAAATTCAGATCCCGGACGACAACAGTGCAGTCTTCTGCCCCCGCGCCTGGGTGTTCCTTCCCGGGGCCCCTTGGAGGGGAGCGGGTTGAGCTTTCCTCCCCGCCCCGACCAGGGCTCCGGCAGCCGAAGACCTCCAGGACCAGCCACCACCATGCTGAGACCACTCTCCGCACACATGAAGGTACTGGCAGAGGGACAAAGCCACGCGGGTTCCGGGGCCGAGACCTCCAAGCCTACTCGGATTGGAGTCGAGCATCTTCCACCCAGATCCTCCAAATTCCAGTAGGCGGGGGTCACACCCACCACCTGGCCCCCTGGCGCCGTGTAATCCCATCAGCGGCCAAGACTCAGAGACTATTTAGATTAACATCCCAAAATATTTAATCAAGTGAAAGAAAGATAAAAGAATTGAAATTTCTGGTTGAATTATGACTAAGATGGCAGAATCCATACTTTGATCTCTCCTCCCCCCTTGATCTCCCCTCATTCCTGCAGTCAGGGAAGACTAGTGACAGAGGTGACTCCATACAGATACTGTAATAGAGCGGGCAATGGGGGACTAATTTGGATGTATTTAAGGGACTTGCTTTTGCTGAGATAGTGGACACTGAAATCTTGTGGAGCCCCCTGACTTCTCATAACTTTACTTCCCATTAGTGGGGGCAGGAATACGCAGAGTAGCATATCCTTACTGCAAAAGTTACAGGGACAGACAACCATCCCTACGACCCTCCTGGCACTTTCCTGTTTGAAGCCTGTGATTGGGTCAGTGTTGGGTAACATTGCTTTGTCCCTCTACAAGAAGCTTAGGTTTTATCTGGTTACACCCATCAATCTGGTTACACCCATCACAGTGCTCCTGAAGCACTTCCACTTCCATTGTGTTTACATGTAAACAGTCTTCCCTATGCTCTCCTTCCCACCCAGTTAATCAGCTTTCCCCTTAATCAGACTTTGTTAATTTGTAAGATCAGTTTCCCAGAAACCTATGATTTTATATGTATGAGTGAAATATTGCCTTTCTCCTCTCCTTATGCCTTATGAATAGTTTACCTTAAAGTAATATCCTTTTTGTATAGATACAGGAAGACCGTTAACATTATGCTTTGTAACTTAGGATTTGATTGACCTTGAATATTATTCACTCCCGGGCATCTTTCTCGACTTAAGCCTCAGTTGCCCTTAGTTCTTAACACCCCCAAAGCAGGGTCCCGACGAGGGACTGAATGGACCCAGAGCAAGCAGTGAGCTACCCTGGCAGCGAAATGGGCCAGGCCAAAGTGCCACGATTCTTAACTATAAGTTAAGAGTTTGATCATAGACAAATGCTGTCATGATCCAAAGGTAATGACAAGACTAGGATCCTGCTAGGGGTGGGAAAGACTATCTGGCCTGAGCATCTTAGTCTGAGATCGAGATGGCCCTAGGAGAGCAATTCTATAAGTTTAAGATATTTCTTACTGTATCCATACAAAATGATTTATATTATTCTTGTATGCTTGTCGGACAAGGAGAGGAGAGGCACGCCCATGGGATTATGCTCTAGGGTGGGTCCTCCTGCTGAGGAAGGATCTGTCCTAGGAGCGGTCTTCCCTGAGGCTAAGATTTCTACCCCTGTTGATCTCTACCCCTATTGATTGTGACCACACCTATGTGTAATTGTTTCCCCAATTCCTCATGGAGAGAGGATTTAACTGTACTGTAGGAGTGGGCAGGGGGCAGAAGGAAGAAGCAAGGTTCAGAGAGGATCAGAAGGAAGAGGAGGATGAAGGGGGATGGAGAAGGAGAATGAAGTAGCATGGGAGCGGAGACAGAAGGAGAGATGAGGAGAGAATCAGAATAAACTACGACTAATACCTACCAGCCTGGCCCTCGTTCCTTCCTCCGCCTGACCATCGCCATCGACCTCTCTGGGGTGGGAGAAGGGTGAGACTACGGAACGCGGGCAGCAGGAGAGATAGAGCCGCCGCTGTGGGTGCTGTGCCCTATCTTGTGTGAGTTTACACAGGTCAGCATATAGGAATGTCCGCTACAAAGAACTGTTCCAGGATGCAGTAGCAGGGTGCACACTGACCAGATCTTCATGTTCTCCGCACCAAACTGCAGAACAGGGAACATGAGGCTCTGCTCTGGGCCAAATTCAAGTTCCCTGGCTGCCAGAATCCACACCTCTGAGAAGTGGGGCTTTACTAAAACAATACGGAGGAGTTTGAGAACATGGGGAATTAGAAAGAGGCTCAGCCCAAATGGCTCTAGGTCAAAGACGTCCAAATCATGGGCCTCCAGGCCCTGCACTTCTGAAGCCTCAGAGCTGTCACCCCCCACCCCAGCCCCTGCTCCCCACTGCATACCACTATAAATCTTTCCCTTAACCCAAAAAAAAAGAAGCAAGAACTATTTAATGGATATTATGTGTGAACTCTGGTTCTTTAACAATCTAAGATCACAAAAGTAGTAATGTCTCTCTTTCAATACATCTAATACATAAATCTAAAGCCTGAAACAAGAATTTTCAGAATACAGTTTTTCTTCTGTTTCTAGGAGGTAAAGACACAAACATTTTATTTCATTAAACATTAGAAAATGTAGATTTCATTATTAAGCTCAAGGACACTTTGTGTGAAATGTGGCTAATATTTGCAGCAGCACAAATACATTCAAAACTAAAGTTCAGGGGACTTAAAATATACAATTTAATGTCATAAAATAATATAGTTCTTACTTGTCTTAACAGTCTAAGTGATGTGTGCTTATTAAAAATCTTCACTGCCACTTCTTCTCCTTCATAGGTTGCTCGGTAAACTGATCCAAAACTGCCATCACCTTTTGTAAAGAAAGTACCATACAGTTAATCTGTGTAAACAGAAACGCTACAGAATCATCGGTTGTCTCTGTGCTGCAGACCAAGAAGAAATCTGATGCTTATTCCTGGATCTCAGTTAGGCGTAGTCCTCCTTCTCCACCCCTCACCCAGAGCGCACCTCTAGTTGTCCCGTCTTTCTGCGCTTATGGACATGGCTCTGTCAGTCAGCCTCCTCCCGACTGAGGCCACATCTTCCCCTGGATGTGTGATCTCCGGTCTCCACGTCAGCAGCACGCGCCCTCCTAGGTTCCATTCTGCACTCGCAACTGTGACCTGGGGCTTCCGATCTACACTGCCTCAAATCTTAATTACCTTTCATCAAAAGTCACTGCTTCCACATCCTTTGCTATTCCCCCTCCCATTCACCGGATGAAAACAAAGCACAACTCCTTTTTGGGGTCCATCTGGAGTCAAGCCCAAGGGCAGTACACTGGAGAGCATTCTACCAGCTCAGCCACACTACCCCGGCAGGCACTCGTCTCCCACTCATCCTGCCAGTCCTGACATCCATTTCCTGACAGGGCACTGAAGTGCCCTCTCATATTGAAAATAGATTATTCCGTATTGACCACTGTCCTCAAAAATCCCTCTACGCCAGTGTTGGAACATTACGTACTGAAAGACGGTCATGAACAACTTTATAACTGTGAAGAAAAAAACAAAAATTAAATTTTTTTAAAAAAACCTTTACAGTGCTCTTCCAGATCTCCCCCACAGGAGTCTTACATCCACTAAGGAGCTGCTTAAAGCACTGTCTGGGTCTGCCTTCAAGGGCTCAAAGCTAAGTCCTAAGAAAAGCCGGCCATGGGCGTTCGCCTTACAAGCGGCCAACATGGCCGACCCAAGTTCGATTCCTCCGCCCCTCTCGGAGAGCCCGGCAAGCTACCGAGAGTATTCGAGATGCCAGACACAGTAACAACAAAGTCTCCAATGGAGACGTTACTGGGCCCGCTCGAGCAAATCGACGATCAACGGGAGGGCCTTTACCTTTACCTTTACCTATTTCCCACGTGACTGTCAGTAATAAACAACTGAGGGTGAGAGTGACTGTTTCACACCCAGATTATCCAGCACTTCCCTACAACACCTTCCATCTCAGGCCCCCAGGCCCTGTTCCTCTGCTGTCCTGTTCTGCTAGCCCACCCCTCGTGCCCACCTCCACACTGTGCACATTAAACCGCAGGGACTGAATAACAGTGCCTGAGGACCAGCCATGGCCAACCCACTAACTATTGTTCTCCTCTGACAGAGAGTGGGTCTTTTACAATATTTGGGTTTCTCATAGAGTTTCTCCAAACATGCTGGTGGATATCTGTGAATATAACTTATGGAAAAATCAAAAATGAAATACAGTGTTAAATTCTGGTACCTCTAAAAAGCAAAAAGGTGCCTCGAAGGGCTGGAGAGAGACAGGACACAGGCTAAGGTATTCGCCTTTGCATGCAGCAACCCTGATTTGACCTCCAGCACCAAATGGTCCGCCGCTAGAAGTGCTACCTACTCAGTCCCTAGCACGAGCCAGGAGTAGTGCCTGGCACAGAGGAGGAGAGGAAGAGAGGGGAGGGGAAGGGAGGGGAAGAAAAGAAAATAAAAGAAGGAAAGGAGGGAGGGATATTGGGGATCTAGGCTTCAAAAAAAAGCCTCTTCAGCCTAGATATTTTGTGTTTAATATTTCTGCATCTGTACTGCTGTTTTCAAAAGTTCTATAATAAGTACATTTAAATATATGTTATGGCGTATTAGAGACAAAAATGACAGATTTTTATGTCATATTTTTACCAGATTATAAACACACTGAAAATTTTATTTGTAAACAATCAGTTTTGTATTCTCCCATCCCGTCCATGCAACACTTCAAAAAAAAATGACTTTTAAAACCAGTCCATGGAAAATGCTATTGGTTCTGAAAAAACAAACAAACAAACATAAAAACACCATTTGCAGAAACCAAGAAGCTCAAGGGTCAGAGCAGGGAGTGTGCATGCTGTAGGGAGATTAGGGCAGGGGGCAGAGTGTTGGAACCTCCACTTGCCTATGGGCAGTTATCCACAATAAAGGAAAAGGGAGATGAGCAGAAGGAGAAACACACCACAAGAAGACACACACTTTTCCCAGTAGGAGCAGCAGACTGAGACTTCGTTGAAGTCCTACATCCGAGAGTCACTGCCCATTAGAAGAAATTGTAGGTTGTCACTGTGTCTGTGACAAGGGGGAAACTCAGGTGGCCCTAAGGTGCCTCCCAGCCCAGCAATTCAGGACCAGGAGCACTTTCTACTGAAGCTCTCTGGAAAAGAGTGCCCTAGTCCTCAGACACAGACAATTCTATCCAGGTGCGTCTCCAGCAGCTCAGGATGGGTTTATTGCCATGTCAGAGCATGCTCTGTTAGTGAGACTGATTACTGTCCCGGAGGGACAGCTCAGAGGCCTGAAACTTATTCCTGCCCACAGGAAGCCCAGAAATCCCAGAGTGTCTGGGCCAAGACACACACCTGGATATGCTGTGCTTCCAGCCCATCCAACCTTGGAACTTTTGCAAATACTTTCATGGTCACACCTGGAAGGCTGGGGTTGGTGGGAGATACTAGACTGTTTGGTGGAAAGAGACCAGTGCTGCTCAGCACCCTAAATTGCATAGGACATGACCCCACCCCACCACCAAGAATTATCCAGCTCAAGTTGGCACTAGATCCCAGGTTTACAAATACATTGTCTATATGTTTTTAATTTATTTATTTTTAAATGAGTGTAGAATCAATGGGCTTATGAAACATAGGACTAGAGGAAGGGAGAAGTCACATGAACATTTTCCTAATGACACAATTACTTTCCCTATATACACAATTAAGATGAAACTCAAGCACTGTATAAAATCTCCAGGGGCAGTCAAGGGGAGGCCCTGATAGCTCTTCCTCTGGCTGCCCAGGTTCTGGGGGAGACCCCAGGCCGCTCGCCAAGCCAGGGAGGCCCGGGTCATGGGGCAGATGGTGGACAAAACGAGGGCCAAGCCAGCGGATTGATGAGATTCCGTTTCTTCCATTCTCCCCACGTGCCTGCCCCAGTCTCTCCGAGCCTCCCATTCTCGTCTCCCACTACCCCTCACTCCTGTCTCTACCTGTCTCTCCCGCTCATCTCTCCGCCCTCCATCTCACAGCCAGGGCTCTCCACGTGCCTGCTCCTGTATTCTTCTACATTCTTCTCTCTCTGTCCCCCGTGCTAGTCTCTCCGAGGTCCATCTTGCCGCCCTGTTCTCTCTCTCTCACTCTCTCCAGCTCTCGTCTCTCCAACTCCCCAGCACTCTGGGCTGACACTAAACCCAATCAGGCAGCCAAATCAACATAAGAAATCCCTTCCTCTGGCTTCTGACTGACCATGATCCCAGAGGCACACATACCAGTCTTGGAACCCAGGGACTTCTGGCAGTAATCCCTCTAGGTTTATTGCTAAAATATCAAAAATTCAAATTCGTGTGGCTGCTATTGTGGCCACACGACATCATATGCTCTTTATAATCAGCAATAGAAAACAAATTTTCTAAAGATATCTTTGTAACAGGTCTGAATATTGGGGAAAATTCCACATAACAATGTTGGGTCTTTTGTCGTAATATTGAATGTGATCAACATAGAGAGAGAGTAAAGTGGAAATCTGCCACACAGGTGGGAGGTTGGTGGGAGGAGTATACTGGGGTTCTTGGTGGTGGAAAATGTGCACTGGTAAAGGGCCGGGTGTTTGATCATTGTATGACCGACTGAGACTTGAACTGAAAGGCTTTGTGACTGTTCTCACTGTGATTCAATAAATAAAAAAAATAAAAAGAATAAGAAAGAAAGCCCTTCCTGACTGCCAGGCTCAAGGGCACTAGGGGTATTCCAAAACCCTTCCTGACTGCCCAAGGCAAAATATCGCTTAAGGTGTTTTTCTCCTTTCCTCAGTCCAATAATTCTATCAACATCTTAATACTAGTTATTTTTGTATGGACAGAGTAAGAGATAACATTGAGACTTGTAGGGCAGCTTTCCTGGGAACATCTTGCCACAGACTCAAACTATAGCACTCAGGCCAGATTAATCATTCCTAACCCTAGCAGGGTCCGAATCTAGTTATTACTTTTTGGATCATGACAGCATTTGTCCATGACCAAGCTCTTAACTTATAATTAAGCATTAGGCATTTTGTTTAGGCCCATCTCGATGCCAGGGTTGTACATAGTTTACTGCTTTGCCCTGGTTCCATCCAGTCCCTCATTGGGACCCTGTTTTTGGGGGTGCTAGGAGTAAGGGCAGCTGAGGCTTAGGTCTAGAGAACAGATGCCCAGGAGGAAAATATCACCCAATCAATAAACTACCAAAAACATAACATTTACTGTCTTCTTGTGTCCATACAAAAAAGGACATTGCTCTGAATAAACCATGCAAAGGACTTAAGGAGAAGAGAAAAACAATATTTATAAGTCAACAGAGCACAAAAAAAGAAGTGACAGAAAAACACAGAGGAATGGGAGCACTGTGATGGGAGTAGCCCAATAAACCTAAGCTACCTGAGGCTATGCAGGAAGGACAAAACAATGTTATCCTACAAAGCACTTTAAAATTAGCTCTGTAAATACTATTTCTATAGACATTACTCAACATGATTTTATAAATCTGAAATCCATCTTGAATGAAATAGGGGTATTTTAGGAGTTGTGTCTGATGAGACTCCTTACAGAGAGAATAGATTCTGAGCCCAGCCTACACAGACTTGCTAATTGAGCCTGTTGTTGGCTGAGATCTAGGCTCAGAGCTGAAAGTTCAGCTATCACTATCTGATATCTAATGTAGGCACTATCACTAACTACCTTAGAGCTCCAAAACAGTCAGTCATGTTCAAGGTAAATTTCCAACTGGAAAAGAGGCACAAAGCAATTCATTTGCCTCTTGGTGCCATGGCCCAATTTTGGACATTTTTTGGCTAATATTAATGTTTTAACAGACTTATTTTAGGCATATTTGCTGGAGAAACTTAAATTTTATGTAGACACTCATAACAAATATTCCACAAACTTGAGTTTTTGGATTGTCTGCAAATATTTTACATTAAATGAGCCCAGTGACTCTCAGGACTTTGCAGAACCCAAGAATATCACCAAGGCAAACGCCCTACCTGCTGTGCTATTGCTCCAGCATTCGCGGCCGCGCGACGTCTTATCAGGACATCTTTTTATGACATCTTATTATCTCATTCCTACTTTGGAAAAACTGGCAGGCTACCGAATGTAGCCTGCCCACACGGCAGAGTCTGGCAAACTCCCCGTGGCATACCAAATATGCCAAATACCAGTGACAATGATGGGTCTCAATCTCCTATAGAGCCTTGAATATAATCTCAGGGCTAGGATGAAAGAGACATTACTGGGGCCTGCTCGAGGCAATCGACGAATAACAGGATGATGAAATGAAAATGAAAAGAATATCACCAATAAAAACCTCTGAATTTTAGTCCCCAAGTCCATTTTTTAAAATAGCTATTTTATAAGAATTCAGATTTGTCTTGAAAACTACAGTGCAGTTAGCAGGGCACTTGCTTGCCTTGAATGCGGCCATCCCAGGTTTGACCCGCAGCACCACCTATGGGTGCTCTAAGCACTGCTAGGAGTGATCCCTGAATGCAGGGCCAGGAAAAACCCTGGGAGAGGCTCCAAACCGAAAACAACAACATACTGCTACTCTAACCACAAAGAGATGCTCCTCTTTTACCTATAGTCTTGCATTACTTAGCTGCAATCTTCCTCCTCTGATTCCACTTCCCAGCATTTACGGCAAATGGGAAAACATGTCTCATGGACAAGGGTTTGCCCACTGCAGCCCTCTCCTCTCCTCTGACGTACCTGAGTGCATCAGACTCAAGTACAGTGTGGAAGGGAAATCGCTATCTGTAACATGGCAGGACATCAAGCTATGTCACTCCGAAGGAGAAACATTAGCACAAGCATATGGAGACACTAACAGATATGGCAACATAATGATTGTATTTGAATCTTTATAAAGCATAAAGAAATACTCCACCCTAACATTTGTCTTCAACCCAACAAAAATAGTTACCTAGGAGATATTCTGGAGCTTGTTCAAATTCAAGTTCATCGTTATTCAACATAATATTTCTTGGCAGGTCAGCCAAAATCAAGTCAGGGGCTATCTGAGATATTGGAATGGTGAGCTTCGGGTGGTCTGGGCTGATGAGGAGGTCTCCTGAGAAACACATAAATAAACCTTTTAAAAAATAAATGACTAATGATGTACACAAATTTGTGCTTTGGACTAATAAAATTAATGGTAAATTTTCTGTATTTCTAATTCACCTTCTAGGTATCTGAACAATAGTACTGTCCTCTAGAAACACTGTAAACATATAAAAATTTTCAATTAGTATTTCTCTGGAATTAAAGAAAACTCATTTAGGTTCATCCATCAGAATCAGAATTCAGAACAGCCTCTGCGAGCTGATGTGTGATGGATGATTCTGCTGTCCACTCTTGGCACATCCACGCCCATGTCTTGTGTGCCAGACAGGACGTGGTTCCCAGGCATCAGCTAGTCAAGTCCCTGTACCATTTTCTACAAGGCAGCCTGCCTGGTCTCCATTCTCACAGATGAGGCTAATGCAGCTAAGTCAGTTTCCAAACTCTTAAAACATGACTTTTCTGAATCTAGAGATTAGTGTTGCTAAAAGTATAGCTTTTAGTATCTAACTGGTAATAAATGTAATTATTTTCTGAACTTTTATGATAATTAAAGTAGTTAGCTTCCAACTGGTTCCTTGAAAGGGAGAATAATTTTATGTGGCAGGAGTCACTTAAAATACATCCAAAGGGCACCACAAAACACCTATCACTGGTCCCTACACACCTTGTTCAGCCTTCTTCATCAAGTCATCCAGCAGTATCTTTTGATGCTCTTCGCCATCATTAAAACTATATAATGCCCATTTCTTCAACAGAGTTTCTCCTTCACCACAAATATCAATCTCCAGCAACCCAGGAAACCATTCTTCCATCAGGGAGTCAATGTGGTCCACAACTTGTCCCAAAAGCACACAGCCTGCACAACCCAAAGGAGAGTCGTCAGTACCTTGTTTAAGCAGGTGCTGCTGCAAGGGAGGAAAGGAAACCACAACGCTGTGCTCAAGTTCTTTCTTCGTGGCCTTACCTTTTCTACATGAAGGAACAGTGATTTTTAAGAAGCTCTCGGGGCGACTGTCAAAGGCTTCGGAGCCCACTAGGCAATAAGCTTCAGGAGACCAATTCAAGTAGATGCCTTGTCGCCAGTACATTCTGTATGGGCGAAGAGCTCGCTCTGGAAGAAGGTTAAGTGGATCTAAATACATCGTTTATGTGTTCCAAAAATGTGAATATGGTGCTATCTCACCACGTGCATTCAGTGGCCATGGGCCGCGTCCCCACCCCGGACTGCAGCCACCAACAGTCGCATGAAGGAGGGAACAGGACTGCCAAGATAGTTGGTGATTGGTTGCCGTTTATTCCAATCTCCTCCCGCAGTTTATTCCATTCTCCCCGCGCGCCTGCTCCAATCTCACTGAGCACCCATTCCAGTCTCACACTGACCCTCGTTTCCGGCTCCTACTTTCCCCCATGCTAGTCTTCCTGCACTCAGTCTCGCTGCCTCGGCAAGAGACCAACCTCCAAAGTTGGGGGTAGTAACTACACCCAGGTCAGCTGGTACAATCAACATATGAAAGCCCTTCCTTCCAGGAAGCTCTTCTTCTTTTTTTTTTTTTTTAATTATTAGTGAAACACCATGAGGTACAGTTGTAGACTTATAAATTTTTGTGCTTGGGTTTCAGTTGTACAATGATTGAGTACCCATCCCTCCACCAGTGCCCATTCTCCACCACCATTAATCCCAGTATCCCTCCCACCCCCCTCATCCCCCCATCCTACCCTGCTTCTGTGGCAGGGCACTCCCTTTTGTTCTCTCTCTCCTTTTGGGTGCTGTGGTTTGCAAAAGAGGCATTGAGTGGCAATCATGTTCAATCTAGAGTCTACTTTCAGCATGCTTCTCCCATCCCGGGAGGACAGGAAGTTCTTCTAAGACAAAGATCTCCTCCTGCTAGGAGATCCCTCAAGGGTGGAATATTTCATCTAAGGACTTATTTCTCCTTTCCTTAGTTCATAAACAATCATCTCAGATTACTTCTTAATAAGCTTTCTAGTCACTGTGCATGGTCACAGTAAGAGATATATTAAGCTTAGAGGGTGGCTCTCCTGAGGACACCTTACTATGGATCCCAGACCACAGTCCTCAGGCCAGACTAGTCCTCCCTAACCCCAGCAGGGTCCTTGTCCAGTCACTTCTCTTTGGGTCATGACAGAATTTGTCCATGACCATGCTCTTAACTTATAAGTTTTATAGGACTTGGCCTGTCCCATTTCAATGCCAGGGTAGCTTACAGCGTGCCCTGGGTCCATCCAGGCCCGTCATTAGGACCCTGCTTTTGGGGTGCTAGGAATTTAGGGCAACACAGGCTTAAGTCCAGAACTATGACAGATGCCCAGGAGTAAATATTATTTGGAGTCAATTAACTCCCAAGTTACAAAAGCATAGCATTAACTGTCTTCCTGTGTCTATACAAAAAGGGCATTGCTCTAAAGTAAACTGCAAAGGACACAGGGAAAGAGAAAAGCAATATTTCACTTACAACTATGAAATCCAGAGTCCTTAGAAGGATCTAATCTGACCTTACAAGTCACAGGGTCTGATCTGGGCACATACGTGATTCACAGATAGGGGAAGCAGAGCACAGAGGAGAGGTTAAAGATGAACACGGGGGATGGGAGTGCCTCAGGAGCACTGTGAATGGCATAACCCGATAAACCTAAGCTCCCCGCAGCAAGGGAGAAAGGACAAACCAATGTTATCCTATAATCATTAACTAACTGCTCTATCAATCATACCACTTCTTTCTGATGAAACTACTGCATTCACCCTGAGCACTCACGAGTGAGAGAAACAAAGAAATGCTTGCTTCGATACAATGTATTGGAGTTGTTAGTGATAAGGATCCTTACCCTTAGGTACTACGTGTGATATTAACTATTTTACAGATAATTTTTAATAATAGAAACAAAATGCCCCACCAATAAATTAAGATAAAGTTGGGGTTTATAGTGTTAGAAAATTCAATATGTTTAAGAAAGAAAAAAATGACTTTTCATAAAATTTTCATAACTTTTAAAAAGAAATTGGTGAAATGTGTACTTCCTGAGCTGTTTAATGCAATATGCTTTCTGATATGTTGATGAATTGCCTCTAAGACAAAGTCTTTTTTCCCCAGAAGTCAGTAACACTTGTATAACAGCAGTTTTTTTAAAAAATTATACTTTCTCTTTGATGCATTAAGTAATCTTTAGAAGGACAAACTAACATTATAAACATTTGTTTTTACTGTAAATTCTCAGATATCTTACTGCCTGCGCCAAAAGTCAGATGGTCTGAATCTACTGAGTGAAACACTCCAACATTGCATCACCATTTACAATTTGTGCTTATTTATTCTTCTGCCTGTGGGTATGCACATGCATGCATGTGTTTAAACCAAGAACTGCTAGTAATATCACCTTTCAGAAATCTTATTTTTAGAATAAAATGGTTGGGAATGGGGCTGGAGCACAGCGGGCAGAGTGTTTCCCTTGCACGCGGCCAACCCGGGTTCGATTCCCAGTATCCCACATGGTCCCCTGAGCACCACCAGGGGTAATTCCTGAGTGCAGAGCCAGGAGTAGCCCCTGTGCATCACCAGGTGTGACCCCCCAAAAAATAAATAAACAAAAAATAAAATAAAATAAAATGGTTAGGGAAGCAAGATATTTTCACTTGTAAATGTGTCTAAGAGAGGAACAAATAGACTCTGAAGAACTGAGAATTTTCTTCTTGACAACTCAGCTTATATGTGTATGTATTTTAGTTTTTGACCAATGTGTGGTTTTTGGAAGGTTACCTAAAAATTTTATCAGTTTCCTTATCAGTTGCCTTACAACTGATAATCGCTGTCAGCCCCTTGCTCATCGATTTCCTCGAGCAGGCACCAGTAACGTCTCCATTTGTCCTAGCCCTGAGATTTTTTTCAAGTGCCACATTGGAGGGTCTTCCAGGGTCAGGGGAATGAGACCCATCATTGTTACTGGGTTTTGGCATATCGAATACTCCACGGGGAGCTTGCCAGACTCTGCGAAGCGGACAGGAAACTCTCGGTAGCCTGCCAGGTTCTCCGAGAGCAAGAGGTCACATGGCCGCGATAATATTTTCTGATTATCATTTTACCGGTAAGAAAAATTCTGGGGAATGAACAAATTAATTTTAATAGGCATCCCCCACCCCCAAAACTTTCCCTAAATACTACCATTAAATACATACCTCTTCCTGAAAGCATGTAAGGTGAAATTTCAAGTAATCGATTGATTAATCTTGACCAGAATCCCATTGGGAAATAAGGCATTTCATAGAGTCGAATGATAATTTCAGAGTTCTCACAATGGGGAAGCTCAATCACTGGTCTGTGATCAGAGAGACTAGAGGAAGAAATAGCAGTCATATATTTCACACCTGCTGACCAAAGAACTTCAAGACATGGAATCAGTGAATTCTAGGTAAGTACTTGAAGTGCACACCTTCATAATGCTCTTTGCTTCTATCAAAAACTCAGTGATTCAAATGTGTATTCAGGTGTAGCAGACACAGAATTTTTTAAATAATATTATACAAAAATGCAATTATGCCTAAGATGGGAAAAATACACATTGTAGAAATCTTTTTTTAGAACTGGCTGTCATCATTAATCAATATAGTAAGTCCTTTTCAATGTTCAATTACAATTCCACCTTTCCCATTGGCTTATAAAGCAAAAAAAGTTCTATGCTACAGGGTTAGAACTTTGGTCTCTTTTGTAATGCCTCCTCTCCTCAGAGCACCAAGCACTCCCACAAATTAATGAAGAAAGTAACACTATTGTTTGCAGAGCCTGCCCTGCATAACTCTCAGCACTGTAGAGAAGACACACACCCTAAAACTATAAATATCATACATATACAAATCTTATGTAAATCTCAGCACCATGTAATAAATTATATACACTATATATATTTTTATTAAAGTCAAATTAATCATTGTATATATTAATATTTAGTCAATGGCAAACCAGATAGATCAAATTCAATGTTTCTTTTATGTTTTGTTTTTTGTTTTCTTTTTGGGTCACACCTGGCAACGCACAGGGGTTACTCCTGGCTCTGCACTCAGGAATTACCCCTGGCGGTGCTCAGGGGACCATATGAGATGCTGGGAATCAAACCCGGGTTGGCCGCGCAAGGCAAATGCCCTATCCACTGTGCTATTGCTCCAGCCCCTCAATGTTTCTTTTAAAAGTGAACGGTGTGGGGCTGGAGCAGTAGCACAAGCGGATAGGGCATTTGCCTTGCACATGGCCAACCCAGGTTCAATTTCCAGCATCCCATATGGTCTCCTAAGCACCTCCAGGAGTAATTCCTGAGTGCAGACATGAGTAAGCCCTGAGCATCACTGGGTGTGACCCAAAAAGGAAAAAAAAAGTGAACAGTGTTCGTCCACTGAAATTTTACACACAAAATCTTTTAAAAAGTAGTATGTCACAGACCAAAGTTATTTTGACAACTAAAACAACATATAATTGTTTTACAGAATTTTTTTAGGGTAAACTTTAAATTTTTATATACCTGCTTGGAACCAGCAAATATTCCTCTCCTATTGGCAAGGCGATCTGGAATTTCTCTAGGAGTTTAAAGTATTGTGACATGTAGTTCTTTGGAAATCTCTTTTTCTTTGAAAGAAATCTTTCCACATCTTTACGTGAAATAATTCCTTTAGGCTGTTTTGGGCAACCTTCCACCACTTTCACTGTCAAAATCTGTAAGATTTATTAAGCTTATAAATAATCACACAAATTTCTTTTTCTGTCGTTATTGGTTCTGTCTTTATTGTCGTTATTGGTCACACCAGTGGTGCTCATGGATCACTCCTAGCGGGCCTTGGGAAACCATATCCAGTGTCAGGGATTAAATCCGAGTTAGAGGTGGGCAAGGCAAATACCTTATCCACTGTTTTCTCTCTGGTCCCAACAATCAGAATCTGTTTCTCGGAAGTCTATAGTTAAAACCACTCTAAGTGGTATCATCACTTAGTGAAACAATCCAAAAATGTCAATACTGTTAAATACAATGCATGAGTAATTTTTCTAGCAACCATGGAGCCGTAAAGCCCAGTGGGGCAACTACATCCCCCCCCAAAAAAAAAATTTATTGAACTAAAAAAATTAATTCAGATCAGAAATTGGTCAGATGTCATTAATAAACCTCAGGTTTTTGGCCTCATATGCTGGAGGGAAAGGCAGTACAGATAGAGAAGGAAACACCAAGTAAAGGATGTTGGAAGGACCCATTTGGGTTGAAAGATGCATGCCAAAAGTAGACTATAGACTGAACATGATGGTCACTCAATACCTCTATTGCAAACTACAACACCCAAAAGGAGAGAGAACAAAAGGGAATGCCCTGCCACTCAGAAGCAAGGTGGGGTGGTGGGGGATGGGGTGGCGGTGGTGGGAGGGATACTGGGAACATTGGTGGAGGAGAATGGGCACTAGTGGAGGGATGGGTAAACGATCATTGTATGACTGAAATGCAAACACAAAAGTTCGTATGTTTGTAACTGTACCTCATGGTGATTCAGTAATAAAAAATTTTAAAAAAATAAAAAAATAAACCTCAGGTTTTCCCAATCTCCACAGAACAAACAGACCACTCCAATATCTCATGTCCCTGTTGCAGAATTATCAATAATACATGTCTAGGGACCAAAGTGATAGTACAGCGGGTAAGGTGCTTGCATTACACATGGTCAATCTGAGTTGGATCCCAAGTACCCCATGTGGTCCCCCAAGCCCACCAGGAGTGATCCCTGAGTACTGAGCCAGGAGTAAGCCCTAAACACTGCCAGGTGAGCAAAAATAATATACATGTAGGGAAGCCACTTTCTAGACCTCACATTTGCCATGGGCCATTCTCTACCTAAGCCACAAGAGTTCAGACAGCATGCGCCTGTGATTCTCAGACATGGCTCTACAGGGCACACATTTAGGGTCAAAGTAGAGGCCTGAGGTGAGGCGTGAGAGACTGTTACTTAGTAAGCCATTCCGAGGATTCAGAGGTTTCCTCTGAGCTCTGATCACTGTCGAAGGAGTTAGAAGTCAGAGCCTGTTCAAACCCAGGCTTCCCTGAGTGTGAGACATCACATGTGAAATTAATTTATTTCTATGAGCGTCATAGTGGCTGACTCTAAGATTCTCAGGAGTGTGGATGAAGAGAGATTTGGGGCCATAAGGGCATGAAAAAAACTAAGTTGTGGTGATTTTGCACCCGTGGAACAGAGGACAATTTCCTGATAGACTTTCACGATAGAGTTGACAAGGTGCTACTGACATGCACAGGTAAAGGCCTAAGATGCTACTCGGCAGTTTACAATGCACCACTGAAAGGCAAACAGCCACACTGAGAAAACCAGCTCAGTGCTGTCCTGAGACAGAGCTGGAGAGCAGTAGTCACAACTCACCAGAATCAACTCAGCAGCAATGAATGGAGTATCATTGGGAGAATAAAGCATGTTCCATAATCAACATATTTGGAGGAAAGGCGGGCAAGAGCATGATATGCAAAGCTCTCAGAGGCTGTTCAGAGCCCAAACATTCCCACCAACAGCAAAGCCCTGGCTGTGTATAGACACTTTTCAAGCCTGTCTTCTTTGACCTGTATTTTCCCCAAGATTGTCACACAGCACTGACTCATTTGAGTCGGTTAATGGAGCACAGAAATCTTCAGGACAAAGAAGAGGGGCTTCACCTGAATTGCAGAGAGAAGCTGTCCAGAGTGAGGCTCGTCCACAGTCAACAGACTCCAAGAGCCTCTGGCAAGAGGGGGATACTGATAGTGAACTGGAGGGTCCCACCTCCATACTACCATAGCAACGTAGATCCCCAACAGGAGGAGAGGATGAAGAAAAGAGCCCAGAAGCCTCAACAGGGAATACCCACAAACACGATCTTTCCAGTAAAGAATTAAGAGATGAAATGTTGAGGATGTTCAATGAACTCAAAGAAACAGGCATCCAGTAAATTAAAGGAGGACATGAAAGAAAAAGTGGAACATAGAGCCAATAAAATACAGGAAGAAATGACAGCAGAAATAAGAAAGCTACAAACAGAGTGTCACTTAAAAAGGATTCAGTAAATGAAATAAAAAACTCAGTGGGTGCCCTCAATAGTATAATGACAACAGCCGAAGACAGAATCAGTGAGCTTGAAGATGAGCTTCAGAAAGCATACAGGCAACAACAAACAATGGGAAAAAAACTCAAAAGAGCTCTAGGAAGAATCAGAGACATAGGTGATGAACTCAAGAGGAACAACATAAGAATCATTGCAGTACCAGAAGGACAGGGAGGCAACCCCAATGAAGTAGCAACAGTTAAAGATATTATTGCTGAGAAGTTTCCAGACCTGAAGAATGCAGGCATCCAGATCCAAGGAGCCTGAAGAATACCAGCTAAAAGAGACCCTAATAAAAAGACTCCAAGATATATCATAATCAGAATGATAGATACCACAGATAGAGACACAATACTGGAAGCAGCAATGTCAAAGAGGAAAATCACATGCAAAGGAGCATCCCTTAGACTTACAGTAGACTTATCAGAGGAAACCATCTGAATCCAAAGACAATGGTGGGATATAATGAAAAACTCAATGAAATGAACGCCTTACCAAGGAATACTTTATCTGGCTAACCTGTCACTCAAACTCAAAGGATCAATAGACCATTTTATGGATAAACAACAGCTAAGGAACTTCATAGATTCAAATCACTTAATCACTTAACTTCCCGTTAGTCGTCGATTTGCTCGAGCGGGCACCAGTAACGTCTCCATTTGTCCCTGTCGCGTGCTAGTGTAGCCCAATGGCATCTGTTCGCTCCAGGAACACGAAGGGCCTCAAACCGATCATTCATGATCTTGATGAAGAAGTCTGACCATCTGGTAGGAGGGCGGCCACGCGGTCTTTTGACATCCCGTGGAATCCAATCAGTAACACCTCTAGTCCAACGGTCGTCTTTAAATCTCATTACGTGACCAGCCCATCTGATTTTCGACACCTTGGCAAATGAGACAGCGTCCCTGATCCTTGATCGTCGATGGATGTCAGAACTCCGGATTCGTTCTCTCATTTGAGTGAAACGTGATATTCCAAGCATAGCTCTTTCTATTCTTCTTTGGGAGACCTGAATAGCGTTCTCATTTTGTTTGCGTAGGGCCCAGGTCTCTGAGGCATATGTTAATGCAGGAAGAACAGTGGAATCAAAGAGATGTGCCCGGAGCCGGAGGTTCTTCGTCCTCTTAGCTATTTCTTTGACGTTCTTGAAGGCGTTCCAAGCCGCTCTCTTCCTCCTGCGCAGCTCGGGTGCCAGGTCATTTCTCATGTTGACCTCTCGACCTAGGTACACATAGCTGTTGCATTTGGAGATGGTCGTTCCATTGAGAGCGAATGGGGCGTCAGGAACAAGGCTGTTTCTCATAAACATTGTCTTCGTAAGATTCAGCTGTAGTCCTACCTTTCCACACTCACGGTCAAAGTCGGCCAGCATTTGTGCCGCAAAGCAGTGCAGAGATGCGATCAAGGGAGACCTCAAAGAGAGAAGAGCAGAAGTACTGGTAGATGCGGCAGAAGCCGGGAAAAGTATTCGTAACGCCCGCCTGTCCTTCGCCAACTACAAGACCAAGATGACTGCCCTCCGACATCCTGATGGATCCATCACATCCTCCAGAACGGCAATGGAGAAGATTATCCATGACTTCTACTCAAATCTCTTCGATAGCCATGTCCACTTGCCGACATACCAAATTCCACAGGATGGATATGTCATTCCCAACGTTCTCCCTTCCGAAATCCGACACGCCATTTCGTCGGTAAAGAAACAAACAGCACCCGGCCCAGACAAGGTCAGACCTGAACACCTGAAGAACCTGCTGTCAGTACTCATCAATACACTGGCTCGGCTCTTCACTCACTACCTGTCTGAATGCAAGGTTCCGTCCCAATGGAAAACCAGCAGGACCGTACTACTGTTCAAGAAGGGAGACATCCATGACATTGGCAACTATCGCCCGATCTGCGTATTGTCTGTCATCTACAAGTTGTTCACTCGAGTCATCCTAAATAGGATTGGCAGAACACTAGATGAAGGACAACCATGCGAGCAAGCCGGGTTCCGCAAAGGATTCAGCACCATCGACCATATCCACACAATAACCAAGCTCATTGAGGTTTCTCGGGAGTTCAAGATGCCACTCTGTTTAACGTTCATTGATTCAAAGAAGGCCTTTGATTCTGTTGAGATGGAAGCAGTCATTGAAGCCCTAGCCAATCAGGGCATTCAAGCCCAATACATCAGGATCCTCCGTGAGCTGTATTGCGGATTCACTACCAGGATCTCACTATTCTACAAAGAAGTGATCGTTGATGTCAAGAGAGGGGTGCGGCAGGGTGATACCATTTCACCGAAACTCTTCAGTGCCACCCTTGAGAACATCATGCGACGACTGGAATGGGAAGGAATGGGAGTGAAGATAGATGGTCGGCAACTACACCACCTCCGCTTTGCTGATGACATTGTTTTAATAACACCAAACATCAGCCAAGCGGCACAAATGCTGGCCGAAACAAGAGAACCTAGAAGAAATGGATAAATTCCTGGATTCTTATAACCTCCCAAGGCTGAGTCAAGAAGATTTGGAATACATGAATAGACCTATCACTTTCAAGGAAATTGAAACAGTAATCAAAAGTCTTCCCAAAAACGAAAGACCAGGTCCAAATGGATTCACTAACAAATTCTTCCAAATATTTATAGAAGACCTACTGCAGTCCTTTTCAAGATTTTCCAGGAATATGAAGAAACAGAAACACTTCCAGTTTCTATGAGGCACATATCACCCTAATACCAAAAGCAAACAGAGGGACCACAGAAAAAGAAAATTACAGGCCTATATCCCAAACCCCTGATGAACATGAATGCGAAAATCCTCAACAAAATATTAGCAAATAGAATCCAACAACTCATCGAAAAGATCAGACACCATTGCCAAGTGGGATTCATCACTGGGATGCAAGGATGATTTAACATTCACAAGTCAATCAACATAGTCCATTATATCAATAAAAGAAAAGTTAAAAACCATATGATCATATCAATAGATGCAGAGAAAGCGTGACAAGATCCAGCACCAGTTTGTGATGAAAACTCTTAGCAAAATGGGAATTGAAGGAACTTTCCTCAATAGAGTCAAAGACATTGACGACAAGCCCACAGCAAGCATTATCCTCAATGGGGAAAAATTAAGACCGTTCCCTCTAAGATCAGGGACAAGACAAGAATGCCCACTCTCACCATTTCTATTCAATATAGTACTGAAAGTACTTGCCATAGCAGTTAGGCAAGAAAAAGATATTAAGGGCATCCAGATAGAAAAGGAAGAAATTAAGCTCTCACTATTTTCAGATAATATGATACTATATTTAGAGAACCTCTACCAAGAAGCTCCTAGAAACAATAAACTTGTATAGTAAAGTTGCAGACTATAAAATCGACACCCAAAAGTCCATGTCTTTCCAATACACAAATAATGAGAATAAAGTGATATGAAAAAAGCAATCTCATTCACAATCATGCCTCAGAAAATCAAGTACCTCAGAATTGGCTTAAATAAGGAGGTAAAGGACCTGTACAAAGAAAACTACAAAACACTACTTCAAGAAATAAAAGAGGACACGAGGAAATGGAAACACATCCCCTGCTCAGGGATTGGGAGAATTAACATTGTCAAAAGGCAATACTCCCCCAAAGCATTATACAGATTCATTGTGATCTCTGGGCAGGAGCGATAGCCCAGCAGTAGGGTGTTTGCCTTGCGTGCAGCCAGCCCGGCCGAGCCAGGTTCGATTCCTCTGACCCTCTCGGAGAGCCCAGCAAGCTACTGAGAGTATCTTGCCCACACGGCAAAGCCTGGCAAGCTACCCGTGACATATTCAATATACAAAACACAGTAACAACAAGTCACACAATGGAGACATTACTGGGCCCGCTCGAGCAAATCGATGAACAACGGAATGACTGTGACCGGACCGTGACCATGACCATTGTGATCTCTATAAGAGTATCCATGTCATTCTTCAAAGAAATTGATCAAAAACTTCTGAAATTCATATGTAAAAACAAGCCCCCACGAATAGCTAAAGCAATTCTTTAGGGAAAAAATATGGGAGGCATCACTTTCTCCAACCTCAAACTGTACTATAAAGCGGTAATAATTAAAACAGCATGCTATTGAAACAAAGGCAGGGCCACAGATCAATGGAATAGGATTGAATATCCTTACACACAATGTCAAATATTTGATCATCTAATCTTTGATAAGGGAGCAAGAAATATAAAGTGGAGGTGGTATGGTCAATCTGTACCTGTGAGGCGAGTGCATCAGCAACCTGATGGCACCTTCAGACTTCCAAACACCCCAAAATTGCTGCTGTGCCTTTGGCCAAACCCCAAAAACTTGGGGCAAAGTTTACCAAGAAAGTAAACAACCAAAAGTTAGGTATGTGGGAGACACACCCACAAACCATCTCCGGCTCAGCTATATAACTGGAGGCATGGCCTCTCTGGTTCCTGATCGAACTGCTTAATAGCCATGATTCCAGAGACTCAGAAACAAATCTCGAAACCCAACGACTTTTGGCAGAAATGTGTCTGGTCCCTGCGGTAGGTTACCGGCGCCGGGCCACCCCAGGTGGGAATAGATTTCGTGCCTTGGCCTGTTTCCCCTGGTGACCCTGTGGCCATCATCCTCCAGAAGCCACTGGATAGCCAGGTTTGGGCCTACAGTGATGAGACACCTGGGGCCTCATGGGATGGGGGTGGAGCTGGCCCTTTCCTCTCCATCCCAACTAGACCCTGAGTCGCCGCCCACAAACAGCCTCTCTGGCTTCTGATCAAGCTGCTTAATGGCCATGATCCAAGAGACTCAGAAACAAATCTTGAAGCCCAGCGGCTTTTGGCAGAAATGCGTCTGGACTCTGCAGTTGCTGCACTCATTTGTGCAACATAAAGTAACATAATGAGAGACTAACACCCAAGGACAGTAGAGATAGAGGCCAGGAGGATCGCTCCATGGCTTGGAAGCCAGACTCACATGCTGGGGGGAAAGGCATCTGGGATAGAGAAGGGACTGCTAAATAATGATACTTGGAGGGCTCACTCGGGATAGGAGATGTGTGCTGAAAGTAGACTAGGGACCAAACGTGGTGGCCACTTAGTACCTGTATTGCAAACCATAATACCCCAAAGGAAAGAGAATAAAAGGGAATGTGCCTGTCACTAAGACAGGAGGAGGGGTGAGGGTGGGAGGGATACTGGGGACATTGGTGGTGGAGATCGGGCACTGGTGGAGGGATGGGTACTTGATCATTGTATGACTGAAACAGAATCAAGAAAGTATGTAAGTCTGTAATTCTATCTCATGGTGATTCATTAAAAAATAAATTAATTCTTTCTTAAAAAAAAAAAAGAACAGATGAGCAGATGAGGGAGCAGTGGTTGTATACATGCCTTTGGTTAGCTCCCAGGGTACAGAAATTCTAGCTCAGAGGTCTGAATAATGTGCTCCAAACAGAATCCCAAACGCTCAGAGTGCAACCTGCTCCCCACCTTAAGGTTACCCCACGCCTCCAGAAAGTAAGTCACCAACCTGGGACATGACTTTGCAAAGCCACCGGGGTTCCACAAAGTATAAGTCACTTAGCTGCAGTGCAGGGTCTTGGAAGTGAAGCAGGACGCCTGTGGGAGGAAAACAGAGTGAAATACGAAATCAAGACTCTACGGTGAGAGCTTAGTGAGGTGCTTGTACCACCTGCATATTCTGCACAGGATGGTCAAAAGCCTCAGCACCACATTCCCAAGACCTAAAAATCTCAATATCAAACAGAAGTGGTTTTGGACTCCATAAAACGATTGTAAGCATTTTGAGATGGTGCTTTGCAGATCATATATTTAGAAATTCATAATCATCTTTTTGACAAATATACACCACAAAAGTCACAATTATTTCAAATGCAATTTGTGTGTGTTTGGCTGGAGCAATAGCACAGTGTTAGGCCATTTGCCTTGTGTGCAGCCGGCCCGACCAAGCCCGGTTCGATTCCTCTGGCCCTCTCAGAGAGCCCAGCAAGCTACCAAGAGTATCTCGACCACACGGCAAAGCCTGGCAAGCTACCCATCACGTATTTGATATGCCAAACACAGTAACAAGAAGTCTCACAATGGAGACGTAACTGGACCCGCTCGAGCAAATCGATGAACCACAGGAGGACAGTGCTACAGTGCTACAAATTGAAAAAACAGAATCTCAGGAAACTTCTGGTTTAAAAATAGAAGGGAAAAGGGCAAATCACGATCCAAATGACAGATATCTTTCACTTACTGACAGTTAATTAAGTCCTGCTATTCAGCTCACTGGTTGCTGGGGGGTTCTGGTCAGAACAGAATTAGCACTGAGGGTGGCTAGGGGGGTTACCTTGGGATCACACTGGCCATGACTGAGGTCGCAGAGTCGAGCTGCCAGCCCTTCCCTCGGGCCAGTCAGACCCCAGCAACCGCCTCTGATGCAAAAGGGAAGTTAGGGCTGCCCACCCCCACCCCCACCCCAGGCTGCCAGGCACTGAGTACTGTCCAGTTCTGCAGCCCACCTGTGCTCTACCATCAGGACATTTGATTCAACACACACACAAAAGGCTCCCAAAGGAAGGCAGTGACCCCTGAGAAGCCCTGGTGATGCTCTGTTAACTTTGGGATGGGGATTCTCCACAAAGAGCAGGTACGTCATGCAGATGGCCACAGCTGAGCTTTGCAGAAACAGGCGCATACCTGATTCGTTGAGGAAGTGGACCGCGTGTGGGAGCTCCTGCTCATCCAGCTGCAGCTGGTTTTCTCTCACCAGCTGTAACAGGCGTTTCCGGCCAATTACAGGAAACTCAATTGGCACATTTTTACGCTCTGATAATATGATTTTCTCAAGTTCCACATAGCAGTCTGGAACCAGCTGCCCAACCACAGGCTGATCTCGGATCTACGTGATGACACATAACAAGCTGTGAGATCCACTTATTTGTGTTTGCCAACTGCACGGTAAAATCTGTACTGATTGTGTTTCTAGAAAGAAGTATATCGGGCCAAAGAGACGGCCCAAGGGACTGAGCACGTCTTGCATTCGGGAGATCTAAGTTTGGCCCCGCACCACAGGGCCCCGGAGCACTGCCAGGAATGACCCCAAGCACAGAACCAGGAGCAGGTCCTCCCGGAGCACTGCCAAGTACAGTCCAAAAGCAAACACAAAGGGTAGAGGATTCCTGCTTCAGGAGACCCCTCCCAAAATCTGGGAGTCTCCCTGCCTTCATTCCCCTTCCTTTCCCTTCTATTAAATACTTTTTTTCTGAATTCAGGATAAAAATGAGATATACAACTCAGAATTGTCACGATCATGATCACGATCATCCTGTTTTTTGTTGATTGCCTCGAGCAGACACCAGTAACGTCTCCTTTGTCCTAGCCCTGAGATTCTAAAAAGTGCCATATTCAAGGCTCTTTCAGGGTTAGGAGAATGAGACCCATCTGTTACTGGTATTTGGCATATTGGGTAAAATGGGATAATACAACTCAGAAGTATACTTTAATAAAATTAAATATAATGTGAAGTTGAATTTTGAGGAATAATTAGATGATGTTAAAATTAAAATATAAACACAGAAGTCAATTAAGTAAGAACTACCAAGTAAAGCAGAAGGAAGATATGCACTCTGCTTTTCAGAGAGTCATGGCAAAGTCCCAGACATGTCTGTCTCTGACTATAAAGAAGTAATTTTCTGAGCCCTAAGACATTGCACTGAAATGTAGTGAACATGCTAGTAGAAAGAATTGCTAGAGATTTTGGATTTATTAAACACAAATCCCCAATCTTTATAATCTTAAATTAGCTGCATGTGCCTATCAGCACTAAATGTTGGAGACACACAGGAAATCTCAGCCACGCTCTGTTACTTCCTGGAAACATAAATATGGGAAAGTAAATAATCGTCTAAATACCAAAATTCCTGACCTGTAGCATGATCCAGGATCTGTTACACTTGGAATCTAACCTAAATATTATCTGATGGATATATAGAATGGATATATAGAATTTAAAAAATTTTACAGGATCTTAAGATGACAGTTTTTATAATCCAAATCTTTTCCCCCCTTGAAAATTTAGTTTTAAATAATAGAAATATGATTCCAACAACGGTAACCGAAATGCCTTTGAAAACCACCAGGTGGCAAACTTGTCTCATTTTTCAATCTATAAATATGTTGTTGAATTTTCTTTTTACCTAACAATAATTAACAAAATTTGTGCACATATAATTCAACTTGCTCCCTCTCTATTTTCAACTAGAACCTAAGGCACTATATTTATATTTATCATCATTACCATTACTTAGCACAGTGGGTAGGGCTTTTGCCTTGCATGAGGCGGACCAGGCCAACCTGGTCTACCCAGGTTGGATTCCTCCGCCCCTCTGGGAGAGCCCAGCATGCTACCGAGAGAATCTTGCCCCTATGGCAGAGCCTGGCAAGCTACCCGTGACATATTCGATATGCCAAACACAGTAACAAGTGTCACAATGGAGACATTACTGAGCCCGCTGGAGCAAATCGATGAATAATGGGAGGACAGTGACAGTGACCATTACTTACATATTTGCCTCCCAAAAAATTCACTAGAATGACACTTTTTATGCACTCCTTGCCCCAGAAAAATCAAACTGAAATCCCACTAATTCCACTTTTTTATTTCTTCTCTATTATTCATAAATCAAGATAGGACTTCAGTTGAACTTTATTTTAAACCCAAAGAGAAACCCCACATATAAAAGTAAATAAGCATTATTTGCTTCTCTAAAGACATCAATCCACAAAACTGTGTGACCTGCAGTGCAGGGGCATGGGGTCAGCACAGCCTCTAGCACACTCCTGGTTGGCACTGAGCCCAGGCTTGCCCTGCTTCTTTGTGCAGAGTCCTGCCAGGCCACCAGATGCATACATGTATGTATGCACACACAAACACGCGCGCGCGCACACCGTACTCTGTGTTCTTGGTGTATGCACAGACACCCATAGTTAAGGGTGAGCCCAAGAAAGAGTAAAAGATGGCAGTGAAAATGTAGAAAGAGTCTCAATCACATTAATAAACTCTCGGAATACAGCTAAGCACTGCTCTCAGCTCACCCAGGAGGTGTGTTCTGCAGAGGACCCAGTCAGTGGGCTTTCAAACCAATGTGCCAAAAAAAAAAAGTCACCTCCATTAGCAATGTGAACTTTTACTGAAAGAATCCTAGCGTTTCTCAGAGCATTTGTCTTCCTCATCGTGTGTCCATGTTGAAGTGCAGAACTGGGTTCTCACGGGAAGGGGGTAAACCTACAGTTGAGGTTCAAAGGCAGGCGTTTTTTTGTGGCTATCTCTCTCTTGGGTCTCCCAAAGAGGAATCAAAAGAGCTCTGCTTGGAACATCACATTTCACTCAAATGAGAGAAAGAATCCGGAGTTCCAACCTCCATCGATGGTCAAGAATCAGGGACGCTGTCTTGTTTGCCAAGGCATCGAAAATCAGATGGGCTGGACATGTAAAGAGATTTGGAGACGACCGCTGGACTAGAGCCGTTACCGACTGGATTCCACAGGACGTCAAAAGACCGCGTGGCTGCCCACCTATGAGATGGTCAGACTTCTTGGTCAAGACCCTAAACAATCGGTTTGAGGCTCTTCGTGTTCCTAGAACGAGCAGACGCCATTGGGCTACACTAGGACACGACAGGGACGAATGGAGACGTCACTGGCACCTGCTCGAGCAAATCGATGAGTAACGGGATGTCAAGTGATCAAGTGAAATGTTGCATTACACTGTAATAATTTTCAAACTAGGAAAATGTGCAAACAAATGTTGTCTTATAGAAAAGAATCAGTAAAAAACTATATATTTTAAAAACTATGATGAAGGCACTGAAAGACACAAATAAGATCATTTTCTCCCTGAGCATCTCAAAGACCAGTTCATTTGTAAATGCTCATTAGATTCTGGATAGGACTGTATCTTAGAAATGGAATGAAATCAGGCTGATCAGGTACAGTACATCATAACCAAGGAGACCATACAACTTAACATCCAAAGTGCAATGCTTTTGAAAGTGCAGTGGGACTCCATTAATAATTATGCTTTGTCTGTCTGGACAGAGCAGGACTGGAGTTACAAGCACAGCCTTGATCATCAGTTAATAAGCTAAGCAGACAGAATGAGGAAGCCGTGTATAACTGGGTTGGCCACACTGAATATTAGGGCATTCTGTTGTTGCTGGTCAATAAAGTCTATAACATGCTCTCTGCAGAACTCAGGGAAGATTTACTTATCCTGTAGGAACCGTAAATAAGTGTTCTTACTGATAACCAACTTATGTGTGATTTACGAACCCTGTAAATCATATTTGATGTACCAGGAAAGAACTTGTGTAAACTGAAAACCTGTTTACCCACCAAAGAAAACAAAATTAGCAATCTTGGCAACAAAAGCGTAAGACAGGCACCGCAAAGAAAGAAGCAAACAGCAACAAGAACAGAAGTGAGCAGGCGCGGCTGCTCTCCACAGGCTCGGACAAGCCTCACCCATGGGTGAATCTGCAGAAAAACCCAGGTATGCGGGAATCCGTGAGTGAGATCTCCAAGCCCACTTGGAGCGGGAATGGCCTCCTTCACCCAGCTCCACAGCCACAAACTGTCCCCCCCCATGCCTGCCCCCCTCCCCCCGTGCACCATATAATCTCATCAGCAGCCTCTCCCATGAATGAATCTGCTGTATGATGGCATTCTGCACTGTAGCACTGTCCTCCCATTGTTCATCGATTTGCTCGAGGGGGCTCCAGTAACGTCTCCATTATGAGACTTGTTACTGTTTTTTGGCATATTGAATATGTCACGGGTAGCTTGCCAGACTCTGCCATGTAGGCGGAATACTCTCGGTAGCTTTCCAGACTCTCTGAGAGGGGCAGAGGAATCAAATCCAGGTCGGCCTCATGCAAGGCAAATGCCCTACCCGCTATGCTATCTCTCTGGCCCAATGGTATTCTAAAGTTTAGAATTCCTGGAGCACAAGGCCGCATTCGAGGTCAAGCGACCTCTCACACTCTACTGCACTGATGTACCAAGAGTAACACACAACATTCGGTTGGGTTTAACAACATGTTCGTCGTCTCTTATACAAGGGCTTAATAGCTCCAGGATGAAATACAACAATCAACAAAATTCAACAATCTTCCTCTAAGGAAACTTCATTGGACCATTTTTAGCCAATTACTCATAACAAGCAATACAAAATTAGTTGTTTCTACTCTGGGGGACATGGTTTGGGATTTGGGGTGGAAACATTCGAAATATGGTTTGGGGAAGGTGCAATGGTGGTGGAATTGGTGTTTGAATATTAAATGTAAGGAATTATTGTGAACAACTTTATAAAGATAAAATTAAGTTTATAAAAAGAAGTGATCAGAACATAAGACCCACAGGTCACCGTCATTCTTGCCACCAAACAGCCTGGAGAGTTGGAGAACAACTACCCGAAATATTCCCTTCACTGCTCTCAGGACCCACTAGCTAATTTCATTCCATTCCTAAGATTGGACATAAAGCATGCATAAATGAGTTTTACGCTGAAAATGGCTTAATTGTGCTGTTTTGTAAAAGCTCATGATTTGAGACTTGCCTGCTTCTCAGAAGTCTGACAAGGCCAGGAACTGCATGTCTAAAGTTGGCATACTGCGTCTCTCCACCCGCCACCAACATAGCACCGTACCTTGAAGTTCAGGCTCTCGTTTATGATGGTTTTCCGAAGTTTCACCAGAGCATCAGATTCCTCAGTGGCATTCACAAAGTGGTAATCCCGGATTGCAGGGAACCCTCGCTTGTTTAGGAGCTCTTTGGTGATTTTACTTATGCACGCTTTGCGCTGCTTCTCATCAGAAACATCCAAATGTGTGCCCACGAGGATGACAGGGGATGAAGAGGCTCGAGCCTGTGGGAAAACACATCTCGGCTGGCTTTAAAACCAAGGGTCCCACTCGACCCAGACCCAGTCTGAGACCCACCGAGCAGAAGTGAAAAATAAGAAAGTAGAAGAAACCATCTTTCCTTCTTAAAATGGAAAGAGTGAAACCCTATGGGTTTTTTTAAATTTGTATTAGTGAAATACCATGAGGTACAGTTGTAGACTTACAAGTTGTTGTGCTTGGGTTTCAGTTATACAATGACCGAGTACCCATCCCTACACCAGTGCCCATTCTCCACCACCACTGATCCCAGTATCCTTCCGACCCCACATCCCCCCATCCCACCCCACCTCTGTGGCAAGGCATTCCCTTTTGTTCTCTCTCTCCTTTTGGGTGTTGTGGTTTGCAAAAGAGGTATTGAGTGGCAATCATGTTCGGTCTATAGTCTACTTTCAGCATGCATCTCCCATCCTGGGAGGATCCTCCCAACACCCTTTACTTGGTGTTCCCTTCTCTATCTGAGCTGCCTTTTCCCCCAGCATGTGCGACTGGCCTCCAAGTCACGGAGGAAAATAGACTGCTTGAGTTGAGACTCTGCCAGAAAAGTGGTAATCAAGGGGCCAGGAAGGGGCAAGGAATCACCCCATCCTGGCCCCTTGATTACCACTTTTCTGGCAGAGTCTCAACTCAAGCAGTGTATTTTCCCTTCTCCTGACCCTGAACAGGTCTCTTGTCTAAGTGTGCCTTAAATTACTAAGTATAATAAGCTTCTAGAAGGCTCCTGAATATATCAGTGACATAATATAATTTATATTTTGCAATCCTTATCTACAAATTATTCCCTGAATTCATTTCAAACTCGTTAACTTAACTTTAAGTCTACAGAGGGGATAAAGCCACACAGGGATGTTTCACCAACATAGTGGTAAGTACTTGTAGCAAGCTATAATCAAGTAAAAAATAAAATTAGCACCAAGGATGCAGCTCAGTAGAACAGTATCTATACTACTTCTTACCCTAAAGGCAATATTCCCATTCTTACAATAAAACACACTTTTTAACTTTTATATGCTTCTTCAGACTCTCCCCTTATATTTACCTTAACTCTTCACTCTTACTAAATTTTACATTTGTAGGATTAATCTAGTTCATGTAAATCTTAAGATGTAATAGCACAGAATTATTCATAACATTAATTTTGCAAATCTGTAAAAATATATCATTTTTGAAAAAAAATTTACTTTGTCAATTTATCATTAACAATTTTGTGGAATTACAGGAGATTAGCTCCACCTGCCTATATGTGTATATGTGTAGGTGTCACTGCCTCCACAGTGAGTCAGACAGACATCCCATATATGAGATTGAAAAAAAGCACAGCAAGAGAGCAACAAATGGTCAAAGTCATCAGAACCAAAGATTTTGTCTACAGAACTGAGTTGCATGGGGCAGGAAGGGGGGAGAGGGGGCTTTGGGACAGTGCGGGGAAGTGGGTGCTGTGGGGATGGGGCGGTGCTGGAATGATGTATGCACGAAAAGTACAATTGACAGCTCTGTAAATACTGGTACTTCAATAAACATGGCCTAAATATAAGTAAATAAAAATGATTAAATAAACAAAATATTTTTATTTTCAAAATATCATGTGAAGGAGCCACAATGTAAGCTCACTGGCCCAGCTGCACAGGTTCACAACTAATCATGGAAGAGACGCAAGTCGAGACACTAAATTTCACAGGTACACAGTCCTCTGGCAGAAATTCTGGGGGCCCCCTGGAATGGGAACAGGCCACGTCTCTGCAGGCACACCCCCCACAGCTCTTGCCTTGCCATCAGACTAACTCTACTGCTCCATGACTAATCACTGCAGAGACACCAGACCAACAAAAATTCCAGGTCCACCAGTTTTCAAGCCAAAAACTCTGGGGCCTTCTTAGTATGGAGCCGGGCAGCCCCCTCCAACTCCCCAGCCCTGTACTTCCAGAAGCCCCAGCCACGCCCCCATCCCTCAGCTGGCAACGTGTAAACTCAACAGCCCACTCTACAGATCCTGAAGTCCCAGGGGCACACAGCCGCATATTCCTCCACATTCCACAATACGATCAGCTCAAGTTAGATGTGAAAGTGGCAAGAAGGCAGCGAAGCTCAATAAACAAAGACAATAGCACAGAAGGTTCATCTGGCAATGGGCAGCTCAGTCAACTCTCAGACAATAACCCCATGGTAAGATATAACAATTTTCAGAATTTTCTTTTATTTGAGAAGTAGTTTTTTTGTAATTCCATTAGCCATTTAGTTGTAACAAGCAATATGAAATAAATTATTGTGTGTCTACTAAGGAGGCAGGCTTGGAGGGTGAACGGGAAACTGTGGACAATGATGGGAGGAAGGTGGTGGGACTGGTGCTGGAACGCCAGTGCTCCTAACAACTGTGTTATGACAATCGTATGATGCTAATCCTCATAATTGTATTATGTAACAACTTTATAAACCATGATGTTTAAATAAAATTTTGCTCGAGCGGGGGCTGGAGAGATAGCACAGTGGTAGGGCGTTTGCCTTGCACTCAGCCAACATGGCCAATCCGAGTTCGATTCCTCCGCCCCTCTCGGAGAGCCCGGCAAGCTACCGAGAGTGTCTCGCCCACACGGCAGAGCCTGGCAAGCTCCCCGTGACATATTGGATATGCCAGACACAGTAACAAATAAAATTTAAAAATGAAAAAAAAAGTTTAATATTTCATGAAAGACTGGGGAGATGGTACAATGACCCAAGCGCATGCTTTGTATGCGGGAGCTCTGGGTTTGGTCCCAAGCAGTACATGTCCCCTGAGCACTACCAGGAGTGACCTCAGAGCAGAGATGGGAGCAGCCTCTGAGGACTCCTGGGTGTGGCCCAAAAACCAATCGATTAAGAAACCAAAAGTATTTGCAGGCACTGCCTGAGGCAACTGTACCCAAAATTCCCAGTCCGTGCACCACTCAACAAGGATGGTTTTCTAGGGTCCCTGGGCTAGGACCAGTTACCTTTATATTGAAGAGCCAGGGCTTCATGGCATCCACTTCGGCCTGTCCTTTGCTGAGGTCATACACAGCCAGGTACAGGGCCCTCTGCGTCATAAAGTGAGGATGTGTGGTGTAGAACTCCTCTCGACCTACGAGAACACAGAGATTTTTCTCACTGTCCAATAGAAAACAATCCATTTTCAAAAAAAAAAAGTGGGTGGGAGAGAGCTGTATGATTTATTATTCAGCATGCAAATAGGAAGCAATAAACTCCTAGGAGACTCCTAGGGTTTTCACCAGGAACTGAAAACTTCAAGTTTACCATTACAGTGTTGTGTGCACACGTGTGCTTACAGAATGCAAGCCCAGGGCCTCACGCATGTGAGGCAGGTGCTCTGCCATTGAGCACATCCTGGGCCTGAACTGAAGACCTGCACAACTGCCAGCTACCAACCAGGTGGTTGGCTTCAGCTAACACCCTGGTCCCCTCACCACCCTCCATTAACTTCTCCAACCCATGGACCAGGACAAAATGAGACGATATAAATGGGCTTACATAATTGCACAGGATGCACTGCTGTCTTGCAGCATTGAAACAGAAAACTTAGTATTTAAAGAAAACCATTCTAAATAACATGCAACTGTGAAACAGATTCAAGTGAGAAAATACCTGCAAAATCCCACACATTTAGAACCAGGTCTTTCTTCCCTTTGGCCCTTATCTGGACGGGCCAGTCCTTCACATCGATGCCAACAGTTGCACCCTGCACCCCAAGATCAGATTTCTTCATTTTCATTAACTGCTGCAATAAGGTGGTTTTACCACTGCCAGTATTTCCCACAATCATAAGCTTCATTCGGTTGTAGGGCACGGCCTTTTTTAATCGCTGTTGAAGAAACCTGGGATTTGAAAGTTAGAAACAGAACAAACCTCTTAACAATGAACTTAAGTGAATTCTGATGCACTGAATTCTATCAAATACCAAATTGTTGTAGCATATAGCACACACAGCTCACAAAAACCGGAGCTGATATGAAGTCCCTGTTCAGTACACTGTGAATACAGGTATCTTGCTAGTGATGTTGGTGTAGCTGATAATGACTGATAACATCATCAACTATAATGATACACTGCTACCAGAGATAATCAAATTGTGTTTTGATACTAATTATAATGATGTATAATTATATTTCTTCAAGTAATACAAATTAAATACAAATACTAATTATTACAAAGAATAAAATCCTACAAAGCCCATAATGCATAATAAGGTGCATACCGTTATCTAACTCTTAAAAGTGAGGTCATATTGGGGATGTTACATCGTGTGCATATTCGAGCATATTTATGTGTGGCACATATGATGTTTATATTCATATCTCACTAAACACTTTATAAATAAGGACAAATAAACTACTGTGCTACCAGATGTTACTGTGTTTTTATTCCAAGAAACTTTAATGTGAACATAATTGAAACTCATTAAAAATGCCATAGATGATTACTGAGAACCACCTTGAAAATCATAGATTTTGAGTGTTCTCAAAATAGGATTTTTTTCTCTAAAATTTTAGAGAAACAAACTAAATCCTAAGTAAGTTTTAGGAAATACTGAGTGATCGATATGCTTAGCTAATAGGACTGGAACCACCACACCTAACGATACAACAAAAGGTACTCTTTTTCTTGATCACTTTGAAAACCTTAAAAAGTAAGATCTGACTGATCACACCTTACACACCGACTTTTATTGAAGTCAGTCATTTCTCACATACAAGTTTCCATCACTAATAAAATCAGTGGTCCAAATTATACTTATTAAGAACTCACCACTATCTGAAAAAGAATCATTCTTAAAATAATTGATGTCTTATACTCTAACCTACTGTTTTCTAAAAATTATTAAATCTATATGAAATATTTAGTTATACAGTGGTTTGGTACATAAAAAGTTATTTTTAATTGTCATATAGCCATCTCTAGTTTCAGGAATAAATCATGGAGGGAAATTAAGTTGGATGAGAGGTAAGCATGCCAACCATCAATGGTGGCAAACATCTGTTTAAATAAGTCAATGGAAAACAGAAAACCAAATTTTTACAAAAAGAAAAAAAAAAGTAAAGTATAAATTTAAACAAACAAAAGTTGAAGGAAAGTCGATGTCTATTATTGGTAATCAACACCTAGTCTCTTTCAGGGAGCATGCCTATTAGCTTATTGTCACACTGGACTCTGGGTGGGGTGAGAGTGAGGAACCCTACCCTTAGGGTGAGGTGCCAAGACCAACACCCAAGGGCTATGGTCAAACCAAGGGGTCAAACCAATATCACCAAGAGTGATGACCAAGATAAAACCAGTAAGATCATTACAGACTGGAGCAACTCTTAACAATGGTGCGATGACCATGGGCCTCTTAGGGGTCTTGAGTAACCCATGCACTCACCAAGAATAAAGGGTAGGGTAGAGGCTCATATCAAAGACTTCTGAATTTTATAAAGTGTGACAACCAGTCACAACGATACCTGGAAAGTTGCGGTGGTTTCAAAAATGACCAGGGTGGGAGGTTAGTCATCCTAACCGGTAAAATCAAAGCTGGTCATTTTCAATTACTTAAATAACAATTTGCTCGAGCAGGCCCAGTAACGTCTCCATTGGAGACTTTGTTGTTACTGTGTCTGGCATATCAAATACTCTCGGTAGCTTGCCGGGCTCTCCGAGAGGGGCGGAGGAATCGAACTCGGGTCGGCCATGTTGGCCGCGTGTAAGGCGAACACCCTACCCGCTGTGCTAATGCTTTTGGATAACTCAGACATGCTCCCTGCTCGAGAAACGCACCTTAAAAATATTTTGAGATTAGGCGCTGGGGTGATAGCACAGCGGGTAGGGCATTTGCCTTGCAAGTGGCCGACCCAGGTTCGATTCCCAGCATCCCATAGGGTCCCCTGAGCACCGCCAGGAGTAATTCCTGAGTGCAAAGCCAGGAGTAACCCCGAGCATCACCGGGTGTGACCAAAAAAAAAAAAAGCAAAATAAATAAATAAAAATATTTTGAGATTAGGCGCTGGGGTGATAGCACAGCGGGTAGGGCATTTGCCTTGCAAGTGGCCGACCCAGGTTCGATTCCCAGCATCCCATAGGGTCCCCTGAGCACCGCCAGGAGTAATTCCTGAGTGCAAAGCCAGGTGTAACCCCGAGCATCACCGGGTGTGACCAAAAAAAAAAAAAGCAAAATAAATAAATAAAAATATTTTGAGATTAGGCGCTGGGGTGATAGCACAGCGGGTAGGGCATTTGCCTTGCAAGTGGCCGACCCAGGTTCGATTCCCAGCATCCCATAGGGTCCCCTGAGCACCGCCAGGAGTAATTCCTGAGTGCAAAGCCAGGAGTAACCCCGAGCATCACCGGGTGTGACCAAAAAAAAAAAAGCAAAATAAATAAATAAAAATATTTTGAGATTAGGCGCTGGGGTGATAGCACAGCGGGTAGGGCATTTGCCTTGCAAGTGGCCGACCCAGGTTCGATTCCCAGCATCCCATAGGGTCCCCTGAGCACCGCCAGGAGTAATTCCTGAGTGCAAAGCCAGGAGTAACCCCGAGCATCTCCGGGTGTGACCAAAAAAAAAAAGCAAAATAAATAAATAAAAATATTTTGAGATTATATAATTGGCAATGAGAGATTTAATAGATAAGCTTATTCCTTTGCATTTATTTCTACTGCCAGGAACAGTAGACTGAGAAGGCATTCTCACAATCTCAGAGAGTAAAAGGCAATGGCGCATCATACATTAACGCTAAGTGATTTTCCTAATAGCATCAATCTATACATCAAAGTCACAGAGAATAAATCTTAAACTCAATAAAAACAAATGGAAATAAAATGATCAAACCTTATGATGTCTTTGGCTTTATACCCTATATGCTTAAAATCAAAATTAAGACGCAGTTCATCTAAAGGCAGGTCCCATATCTTGCTCAGTCTCCCCATTTCATTAGGAAATGATCTCAGCTCCACATTGTAACTAACATCGAGAGACGTCAGGTTTTCCAGACAGCCAATCTCAGGAGGAATCTTAATGAGAAAAAAGAGAGACATCCTGCTGGTGAGAAGGAAGAAGCATGTGTGTCTGGGAAGTTGGGCCCAGGATTGAGCACCAGGCCTGAGCACAGTCCCCAGGCCAAGGCCAAGTGAAGGTGAAGCAGAGCCCAGGTGCTGGGCTCCCTCTCCTCAGGGAGGTGCTCACTGGTACCCTCAGCACCAGATCGAGTGAGTGATGCACAGCCTGACCTGAGGCGGCCCTGACAGACTTTATCCTCTCCACACTGCTGAGCAAGAGACAACACTGGTTTGCTGGCCAATATGGGAAATGAAAAATTAAAACGCTCTCTAAGACAGATAAATGAATAATTTGAGGCTTATAAAGGAAGCAGCAGAGTGAAGCAAGGTAGGAGGGATTAAACCCACCAGGAGAGACAAAGGGGGAGAGGCCAGTAATTTAAGAGTGCAGCCAAGTCATCAGGAAGCATGGTTCATTCACAGAGGCAGGGTCAGAAATGCAGAGGGGGCTGGAGCAGTAGTCCAGTGGGAGGGCGCTTGCCTTGTACATGGCTGACCCGGGTTCGATCCTGGGCATCCCATACAATCCCCCAATCACCACCAGGAGTGATCCCTGAGCACCTGCTGGGTGTGGCCCAAAAACAAAAAACAAAGAAATGCCAAGAATACAACACACCATTAATTTTGTGATCAACACAGTAGTCCTAATTGAATAGTCATAAAATTCTCTAAAATAGAGCACAGACACTTAAGATATTTGAGAGAGGGGTTTGGGCCAGTCCCTGGGTTGCTCAGGGGATCTTCGTGGCTCTGTGCTCAGAAGTGACCCCTGGTAGTATTTGTGGTGCCAGGAATTCAGTGAGGGATGCAAGGCAAATGTTTTACCTCCTCTACTCTCTCTCTAGTCCCAGAGGACAGAATTTTTTTTTGTGGACAGATGTTTTTAAAGGAAATCAAGTGAAATTAATATGCTCATTTACCTCTAGATAAAACAGTTTTTCAAAATTGATACATATCAAATAAACGATTCAGTGACAATGCTGAGGGCCATACGCCCAGCTCAGCACTTGGGCCCCCTCCTGGAGGTGTTCAGGGATGGTGTGGTACCAGGGATTAAACTCAAGCCTTCTGCGTCAAAGCATGTGCTCCAGTCCACTGAGCTCGCTCTCGCTCTCTCTCTCTCTCTCTCTCCCTCCCTCTCTCTGGCCACAGATAAAGGTCTTTAATAAATTTAAGAATTATTAAAAAATTAATAATTTTTAATAAATTAAAAAGGTGATATAAATTATCAAAACAATATGCTGTTTTTAATGGAAAATAATCTTAACCAATAAACAGATGCCCCCTTACCTCTTTCAGCTTATTGTGAGAAAGATGTAGTTTCTCCATTCTTGACCACATGGATGCCTTTTCGCTCAAGTCCAAAATGCTGATCTGATTATAATTAAATAAGAGCTCCCTTAAATTTAGGGACTTCCAGTGAGCAGGACTAGGGAGGCACTGGATGGCATTGCTGCTCATGTCCAAGCACCGCAAGCTAAAGTGGAGTGAGATCAAGAAAAAAGCAAATGAGTCTTTCCAAACACAGAGGGGAAAGTTACAAGTGACTTTCATCAAAGTGAACGGTGCCTGAGCTAAGAGTCGTGAACTCAGAAACTTCTAAGCTCAGGAGGCTAAAGAGGGCACCACAGGCGTCAGCCAACATAACCAAGGAGCTGCCTCCTGCCAGTGCTCTCAGAGGGTGATGTTCCGGAGGATTAACGCTCGTCGTTAATCCGCTGCTTTTGTTGGCAGTCAAGTCTGGAGACATGATTTTGGTGTACATACACACAACAGCGAGAAATACTGTATACTATATTGAAAAAACAAAAGTGAGGGCTAATTTCCCTCCTTCAAACAGTCAGTGTCAAGATTTTTGCAAGATAAATAAAAGTTAACAGAAGCAACAGTGCACTCAGCATCCTGCTTCCCTTCAGGGTACAGATGTGTGGGCCCACTCTGCTCTGGAGTTGGTTGGCACTGTGTGGGCGTGTCACTCTGTCGCCCCATACTGAGTGTAAGACCTGAATCTTCTGTGGGAAGCAGAGAAGCACCTTCCATCTGGAAGTGTGTGTGAGAACTGAAAAAAGAAGCCACCTGAGGCCAAGGTCTACTCTGATTGCACACTGTCAGCCATTGAGCACAATCAAACCAGGAAGTGTGTGTCTCAGTTCACCTGCCGGGCCACTGCCAGGAAAGATGCAAACCTTTGTAATGACATTGCTGCTCGCATTTATTTTTTATTTTGCTTTTTGGGTCACACCTGGCAATGCACAGGGGTTACTTCTGGTTTTACACTCAGGAATTACTCCTGGTGGTGCTGTGAGATGCTGGGAACCAAATCCGGGTCAGCCACATGCAAGGCAAACGCCCTCCCCACTGTGCTATCACTCCAGCCCCCTCTGTTCTCAATATACTCGGAAAATTCATGGAGATAAGAAATCTAACTTGACTATATATTAAAGGTGGCATTTTTTTTTTTTGATGAACAACATGAGACAACGCAGCAAATCACCAGGCTGCTCAAAAGTGTGCTGTACTGGAAACAACCCCATGCCCATGGACCAAGGTGTGAAAAGAGATGTGCTGCCCACACGATGGGAACCTGCCTGCTATGCAGAGGGACCTGCCATCTGGCAGGACACAGTGGTCGTTGAGAACTGTAGGTCAGGATTCGGACAAACACCGCACGGGCTCATTCTCAGGGAGCAGAGAGAATCCAAACAGAGAGATGAATCAAATAAGATGATCGGAAATGTCTGGACCCTAAAACCAATTAGTTGTTCCACAAGGGAAGAAGAACATGGGAAGGCGTGCGGCAGGGCAGGAGGCTGGGGCGCAGTGCTGGTGTCCAGGGACACACACCTGCAATGCATGTTCTGAGGAGATTTCAATTCAAAGTTTCATCGAGTGGAAAACGGCAATGTTTATAGAAAGTGACTTACAGAGGCAGGGAAACAGCTCAAAGGACTCGCGCTTTTGCTTGGTGTGTGGGCAGCTGCCAAGCACCATTCTGAGAATGAGCCCTGAGTACTGGCTGTGGCAGGCCCTGAGTGCCTCTGGGTGTGGCCCAAAGACCAAGAAAACTTTTATGGTCACATAGAAGTGACACAAAGTAGGTACATCTCTTAGTTTCAACTGCACCCTCATTCCTGAAACAAAAGCATAAATTTAGAGGAGTATGTAAAAACTGCTGGAAATGGGGCTAGAACCTAGCACAGTGGGTAGGGCGTTTGCCTTGCACGCGGCCGACCCAGGTTCGACTCCCAGCATCCCATATGGTCCCCCGAGAACCTCCAGGAGTAATTCCTGAGTGCAGAGACAGTGTGACCCAAAAAGAAAAAAAAAAAAAAAAAACCACTGCTGGAAATGCAGGTCTGACGATGTATCGATAGTATGGTTAAGAACTGAGTGATATTTTTAGTTCTGATATGCATCTTATAGCCAATTTTCATAAGAATCTATCTGGCTTTCATACTCACTTTCAGGAACAAATTAGGTTAAAACACAGGACCACCTGCAGGCAGCAGTGGTCTGACATGGAATCACCAGCATTTACTGAGCATGACGTGAGGAAATCCCTCACCTGCCTGAGGACTATGTCTCATGATGACAGGCCCACACAGCACCATGCTTCCCTGGGGGCACCAGGGAGAGAGCGAGAGCCCATGTCTGAGCCGGTGCCCCATGTCTGACCCTTGCTGCCATCAGATGTAGAAGAGCCGATCTGGTCTGGCTGACAGTCTGTGACTATCACTTCCCTAAAAATGTCTGTATCGGTGAAAAACACTTGTAGATTTGCTTTATTACAGTTAGAATAGTATTTAAGGTGACAAAAATTTTGAAATTTGAATGAAATTAACCAAATATACCCGAATAGCTACTAACATAAATAGTTCTAATATTTACAAAAATATCATTCAAACATGAGTGACAACTGAGTAAATTCAACAGTATCTGAGCAACAGTATGAGCTTATGAGAGAAAATAATATTTTAAAAATGAAAGCAGTAGCAGGTACCATTACCTACATGGGCCTTTTCCCCCACTGCAAGTCAAACAGCCGCAGTCCAGTTATCAGGCTAATGGTCTTAGGCGAGACTCATCTTATGCCTAATTCAACCACAGCTCTGCATGCTCTGCTCCAACTTGTATTGCTTTTGATGGGGGAGGCGGGCAGTGGGAGCATTCTTTTGTTTTGGGGCCACGCCTGGCAATGCTCAGATGTTACTCCTGGCTCTGTACTCGGGAATCACTCCTAGCAGTGCTCAGGGGAACATATGTGGTACCGGGGGTGGAACAAGCAAAGGGATCCCCCGACCACTGCACTATCTCTCCAGCCTACCAGCTGGTCTGGCTATGAAGCTAAAAATAACAAACTTACTGTGGAAGATTTAAAATTGCTTCTGGAACATGCGTGAATCTGTTCTGAGACAACTTCAGACTTGTCATGGAAGACGGCAAAAAAGGCATATCGGCTGAAAGAGAAATGAGAGAACAATAAACAGCTTTACCATGTTGCCGTAGATTCTATAATAATCATAGTTAACAATGCCCTATTGTTTATTTTCTCATGTGGGTTCTTTAATCTACTTTGAAAATAAGGGCCTAACTGAACATCCTTAATCCTTCCCACCAAACATTAAAATGATGGGGAGCTAAGGACCACCAGGACCTCCAGGGGACCCTAAGGGGGTTCTGGGGCTGCACTTGGCAATTCTCTGGGTATCATGTGGTATCAGGGATAGAACCCGGGTTGGGTATATGCAAGACTAGCACCTTAACCCCATGGACCGCATGGTCCTTGACCATCACTAAAAGCAACCTTTGAGCACTCAACAGGGAGTAGCACTGAGCACTACAAGAATATACACATATATGGATTATATTCAGTCTAGAAATTTTTCAAGGGCCAGAATACCCCAGGGCATCCAGAAACTATCTCCCTAAGAAGCAGAAAGGCACATGTTCTACCTCACCTGTTTCTAAAATAGGTGGAGCAAAATGAGTCAGTCAAAATGACCTGCCACTGAGTCACTAAGAGTCTTGGGGTTCAGATGCGACAATGCTGATAATATCCAACACCCGGGCTTCCTTTTATAGGAAGCATTTGTGAAGGATGGTGCGTCCCTGAGTGTCATCACGGAAAAGCCCACCAGCAGTCTTAAGACTGCTGAGCTTTGCAGTTGGAGCAAAGAGATCTTGAACTTGGTTCCATTCAGGCTTCCACAAGGGGGGGGGGGGGTCCATTGATTTGCCCCCTCAGGCTTCTAGTCTCCCTTGGAGGTAGTAAGGGCTGCTGCTTTTCCCTAAGATGTGAACCCAAACAGGGCTCGTGTTCTTGGACAAGCCACACGCATGGTACAGACACATCACTGTGAACTCTGTAGGACCCTCAGGGCAGCCCGGCTTCCTCCTTCCAACAGGCACTCACAGGTATGGTGTCTGTGCCCCTCCAGACTGTCTGACCTCTGGGGCATCTGGTCACCCCTATGACCAGACGTGTTCTGCAGGGACACTCATCTCTGGTCTCAATCCCACTGCAGGGAGGCAGCACATGCAGGACACCCGGAGCCCTGGACAATGTACAGTGACATAGACCCACAACCACACCACTAGGAGTGCCGTGCTGCCCTCAGGCCTCCCCCTTGCACCTCTCTCCCATCCGGGCACCTGCAACTATCTCATCAACTCCTTCTGGAATGCCATGTGCTCAATGATCCATGAGCATGTGTTTTCACCCTGTTTTTAGGGCTTGCCGGTCCATTTATTTTTATCACCAACATGCCAGCTTTATCTCTGAACTCCAATCTGTTTTAAGGAAAATATCACCTTCATGTCTCCACCTAAAATTTTCATCTCTGTAAACTGGTAAACACTGTCCAGGAGCTGAGTTGTCGGGGACTTACCAAGGAAATTCATTCGGGCACTGAAGCTCTCCACTTTAGGGCAGGCCTCCAGGAAGTCTTCTGGCAGTGAGGAGATGAGGTTTTTACTAAGGTTCAAGACCTTTAGTTCCTTTAGACTCAAGTGGGAACTCAGCCCTGATATTTTATTTCTAGTCAGAGAAGACAAAACAAAGACTAAGTTGTAGACATGCAACTGCTTTAAAGAAATGATTGATGCTTGGAGGGCCCGCTCGGATGGGAGATGCACGCTGAAAGTAGACTAAAGACTGAATGATGGCTGTTCAATACCTCTATGGCTAACCACAACACCCATAAGGGGGGGGGGGGGGAGAGAGAGAGAGAGAGAGAGAGAGAGAGAGAGAGAGAGAGAGAGAGAGAGAGAGAGAGTGCTGCCACGGGGGCGGGGGGGGAGGGATACCCGGATCATTGGTGGTTGAGAATGGGCACTGGTGAAGGAATGGGTACTCAATCATTGTATGACAGAAATGTAAGCATGAAAATTTGTAAGTCTGCAATTTTATCCCACGGTGATTCATGAAAGAAAGAAAGAAGAACGGAAGGAAGGAAGGAAGGAAGGAAGGAAGGAAGGAAGGAAGGAAGTTAAAAAAATAAAAATAAAAGAAATGATCAGAACTTTGTGCCTTCAGAGAAGCATATCAGAGCAGGTTAAGTTACTGCAAAGATCCAGGAATGGCTTCTGCTCTGCCACAGACCCTCCTCCCTCCAGAAGCAGCCTCGGGGCATTCTGCCCGCTGTAACAGCCTGGAGCTGGGAGAGGGGGCTACTCACCCTTCCACAACCAGCTGCTCCAGGTTCTCAGCAGCAGTGGCCAGGTGCTCGGGGAGAGAAGTTAACTGGTTGTATGACAGGTTCAACTGCCTCAGGGTGGGACACTTCCAGGCAGGCTCCAGGACCACCGAGGGGCCGATGTCATTGCGCGAGACGTCAAGAGTGGCCACACACTTCATCTTCAGCAAGTAGGAGGGGAACGAGGTAAATCTGTTACTGTGCAAGTCCAAATGTGTCAGACACTTCAGCATCTGGAAAGACAGGGATTGAAATGTCAGAACGCACCAGGTAGTTAAGAATATGACATTTACCTAGTATTTCGCCTTCCTCAATGCTGGTAACTAAAATCATGAATGTGTTTTTAAAAAACAAAACTGAAAACAGAATCCACAGGAGTACACTCATGTGTACACAGGAGTACAGATCAGCACACTGATTAACTGGTCAACCTCTGCCACACAACGGAGCGGCTAGTCTTTGCAGTGTGGCTCGGAGAGCCCAGAGAAGGTGCACACTGGTCTTCCTGGATGCCCTACTGTGTCTGGCCCTGTCAGGCCCTCTCTGGCTTCTCCTGCTTTAGCTGAGCAGCAGGTGGGTCCCAAGGTGTCAGTCTGAATAGTCATCCCTAGAGCCTTACGGCATGGTGGCAGCGATCGGGGAGATGGAGACTGTTGCTGCCCTCAGGAGTTGGCAATTTCATGAGGACTGTGCAGCCAGGATCACCTCTAACTGGGCAAGCAGTGGTAATGTGGGCCAGGTGGGACCCGGCCGAGGAGGAGAGCAGAGCTGCATGGGGACATCACACTATTTGGGTGACAAAGAGGCACTGGGGATACGGTGGGCAGTGGAGGTCCCTGCCCTTCTTCTGCCCACAAATGCGAATATAATGAGAGGATAGCACTGATGCTGATTTAACCACGCATCTGTCTCAAAGTTACTATGAATTTTATAGGTTATAAAAAGGAAAAATATATTGCAATAAAACTAGTTCTTAAAAGTGGACATAGTCCTTTATTAAATTTTCAGTTCAGTTGAAATGGAGTTAAATAAACACTTGAATTAAAATCATTTTGTAGGGGCAATAGTACAGTGGGTAGGGCATTTGCCTTGCATGCAGCTGACCCGAGTTTAATCCCCAGCATCCCATATGCTCCCGCAAGCACACCAGGAGTAATTCCTGAGCACGGAGCCAGGAGTAAACCCTGAGAATCACTGGGAGTGACCCAAAAAGCAAACAAATAAATAAAATAAAATCATTTTGTTTTGGGTACATCTTCCTCGACTTCTTACCTAAAGTTCATAAAAGTGATGAAACACTTTTGCTCAAGCGGGCCCAGTAACGTCTCCATTGTGGGACTTCTTGTTACTGTGTTTGGCATATTGAATACTCTCAGTAGCTTGCCAAGCTCTTCGAGAGGGGCGGAGGAATCGAACCCAGCTCAGCCAGGCTGACTGCGCGCAAGGCAAACACCCTACCGCTGTGCTATCACTCCAGATAGATAGATCACTATCATTCATAAAAGTGATGAATAAAGTTAATATTCAAAAAGCTAGTATAGGGGCTGGAGAGAGAGAACAGCGGGGAGGGCGTTTGCCTTGCACAAGGCCGACCCAGCATCCCATATGGTTCCCTGAGCACCGCCAGGGGTAATTCCTGAGTGCAGAACCAGGAGTAACCCCTGTGGATCGCCAGGTGTGACCCAAAAAGAAAAAAAAAGAGCTAGCATATCAGCAGGCTTATCTCTTAACTCTTGCAAAGGGAATTTTAAGCAAAAAGAAAGAATTTTAAATTCCATATAATTTAAAACTCAAAGAAAAGCTTTTGTGATGACTGAGTCTCCACATTTCGCAGACGAGAGAGTAAGATGTCCTTGTCCCAAAGCTGGCAGTTAAGCCAGAGCAGTGCCACCAAATCAGATTGCACATCTTGCTTCTCTCACTTAACCCCAGTGCTAACCAGAGGAAAGTGTGACCACATCTGCCTAACACAGATCAACTCTCCCTCCCCACTGTCTCCGCACGGAGCCGCAGGGATGGGGTTGCAACCCAGCACACAAGAGAGCCCTCTCTGCAAGCATCTCCTCCGGGAGTCGGTGCCACATGCAGAGCGCCCGGCGTGCCGATGTCACCTCGCACAGCTTGGCAGGGAAGCCGGTGAGCGCATTCTGGTGCAGCTCCAGCCTCTGCAGGTGCTCCAGGTGGCTGAGGAGCCCACACTTCTGGCTGAGGGCGTCGATGTCTCTCAGCTCATTTGCGGAAAGGTCCAGTGATGTGATATATTCTCTCTCAGAGGCCAGGGAAGAAGTGCTGTCAGAAGGCCTGGTGTTGGACTGAAGCTTCGATGACCCTTTGGTCAAAGACAGACACGGAAATGTAAGAATTCCTCTCACCCAGCGAGTGGCTGCCGACCACCCCCTCGCACCAAGCTCCCTCCCAGTGGAAACTCGGCAGCGAAGTGAACGACAGAGGCACATCCCAGGAGCAGAAACACCGTGAGCAACAACACACAGTCAGAGAGCAGAGGGACTGCACAGCAGCTGACGGGGCTGGGTGGGCGCACACACACTTCAGGGAGCAAGAGGAAGGAAACAAGTGTCTTCTACCACATCGTAAAGGGTCAAATTTCTAGTCTCCAGTTGTAGCTCATTATTCTAGACTGTGGAAACACACCGGGAACAAACCATTTGATGGCCATATAGAAGGAAATAGAAAATTAGACACAAGAAAATCAGACAAGCAGAGAAAATGGAACAAAGTGCAGCTATACACTACTCAAAACACCATTTACTTAGGTTACTTTGAAATACTTACTGAGTGAATCATCTGAAGATACTATTTTTCTTTTTTGCTTAAGTAAATTTTCATGATTCAAAATGGGTTCCTATTCAACAAAAAGACATTTATAATAAAATCAATGTCCATTTTATGCAGAGAAGATTATTTTCTTGGGGTGGAGAAATAGATTATTTTCTTGGGGTGAACTAATAGTACAGCAGGTGTCTGACCCAGATACGATCGCCAGCACCCCATATGAACCCCCAAACCCCACCAGGACTGATCTTTGAGCACAAAGCCAGAAGTAAGCCCTAAGCACTAGCTGAACTGACCAAAACACAAAAACAAATTTTTTTTATCATTTTCCCTAGAAATTACCATAAGATCTAGAGTGTTTGTCAATTCTTGTGGGACCAGGCCCAACAGTAAAGGGCAGGGTGACATCAAGGGTTTTCAAGATTCCAGCCACAACCAGAACTTCAGTTCCCCAGAGAAGTCAGTAACACACACACACATACACACACACACACACACACACTCACACACTGGAAGTTCACTGACCAATGAACTGGAATGCCTTTGTAGGTTTGGTGAGCAACGCTGCAAGGCAGGGTCTCGATAAAGTTCTCCCACACTGATTGAATTTGGCTTTTTTTTCATAAGAAATGAGCTTCCGCTTCCTATTTTTAAATCATAAAGGCAAATAAGAAATATTAACTCAATCACAAGATGAGGAATCATAGTTTCATCAAGATTAAATATTTCCATTCATGAAAACTGCCCAGTTCCTTTTCTGTAACATCCTTAAATTATGTTGTCTTTTTATTTTCAAAATTCAACCATAGTTTTCTTCATCCATGAATTATATCAAATTGCTGAACAAGTGTCTGTGGCAAAGATAAGCAGGAAAATAATACATTCCTCATAATTTCAAGGTGGGAAAGAGCCAACACATATGATAAAAACATACCAGATAGGAAACAACAAAAGTTTATGTACAAATCTTTAATGAGATTCTTTTGCTTCAGTCAAGTTTTCTTGCAAAATTTTCAAATCTCAAATTGCACAGTGGACTCACACTATATTATTTTGCGGGGGTCCCGGGGATCAAACCCAAGGCCTCAAACCTAGGAGGCATGAGCTCCCGCACTGAGCCATGTCCTGGGCCCCAGGGTCACACAGCAGCCTTGACTAAGTCTCCACTTAACTCAGCACTCTAGGGCTTCATTCATGGAATGAACACTAGAGAAAACAGAATGAGCAGGCACAAGCTAAAATGGCCCCTATTTAAAAAAAATTAAATTAAATTAAATTAAAACTTAGGGCTGGAGAGGTAGAACAATCAGAAGGTGGAGGGGCTGGAGCGATAGCACACTGGGTAGGGCGTTTGCCTTGCATGCAGCTGACCCAGGTTCGATCCCCAGCATCCCATATGGTCCCCTGAGCACCACCAGGAGTAACTCCTGAGTGCATGAGCCAGGAGTAACCCCTGAGTATTGCTGGCTGTGACCCAAAAAGCAAAAAAAAAAAGTAGGTGGAGGGGCAGGCTTTAGGGGCTCTCAGAGCGCCAGGGCCCCAGGCTACCCACAGGAGGCCCAGCTGCAAAGCAGAGGGTGTGCTGAGAGTGGGGTTTCCCAGAAGCACAGCCCCCACAGTGCAGGGACACGAGGAGAGAGAGTCCTGCCTTCAAGCTGAGCAGGTGCTCCAACCCAAACCCACTTCCCTTGAGTTCTCAACAGGAGTCCAGTCAAGTTTCACCTCAGTTGCTGCCCACGGGTGCCAGTGTGTCTGCCAGAACAAGGAGATTTTTCAAAGCAAATACCTTCACTATCCAGGTCATCACTTTGACCAAACATACTGTCCACAAAGGGTTCAGGAATGAAGGTCCAGTCATCGAGCTCATCAAGGGCTTCAGAGCCAGGCCCTTCACTGACGGAGCCCGCACCCTCGGGCCCTCTGCTCCGAGCCTGGCACCCGAGCACCAACCGGGCCAGCACAGATCCCATGCCTACAGCAAAGGGCACAGCACAACTTAGAAGTCAAATTTTACTCGAACAAGTACAGATCACACCAAGGTCCCTTATACATGCTCATCTTTCTAGGGAATTCTTCATCTTGACTTTCAAATCCCTTTCCTATTGAGATATTAACTATAATCAGCTGGCAAAAAATCACGTTTTTGAAAATGGTAAAAACTGACATATTTTGGCATGGTAAATAACATGAAACTCGGTTTGGGCTAAGAGCTGTAAGCACAGGTATACAAGGCAATACCTAAACGCCCTGAATGAGCTTCTGGGTGGGTGAGGGAGTGAGCACACAGGACTGGGAGGCAGGGAGAGGGAGGAAGGAGAAGAGGTGAGCACACGGGGGGGTGAGAGGGGACTGGCCGCCGGGTTCACAGGCTGGGTCTGCAGAGGAGGCGCAGAGTGTGGGTGTTAAAACAAAGCACGGGTTGGGCAGGTTTTCCCTGTCTTTCTTCTATGCGGAGAGTCGGAGGGGTGGGGTGTGGGATACAGGGATCAGAGGCGTGGGGCTGGGGGCCCAGCTCAGAGCTAGCCTTGCGCCTACAGGCCTGTGCTTCCCCTGAGCTTCCGCCCAGCCGAGCAAGCACGGCTTTCATGAAAGCCCGATGGCAGAAAGGGATGGAAGAGGGTGGGCAGGCTAGGAGGTGGACAGTTTGGAAAGCTGCTGGGTGCTTGAGACTTTAAAGCTCAATCCGTGCAAGGAACGCCAGGCAGCCAGATGTGTTCATCCAGAGGGCAACCCTGCCCTTACTCTTGAGATACTCCTAAGCAGAATGCAAAGTCTACTAGCCTTAAAGCACAAGCATCTATGTGCATGTTTACATGCTTACATGTACTTAAGCATAGCGGGGAAAGCACATGATCTGAAGAGGGAGAAGCTGGATTATTCTTATTTTCTTCCTTACGGATTTGTCACTGTCACTGTCCTTCCGTTGTTCATCGATTTGCTCAAGCGGACCCAGTAACGTCTCCATTGGAGACTTTGTTGTTACTGTGTCTGGCACATCGAATACAGCACGGGGAGCTTGCCAGGCTCTGCCGTGCGGGCGAGATACTCTCGGTAGCTTGCCAGGCTCTCCGAGAGGGGCGGAGGAATCGAACTCAGGTCGGCCATGTTGGCTGCATGCAAGGCAAACGCCCTACTTAATCCCTTTAAAAAGTTAGCATAGATCACTGACGTATGATGAGTGACAACACAAAGCCAGGAGAGAATACAGGGGTTCGCTGTAGCACCCGGACTTGTTCCCAGCACCACGTGTGAACGTCACTGGGGGTTGCCCTGCCGGTTCCCAGCGTCAGGCCCCAGCACTGACCTCCAGCCTAGTGGACCAACTCCTTTCAGGAGGGGCCCCGAGGCCCTAAGCACCACTTTAGAGCACACACCCCCCACCACCACAGAAAAAAGAAAAGAAAGTGCAGGGCTGGGTTTATCCCCTCACCACAGGGCACCCAAGCACGGCCGGCGGCCTTGGTGACCCTCAGCACCCCTGCACCTGGCACGGGACCACCCAGTCCTCACAGCTGGCCCTGGAAGAAATGAGCTATGTAAAAGCGTGGTCCCTGAGAAAGATCCGAGTTCTCTGCTCCGCCTCTACAAAATACATTTCGCTAAAATATAAAGAATTTAAACGTAATGCCATCTTCGAGCACTCTATAACAAAAAATATATCTAAAGTTGTGGCCACACTTTTTACTTCAGTGTAGCAAAGTGGAGTACACCTTGCTGAACACCGCTGACAAATGGGCGGGCTGTCCGTCCTTACGTGTCTCGCTCCCGGCACTGGGCGCCCTGTCTGGGAACAGAGGGCCCAGCCACGTGGGCTCCAGCCGCCCCAGGCAGAAGCCACCCAGGCAGATGCTGCTGTTGGCCAGGTCCAGGGCAAGCCTCCGCAAGAGCAGGCTGACCACGGGGCCGTCCCCCTTGCCCACGCTGATGGCCAGGGCAGCCCGGACGTCCTGCTCTCGGGAGCCACCATCGAGCAGCAGCTCCACCAGGCGGGGGCTGCCGGTCTTCTCACACACCTGTGACGGAAGAGATGGGGCTTGACTGAGCATCCCCTCACCCTCCACACAGATCCAGCAAGGAGGCAAGTGCAGCCTCAGAGTAAGTTAGAAATGATTAGCAGCACAAAGGCTTTGCCACGAGTGTGGGCTCTGACGGGCACAGGAAGGCAGGGCAGCTCAAAGGTGAGCTGGACCCCGAGGCCCAGGAGTGCCTGCCTCCGGGCTGCGCTGCCCGCAGCTCCGGACACTGCTGGTGCCTGTTTCTGTTCTGCCCTCCCCGCTGCAGGAAGCTGCACCCTGCACCCCACTCCTTGGAGATGCACCTAAGAACAGCAAGTCCATGTCAGACCAATATTCACCCTAGAAACCCTGAGGAGATCAGCTCTGCTTTGGTTCCTAAACTTCCTCACGTGTGCTCCTCTGGCACATGGTCTGTGCTCAGTATACCCAGAGGCAGCAATCAGAATTGATACTCAGTATTTGCTAAATGCAAATAATTTCTGCCAGTCAGGGTAGATGCTTCAAACTTAATACGCCCACCCGTGCAAACTTCCACATTCAAGGACAAATAAATAGTACATTAACTCTGAAGATTAGGAAAAGAATAGAATAAAAGACTTTTTGTTCAAAAACATTTCCCTAAATTAAGAGAAGGATGCAAAGCATTTTCTGCAGGAAGGCAGAGTAAGTGCATCAGGTCCTTTAAGGATTGCTGTTTTCCTAAAGAACTAACTCCAAGGGACAGTTTTTCCTCAGCTCAGTGACCTGAGTGACCTGCACACAATCTGCTCAGCTACCTGTAGACCACTGAAAACTTTCCAGACAACAAAAGAAAATATAGGAAAAATAACTGGGAAATGATCGAGACTAAACCATCTAGTGAGATGAAACTGGAGAACAGTTCATATAAAGTGAGTGAGTTAGGGACACACTTTAAAAGATTATTCCTCAACTTAACAAGGTAGGTTAACATGTAAAATGAGGAACGATAGTGAATAATAGCTAAAGAACACACTTTCCTGTGAAATTCTGTGACTCTAAGCTCCTACTACAAATCACAAGCAGACGTGTCAAGATAAATAATTAGTAAATTCTGCAGTAAGAGAAGATGCTGTAAGAGCTATGAACAGCAGGACAATGGCAGTGAAAGGATGTGTGGTCTCGAATACTCACCTGGCAAATCAGAGGAGGGGTCTCCTTGACTCCACTGGCATCGGCTCCCAGCAAGAGCAAACACTCAGCCATGACACTGTTGTCCTGCTCGCAGGCTCTCTCCAGCATCAAGCCCTTCAGCTCGTCCTCCGCACTCAGTTTTGCAAAGCACCTACAGCAGAGTCTCAGAAACTGAAAAGAGCAGAAATGAGAAGCAGGGCCAGACAAACACACTGTAATATTTAGCATGCAGGGGAATAACAATATGGAACCTGCTGGTCTTTTTGCTCCAGAATGCCAGAAGACATCTGATGGAAAATGACTGAATCAAATGAATGATGCAACAGCAGCTTGGAAAAAGGCGGCAGCAACTCCAGGATTTTCAGGATGGTCTGAAATCCCTGAAAGTGTGAGAGCAGTAATATCAACAATGGTCAAATAAATAAGCAGATAAAGCAGAGAGTTTGCCTGTGACAGTCAAAACTTGTGATGTTCACTTAACTAAATAAATTTATAGTTTGTTCTTGAAAGCAGCAATTTTTTTAAATGACTCTATAAATCGCCCCCATTCTCTTATAGCCGAGAGTTATCACCATCTGGCCAAGCAGTAAGGGGCTTGACCCTCTAGCACTTGGCTTTTGAGATCCCTACCTGACACCTATCTGTGGAACGAAAGTCCCTTGTCATTACCACTTGTGAGTGAGGTTTTCCAGATAGTCAAAACTTTCCCAACAGTTTTGTGTTCTGAAACTTTTAACCTTAAGAGACAAACGTTCCTCCTAGATTTTACTTGTGAGTCATTAGAGAGCAGCTCTGAAGGCAGCCTGGGTTTGTAAGTTTGCCATAAACCATTATAAAATGAACTAGCGAGTTACACCTCACCTCTCAGAACCACAGGTAGAGGTTCCGACAGACGTCTGTTCACCAGGTAACGCTGGGGGAATGTATGGATTTTGACTCTGTATTAGTTATCTTAGTGTTCAACAAAGGTCAACTGAACTTTCGAATTTTTATTATCATTAAAATATAATGATGATATTGTCTACATACTGAAAGCATTTTTTGAGCTTCAGGGATGAGAAGTTTCTACAGGTACTCACTTTTAGTGAGAGTGTTCTAAATATCTGCAGGTCCAAGGAGACTGTGTTCCTCACCTCCCCTTGCATATATAAATGAACAATGACAGTGTGCAGAACTACAGATTCAAATATAGAGCTAAAGACCTTGTGTGATCATGTCAAATATCGGCAAGCCAGATCCAGCCAATTGCCGATAGTTTATAGATCCTAAAGCACATGCCTAGATTAATCAATAACTGCTGAAAACCATTTCCTTCTCCAGGATTATTTCTAACCAGTTCTGCTGAGGTTGAACGCTTCGTGGAAATCAGGTTTTCAAAAATACACTGTAGGCTTTTTTGGTTTGCTTCTTTTGAAGGTCACACCTAGCTGTGCTCAGAGTTTACTCCTGGCTCTGCACTCAGGGGTATCAGGGACTGAACCTGGTTGGTGTCGTGCAAGACAAGCGCCATACCCCTAGTTCTACCTGCGCAGCCCCTAGTTTTATCTAAGGATGTTGTGTGTCAGAACCTTTTCATTCTACATTATCTCACCACTGACGATGTTTCCACAAAGACTGGTGCCTAGATATTTTTATTCCTGGTCACTGTTGCCACTTATGAAAGCGTAGTCCAAATTTCCACTATTTATAAATAAAACACTGCAAAATGACCAATGGTTCTCAAGTCACTAGAATGTTCCCATTAATGCAAAGTGGATTTACACCTGCTACCGGGAGTCTGCAGAAGCTCTGACAGCGCCCTCCAGAGGCACCAACCTTCATCTGCACATCAGGGACATCGGCGAAACGCTGCAGGGTGGACACCAGAATCTTGGCCAGCAGATGCCCTGTTGCTATGCATAAATTCTTCTTTGTGATCAAACAGCCTATAAGACTTAAACCCAGACACTGGATTTCTAGAAGAAACAAAGAAAAAAAAGAAAAATGCAAACAATATAAAAAAACTGAAGGGCGTCCAGGCGCAGCAGAGGTCTGTACAAATCCATCCTGAGCCACGGTCTCACCTTGGCTGTCGGGGAACATCTGCACCGTGTGCATCACCGTGTCGACAGCACCCTCCAGAGCCAGCACCTCCAGGGCCTCCGGAAAACAGGCCACAGAGGAAATAACTTTCAATCCACACTTCTGAATCCCAGGATTTCCGATGAACTGAAATCAAAAGAGCGATGTAGAATATCTGCAGTTAAAATGAAGTAATACTTATTTTGTTTTACTTTTTTTAAATTTTTATTAGCGAGACACCATGAGGTACAGTTGTAGACTTACAAATTTTGTGCTTGGGTTTTAATTATACAATGATAAAGTACCCACCCCTCCACCAATGCCCATTTCCCACCACCACGGATCCCAGTATCCCTCCTCCCCCCAACCCCCCTATCCCACCCTGCCTCTGTGGCAGGGCATTCCCCTCTGTTCTCTCTCTCCCTTTGGGTGTTGTGGTTAAATAGTCTTACATTTATTGATTAAAAAAAAACAGAACATGGGAACTTTAAAACAACTTAAAGCACAAGTTTAAAGCTTCTCCTAAAGCACAAGTGCCACTTTGCTGACATTGTCATCTTGTATCTGCATGTTCAGTGCCAAAGATGTGTCATGACTTCAAACAAAAACATCTGTCACCCCCCACGTTCTGATGGGTGGCTGGCCTTGGGGGTGTGCTGTCATCCCATGTGCTCCCCAGGCCATCAGCTTTCATATATGCTGCCACCATTGCAAAATGCCCGATTTTTATTTTTTTAATTCTATTTTTATAAAGTTGTTCACGGCATTTAATTACATTTACTATTCAAACACCAATCCCACAACCATTATACCTTCTCATGACCATATTTCAAATATTTTCACCCCAAACCCCAAACACTGCCCCCAAAGAAGAACCGAAGTAATTTATTTTGTATTGATGGTTTTGAATAATCTGCTAAAAATGATCCAAAAAAGTTTATTTAGAGGAGAGTGAGTGAAGATTGTTGTGTTTCACCCAGGAACCAGTAAGCCCTTCTATAAGAGATTACCAAGATATTGTTAAAGGTGAAAGGTTGAGCCAATCCCCCTAAGACTGTTTGCCTTCTACTTTAAACTCCATCAAATGTGATGTGTTACATGGGAGGTCGCCCTGCCGCAAATGCGCCTGCATGCTCCAGGAATTCTACGATTCAAGATCCATTATAAAGCCTCGCTTCACTCACGGGTGAGGCCCGTCCGAGCCTGTGGAGTGTGATCGTGAGCATGGCGGAGACTGAGTTCTAGAGGCTTTTGCCTGCTGGGGCTCCTCTGGAGTGGCGAGAACAACTCACCAGCCCCCCTCTGGATTGCTCCAGGTAAGATAGCCTCGTGCAGAGTCTGGGGGCATCTCTCTGGCGTCCAAATGCCTGAGTTTTAGACATTAGATTCTACACTTTTATTTTGTACTGGGCTCTACAAATGAGGTAGCTGAATGATTCTGCTCCAAGTTCAAAATATATCACAGATCTATTTTATATGCTAAAAATCAAATCAGATTTGAATTTATGATGTGCTCATCCATGTCCTTAATACCCTCACCTCTAACAAGTGCCAGCTTGGCTCTTGCTACCTTGAACTCCCCTGGGGACTAACTACATCAAGTGCAGTTCACTGTGACTAATAAACAAGAGATCTGTTTTCTATGCATGAAAGGGAATCCCAGAAAGACTAGAGAGAGTATGGAGGTTAAGGCACCCTTAGCCAAGCCTTGCACCCTGCTGGCTTGGTTCAACCTCAGAGCCACATGCAGTCACCCAAGTACTGCCAGGGGTTACTCCTGAGCAGAGCTGGAAATAGCCCCCAGCCACTACCAGGTGTGACCCAAACCCTCCCTGCAAAATGGATCATAGAATGTAGAGCTACATATCATTACATATGATGGAGCTCAGGTAAGTTTTTTGATAATTTAAAATAATGGTACTTGATTACTGACAGATTTATAAATTTGAAAATATGTATAAAAAGTAATGTGTGTCATATTTATAAACCTAAGGACTTTTTTCACTTACCTAATAGTCTTCCTTAAAAATAGTGATACAAGGCTGGAGAGATATAGCACAGAGGGTAGGGCACTTGCCTGGCACAAGGTTGACTCGGGTTCGATTCCCAGCATCCCATAGGGTCCCCTGAGCACTTCCAGGAGTAACTCCTGAGTGCAGAGCCAGGAGGAACCCCTGTGCATCGCCAGGTGTGACCCAAAAAGAAAAAAAATAGCGATACGTTGCATTTCCGGTCAAATGGGAACCAAAATCAATCCATTTGTACTCAGCAAGAGCTGTCCAGCTGAAAGGCGGAAGTTGCAATGGGAAGACAGACACCTACAGACAAGTCGTCGCCATCAATGAGGTCGCAACCACTCATTCGTGAAGTCGCCACCATTCCATGACCTCTGCTTCACAACTCTCCAAGATTTTTCAGAGAATTCAGAGATAATATAAATGTGTCTCTACGAAGAAAACTAACCAGATCAAGCGAAAATACTGCAGCCCCTTTACTATCTGCCTCCTGAGTTGGTCCAATTCAGAAAAACGATCCAGAAGAAAAATGAGTATCGAGCTGACCTATGCCTGGAAAGAAAGTCTGGATCTCAAGAGAAAGAGCCCTTGGAGCAATCAGACAAAGCCACAGGTCCTGTGCCCTGGGGGGGGGGGGGGGGGGCGGTGCTGGGCGAGTGGGGTCTGCTCATGTCACCAGGGGCTGGGCTGGGGCGCCACTGCCCTCACCAAGGGCACAGAGCCAGAGAGAGACTCCAGAGACACCACCAGACTGTTTGGTTCCGGAAAGGACCAACTTAACTTCCACTCAAACTCCAGGCTGAGACTGTCACAAGATGAAACAAAATTACACAAGAGCCAACAGATTCCAGAAGGTGGGAAGCTAGGTGTATGATAAACAGACAATTACACTGTAAGCATTTAGTCTGCTGCCACATTTTACTATTAAAACATTACAATAAATAGTCTCATCTAAATAAGCTTTGTACATATGTGCACCTATATTATAAATTCTTACAGTGGAACTGAAATCAGAAAATGCCCATTTAAATTTTCGTGGAAATTATGAAATTTTTCCTAACAAGTTTTTTAAAAATTTACATTTCTTCCATAAAGATTTATACTTGAGAATTCTTCCTGTCACTGCAGGCAAAATCCACAGTTAGCTTTAAATATCAGTCATGCCCTTGCGGGTATAGCTGGGGCCCCACCCTGGTCCCTCACTGGAGAGCTGATCATTGCACAAACAGCACCTCCAGATCCAGGGCAGGGAGGCTATGCCGGTGCCTCCTGTGAAACTACTTTAGCATGGCCAGGACCCCAGCAGCGGAAGCTCCACCGCACAAGGCACAGGAAGCTCTCGTCTGACTGCTAGAGCCTAATACACTCCTCCGACAGATGCAACCTTCACTACTTCTGGAATAAAATTCAACTAACTAGAACAGTGCAGCGTCTCCTGCCTCCGCGCCTGGCTGTCCTCACCTTGGAGGTGGGTGGGTTGAGTTTCCCTCCCCACTCCGAGCAGAGCCCCAGTAGCTGAAGACCTCCGGTTCCAGCCACAGCCATGCTTAAGACCACTCTCCACATGTTCGGACGAGCCTCACACATGAAGGATCCGACAGAGGAACCCAGGTGTGCGGGACCCAGGGCATAGATCTCTAAGCCTGCTCGGATTGGGACTGGGACCTCCTCCACCCAGATCCCCCACCTTCCAGTATGTAGGCTTTACACCCACCAACTACCCCGGCGCCGTGTAATCCCATCAACAGCCAAGACCCAGAGACTATAAAACCCTGCTCCTGGAAGCATTTGCGGCTGCATGACATCTTATTTTCTAGTTCTTACTCTGGTGAACCTGGCAGGCTACCAAAAGTAGCCTGCCCACAGAGCAGAGTCTGGCAAACTCCCCGCGGCGTATTCAATATGCCAAAAACCAGTAACAATGATGGGTCTCATTCTCCTGACCCTGAAAGAGCCTCGAATGTGGCACTTTTTAAAATCTCAGGGCTAGGACGAAGGAGACATTACTGGGGCCTGCTCGAGGCAATCGATGAACAACAGGATGACAGTGATACAGTGATACTATTAAAGGCTCAAATCCATCACAGACAACTGTAAAATTCCGTTTCAGCTGAATTTTTTAGTTAGGGTTCCCTGCAAGGTATTTTGATTAATTGATATTGTCAGGGTACACTAAAAGACATGGACTCGTTTCATTTAATTACCTTGATTACATTTTCCTTACATGAAAACACTAGTACTAACCAATCCTTACATCTTTACTCTTACCGCTTATGAAGACTCAATACATCTTATGCTAAAGGACTAAGGCATTTTAATTCCATCGATACCTTTGAATCATTACAAAATCTCTCGGCCTTCTCGGAACCAGGATGGGCTATCTCCCCCCACCTCTCTGTACTCTGGAAGCCCCAGCTTCTAGACAAACCACCTCTGACACCATGTAAGCACATCTACTGGCCTCGCTCCAGAGACTCATAAATAAATCTCAAAGAGATCCACTAGCTGCAAAACTTTCTCAGATACCAATTCCCAGCTGAGACATCTCAGAGCAGGGCAGGCCAGGGCCTGTCCAAATAAAGCCCTGGCAGCCACTTGCTCCCACACGCCAGAGTCGCTGCTACGCCTGCGGCCAGCATCCATCTCCTCATGACTGAGCCTCCCAGAGAAATCAGCCAGCCGAAAACTCAGGAACACAGGTCCCAGTGACTGAGATCTCCAGGCCCTCTCGGCGTCAGGACTGGCTACCTCCCTATGCTTGCAGAAGCCTGGGCAGTCATGCCCACACCCCAGAGCCGGCACCCAGTTAACAATTTACTCCAGCTGTACCACCCAGTTAAAAATCTATTACATGATACAGAACTCATGATACAGAGTCACTAATTCAGGAAATATAAAGACTTCGAAGTGTTTTTAAGATTCTCTCCTTTTTTTCTGCAATAAGGCCCTATCTCAGATAAGAAATGTTATGCTATGGTCATTAAAGAAGACAAAAATTAATTATTTTCTATTATTAATAAAAATTGAGTTTACTGGAATGACATCGCCAAACTCCAAACTGACAATTGAGTAGTAGCACACAAGATTGGACGGGATATAACGTAGAAGCCAACCAATCTTGAGTACCAAAAACATTACCACTGAAGGCCTAACTTGTAACCTCATTAACCCCTCACACAAGGACTTACTGTCTCCATGGTGAGATACAATTTTCACTAATTTTCTTCTAAGAAAATATTTTTTGATCATTCTGTTAGCAATTTATTTGTAACAAACAATATAAAATAAATTACTGTGGACCTGCTACAGGGGCAGACTTGAGGGGTGGCTGTGAAAACTGGAGACAGTGATGGAGGAAGGTGACTGTGGTTGTGGGATTGGTGTTGGAATACTGAATGCCTGCAACAAATCATCATAAACAACTTGGAAACCGTAGCGTTTCCATGCAGTGTGGGGAAGATATTTTACATATGTAGGCCTTACCTATTTCATGTAAACTCCAACATCTATTAGCACAGACTTCTTAAAAGTTTTATTAATGACAGGTAAGAAATGATTACTACCATAATGAGATCCAAGTACAAAATACAATTTAATGCAATATATTTTAGATTCCAGAGTTGAAAACTAACTTGTATAAATGAGAATAGGCATTTTATTATATTGTGTTAAATGGTTTTAATTTCTCTATTTACACAGGTTAGAATCATATAGCAGTCACAAATTGGCTTTTACTGATTTATTTTCTGATAATTTTATTTGCTGTTGTTTAAGTTTTGTTGGAGCAAGCATTATGAAGTGAATGTGTTGTGTGCCTAAGAGGGCAGGCAGGGGTTGGAGGGCAAACTGGGGACATTGGTGGAGGAAAGGTCACAGCAGTGGTACTGAAACACTCTATGCCTGAAACAAATGTATTATGGACAACTTTATAAATCAGTGTTTTAATTTTTAAAAATGTGTTTAAAGAAAAATACCTTTTTAATTTCCCAATATAAGCATAAACATATCCTCTTTATCGTATTAAATATGGTGTTATTGGTTACAATAGGTTCCCACAAATGTACTAGGTATACATGTAAAGGTCTAAGAAGAAACAACACACATGACCATTTTCAGCTTATCCTGGTGTGATCTGGGGACACGTGCACAGGAATCAGAGAGATATAATGTGGTTCCAAAGAAAAGACTGGCATCCAAGGGTCTAGAGTCACTCAAGAGGCAAATGAAGAAGCAGGATGATCCATTTCTTTCTGGCTGAACAGACATATGAGTGACTTCTGGCATCAAAAGTGTCTGGGCAAGCCTGCAGCTGATGGAAACCATCACACGACCGTGGGCTGACCCTCTCCTCCCCACGTCGCCATAGCACCCTGTCTCCATGCATGTAACGTCCGACCAGAGCAAATGGAGATAGAAAACTGTCTCTCATCACCCCAAACTTAATATTCTATGTAACTACACAAAGGTATAAAATCAAAATTGTACAAACCCTGTTCAGAGATGCTAAGACCAGCTTGTGGATGTCATTCTTTAAACACTGCTTCCGAACCAAATTTAGCTTATGTTGCTCTTCAGTATCTCCCCTGGATTCTTCTTGCATGCCTAGATGCAAAAATAAATGCATAACTAGATATGCAATATTCACAGATGAGCAAATAAATGCTTTGGTCATGAATATTTTAGCTGAACAGATTAAATTCTTATCTTCTTATTGTCATTACCATGACTGACCCAACAATATTCAAGTTGTACTTTTTCCTGATAGTTCTTTATCAAAAAAAATTAAGTCCTAGCTTCAACTATTTTGTGAAAAATAGTTCAGTGCTGAACATAGAATAAATAAGGTCTTTGTGGATGTAAAAGCAGTTTCAATAGTGGAAGAATTTTCTGCAGCAAACAATCTCCTTTGTGTGTGAGGAGGTAGAATTGGCCACAAGAAGTCAGAATTTTATGCAATGATGGAAAACTTGAGAAAAGCTCAGAGTTATTTGGACAAAAAGGTCAGATATAAAGTGTAGGCAGCAAAAGAAAATGATATATCAAGAAAACTTAAACTTGAGCTTAAATATTAAAATGGCAAAAAGCACACAGTTTTACTTAAAATCCTTAAATCAGTATTACATTGTTATTTGCTTGAGCGGGCACCAGTGACGTCTACATTGTGAGACTTGTTGTTACTGTTTTTGACATACCGAATACGCTATGGGGAGCTTGCCAGGCTCTACTGTGAGGGCGGGATACTTTTAGTAGCTTGCCGGGCTCTTCAGGAGGAACAGAGGAATCGAACCCGGATTGGCCATGTGCAAGGCAAATGCCCTACCCGCTGTGCTATTGCTCCAGCCCAGGATATATAATAGGACATATATAATAGGACACAAAATTATTTGAAGCAATGTTTCCAATGCCTGACTACAAAAATAAGTATTACTATAAGTATCAATAATTATTTAAAACTCTCCACTTTAATAGTTTGAATTAACATAAGCTATAAGTTGGTTGCATGCAGATTTGCATTTATTGATTCCTTGAAACCATTGAGAATGAAGATACAAGCTCTCAGGATACAGCAAAAGCTGTGAAAGGGAAATTCACAGTGATGCAGAGCTACATTAAGAAAGAAGAAAAAGCCCAAATCAACAACCTAAACACACCTCAAAAATCTGGAGAAGGCAGGAAAAGCAAATGAACCCAAAATGTAGTAGAAGAAGGAAAATAGTAAAACCAAGAGCAGAAACCAACAACAGAGAAACCAAGAAAGTGGTTAAAAACATTGATAAACCAGCGGTTGATTCCTCAAAAGAATAAACAAGATAGATAAACCTTTAGCTATACTCATGAGGGAAAAAAAGAGAAAATGTCCAAACAGATCCAAAACAAAAGCGGGGAAATTAAAACAGATCCTTCAAAAATTCTAAATATAATGAGAGGTTCATATAAAAAAAACTTTAGAGGCGGGAACAATAGTATAGCAGGTAGGATGTTTGTCTTGCATGTGGCCCACCTGGGTTCAATCCCCGGCATCCCATATGGTCCCTTGAGCACCACCAGGAGTAACTCCGGAGTGTAGAGCCAGGAGTAACCCCTGAGCATTGCCAGGTGTGACCCAAAATAAGCAAAAAAAAAAAAACTTTAAGCTGAAGAAACTAGAAGAAATGAATAGATTGTTAAGAGTCATGTAAATCCCAACATTGAACAAGGAGGATGTACAAAGTCTGAACAGGCCAGTCACAAGTAAGGAAATTGAAACAGTAATTAAGAATCTCTCCAAGAGCAAAAGCCCAGGACCAGATGAGTTCATTGGTGATTTCTCTCAACCCTTCAGAGAATTTATACTGTCTTTACTGCCTTAAGCACTTCCAATAGTCACTGTCTCTGTCACTGTCCTCCCATTGTTTATCGATTTGCTCGAGTGGGCCCAGTAACATCTCCATTATGAGACTTGTTGCTACTGTCTTCGGCATATTGACTACATCACTGGTAGCTTGCCAGTCTTTGCCATGTGGGCAAGATACTCTGAGTAGCTTGCTGGGCTCTCCAGAGGGACGGAGGAGTCGAAACTGGGTCAGCCAATAGTATCAGACATAAAAATCCTTCCTAACACCTTCTGAAGGTGTTACACTAATACCCAAAGCAGACAGAGACACTTTTAGAAATAAAATTTTCAGACCAATCTTCCTGATGAACATCGATGCACAAATCCTTAATGAACTCTGAATAAACCAAATCCAACAATGTATTAAAAAAATCATATACCTCGATCAAGTGGAACTCATCCCAGGGATGCAAGACTAGTTTAATATATGAAATCAATTAACATAGTAAAAGAAAAATTTAAGTCGTATGAATACATCAATAGAAGCAGAGAAAACTTTTGACAAGACCCAACATCCATTATGATAAAAAAAAAAAACCTCAACAAAATGGGACAAAATGGGGGTGGAAGGAACACTGAAATCATAATAGCCATCTATAACAAGCCCATACCCATTATTATTCTTAATAGAAAGCACTCCCTCTGAGATGAGGTATAAGGCAAGGATGTCCACTATATCCACTTTTACTCAATAAGTTATTAGAAGTCTAGATTGGAAAATAAAAAGTCAAATCATCACTATTTTCAAATGACATGATAATATGCACAGAAAACCCTAAAGAGTTCACAAAAAGGTTGGAGGGCTAGAGTGATAACACAGCATGTAGGGCATTTGCCTTGCACGCGGCCAACCCAGGTTTAATTCCCAGCATCCCATATGTCCCCTGAGCACCGCCAGGAGTAATTCCTGAGTGCAAAGCCAGGAGTAACCCCTGAGCATCACCCAAAAAGAAAAAAAAAGTAGGTGGAGGGGCAGGGTTGAATCAGATAACATTCTCACTACTGGTAGTGGATGAGTTCTTTTTTCACCACATACCTGCCAACACAGATTGTTCCTACTGTTTTTGATATGTGCTATTTTAACTGGTGTAGATGTCTCATTATCTTGTTGATTTGGATTTCTCTATTGATAAACGATGATCAGCACTTTTTTCATGTGCCTATTTGCCACCTCCTTTCTCTGAGAAGTGTCTGTTCATTTCCTCTTCCCATTTTTATGGGATTTTTTGATTTTTTTAATTTGATTTTTGTGAGAACTTTATATATCCTGGATATCAACTCTTTACTTGATGTGTGGAATTTAAATATTTTACCTATTAATTTAGCTGTTTTTAGTGCAGTGTTAGCTCATGTTTCTTTTGCCATGCAAAAACTTCGAAAACTCTTGAGCTAATTCGCCAGCGTGGTTTGGCGCATGCCTCAGGCAACAGCAAGCTAATGTCCGAGCTCGCAAAGCAGTGCAGAGATGCAATCAAGGAAGACCTCAAAGAGAGAAGAGCAGAAGTACTGGTAGATGCGGCAGAAGCTGGGAAAAGTATTCGTAACGCCCGCCTGTCCTTCACCAACTATAAGACCAAGATGACTGCCCTCCGACGTCCTGATGGATCCATCACATCCTCCAGAACGGCAATGGAGAAGATTATCCATGACTTCTACTCAAATCTATTCGATAGCCATGTCCACTTGCCGACATACCAAATTCCACCGGATGGATATGTCGTTCCCAACGTTCTCCCTTCCGAAATCCAACACGGCATTTCATGGGTAAAGAAACAAACAGCACCCGGCCCAGACAAGGTCAGACCTGAACACCTGAAGAACCTGCCATCAGTACTCATCAATACACTGGCTCGGCTCTTCACTCATTACCTGTCTGAATGCAAGGTTCCGTCCCAATGGAAAACCATCAAGACTGTACTGCTGTTCAAGAAGGGAGACATCCATGACATTGGCAACTATCGCCCGATCTGCCTATTGTCTGTCATCTACAAGTTGTTCACTCGAGTCATCCTAAATAGGATTGGCAGAACACTAGATGAAGGACAACCATGTGAGCAAGCAGGGTTCCGCAAAGGATTCAGCACCATCGACCATATCCACACAATAACCAAGCTCATTGAGGTTTCTTGGGAGTTCAAGATGCCGCTCTGTTTAACGTTCATTGATTTAAAGAAGGCTTTTGATTCTGTTGAGACGGAAGCGGTCATTGAAGCCCTAGCCAATCAGGGCATTCAAGCCCAATACATCAGGATCCTCCGTGAGCTCTATTGCGGATTCACTACCAGGATCTCACCATTCTACAAAGAAGTGATCGTTGATGTCAAGAGAGGGGTGCGGCAGGGTGATACCATTTCACCGAAACTCTTCAGTGCCACCCTCGAGAACATCATGCGACGACTGGAATGGGAAGGAATGGGAGTGAAGATAGATGGTCAGCAACTACACCACCTCCGCTTTGCTGATGACATTGTTTTAATAACACCAAACATCAGCCAAGCGGCACAAATGCTGGCCGACTTTGACCGTGAGTGTGGAAAGGTAGGACTACAGCTGAATCTCACGAAGACAATGTTTATGAGAAACAGCCTCGTTCCTGATGCCCCATTCGCTCTCAATGGAACGACCATCTCCGAATGCAACAGCTATGTGTACCTAGGTCGAGAGGTCAACACGAGAAATGACCTGGCACCCGAGCTGCGCAGGAGGAAGAGAGCGGCTTGGAACGCCTTCAAGAACGTCGAAGAAATAGCTAAGAGGACGAAGAACCTCCGGCTCCGGGCACATCTCTTTGATTCCACTGTTCTTCCTGCATTAACATATGCCTCAGAGACCTGGGCTCTACACAAACAGGATGAGAACGCTATTCAGGTCTCACAAAGAAGAATAGAAAGAGCTATGCTTGGAATATCACGTTTCACTCAAATGAGAGAAAGAATCCGGAGTTCCGACCTCCGTCGATGATCAAGAATCAGGGACGCTGTCTCATTTGCCAAGGTGTCGAAAATCAGATGGGCTGGTCACGTAATGAGATTTAAAGACGACCGCTGGACTAGAGCTGTTACCGACTGGATTCCACGGGATGTCAAAAGACCGCGTGGCCGCCCACCTTCCAGATGGTCAGACTTCTTCATCAAGATCATGAACGATCGGTTTGAGGCCCTTCATGTTCCCGGAGCGAACAGATGCCATTGGGCTACACTAGCACGCGACAGGGACAAATGGAGACGTTACTGGCGCCCGCTCGAGCATATCGACGACTAACGGGAAGTTAAGTGATTAAGTGATTAAGTGATGTATAACGTATGAAATATGGATCCAGCTTTAATTTTTTACATATGATTATCTTGTTTACCCACACCATTTGTTGAAGAGGTTATCTTCAGTCCACTCCAATTCTCAATTCTTGTTTAAAATTAACAGCCCATAAATATGTGTCTTTGTCCTCGCTTTATGGTACAGTTCCAAATTAGGTAGTGAGATGCCTCCCAGTTTCTTACTTTTTCAGTGTAGTATTGGCTATTCATGATCTCTTCTGATTCCACTCAGACTTTATTACTGACTTGTCTAGGTCCTGAAGTATGTTGCCTGAGTTTGGATGAGGATTGTGTTGAATCTTTATAAAAGCTTAGGTAGTGTAGTCATTTTAACAGTATTGATCCTCCCAGTTTATGAGCATGGAATACTTTTCCCTACTACATTAAGCAATCAGAAAGCTGTGTCAAATATATCTCCTGGCCATCCTCACCCCCTCCTGCCTGCATCCCAGCTTCTCCGCATCACCCCTGGTGGTCTAGTGCCCACCCCAAGCTCCATAGCTGGGTGCAGGATAGGCAAACTCCTGTTTGTTTGGGGGCCACACCCATCTTCCAAGTTCCTGAGAAAGCACAGGATGCCCACCATGCCTCAGTCCTCCCAGGCGAACCCTGGCCTGCCCCTCAGCAAACCTCTCTCCAGGCCCAGCCATGGACCCACACTACCTGCCTTTCCCCCGCCCTGTCTGCTCAACCCTCAGACCTGCTCTCTGAATAGGCTGCCAGTATTCTCACCACAGTGCTTATTCTGTGCAGGCTCCTGGCCCACTGCTTGGTGAGCCGCCATAGACCCAAGAGCACCAGAACAGCCAACAGGCCTCTCATTGCTCCCTCAGAGCTGTGTGGCCATGAACGAGTGGGGGAACACACTCGGTTAGAAGGACACACAAGGTTACAGCAGCCAAATCAGGAGGCAGAGGAGGGTGAGGGCAGCTGCCAAGGTGAATGAGTAAAAGGCACATGGTGACAGCTGAGAAGGATTCATTCACTCTCAGGTAAGAGGGGGGTTGGAAAGAGGCGTAACCTGAGTTAGCTATTGTTATTTCTGAGACAAGGACAAGCTTGGTGGAGTGTCGCAGAAGGAACAGAAAAGAAGGACGAACTGGACACTGCTGAGAGGTAGACTCCATGCTTTTCATACAAGTTCTTTCCCCCGTAAGTAAAATCTAAAATTTCTTATGAATTAACCTGTCCCTTCCACATCATATTTCCTCTGCTTTTATTTTAGTGGGGAAATTTGTATTTATTTGGCAGAGACCAGTCCTATACTTTTTCCTAAAATGTTGATATTTAATGAAAAGTCAAGAATCCATTTGATAGGCTCTCCCTCCACTGTCAGTTAAGAAACTTACCGGAAACTATAAAATGTGAAATAGCCCTCAGTGCCTCCAGCTGCACAGACGGTGAGGTCTCGTGACTCTTCATAACAGCAATGATTCTGGGGACCACCACTGCCGCTGTGTCCAGGGAAGTGACGCTAGAGAAAAGGAAGAGAAAACTGAAAGTGCCAGTTGGAACAGCACCAATCTGAAACCAGTGCAGGAAAACAAGTAACAATGCAGGGAAAGAACCGAAGGAGCACTTGTCAAAATGGGTACGTGTGGCACGGTGGCGGAGTACATGCCTTGCCTCTGGGAGGCGTGGGTTCAAGAACTGGGGCTACAGAGATCGGCGCCAGTAACAAACGAGGTGTGTGAAGTGTGTGGGTTGAGTTCAGCAATATCAGCACACACACTTTAATGACTAATTTCTCCTTGACCTAGAAATTGACATCCCCGTGCCCTGGGTTTCCTCTGCTCAGCTTACAGTCTGACACTTCCTTACGACCGCACATGGTTCGAGGCAAGCACTGAGGCAGGGACGAGTCGGCCATGCTGGCTGTCAGACACAGCCCGGCCCTTCGCTACAGGGACAGGGGCGTTGGACCTGCTGCTCCCCGTCCCAGACACCACAGGACTCACACAGCAAGCTCCACTCATTTTACCTGCACTAAGGTCGTGCTTCTCCGGGGTACGTTAGGTCTTTTTCTCTCTCAGACCAATGAATGCCCCTTAGAGTAGGCATCAGCAGGTGAACAGGCAGTCCTTGCTCTGCACAGTGACTCTCACTGACACACGCTGTTACCACACCCTCACTCTGCGAGCCCCAAGGTAACTGAGACATGCACCACCCTAGGAACTGCAGAGCTGGTCAGACACAGCCCCGCTGTACCTCACTCCTTGTAAGCCTGCTGGGTCACAGTGCTGCAGTGTTCCACTCCCTGCCACAGTCCTCAGTGTGACGCTGCCCAGCCGAGGAACATTCATTCCCACAAGGGAAGAATTAACATGGGTTTTGAAAACACCATTAGAAACCAAGTCCCGATCTTATCCTTTGTACCTTTTTCACTCCAATAATTCGAAAGCTGTTTAAGCATATCTCTGTGCAGCTGCCATTTCTAAAATGAGGTCAACACTGTGTGCAGGGGACAGCAAACCTTCCACACACTTCCATCTTCTCTACCAACCAATATTCAGGTAAAACTGTTCAATGATTTCTGCATCAGGAAGCTATTTTGCAGGTGTGCCCATCATACAATGCCTGTGGTTTCCTTCTCCTGGCAATATGCTTGACATATTGATATGCTAGTTAGGTATGTTTTACAGATTCTGTATACGTTTATGGATCTAAGTACCTTCCGTCAAAGAGATGATTTAGCATTTTACAGCCACTTTCAGCCACTTCAGGAGAATGTGCATGTTTCTGCATCAAATCCAGAACATTCAGGAATATTCCTTTGGACAACAGGACTTTTCTGAAATTAACTACAAGAGTGTTTGATGTTACTTATTGAAGCAAATGCACAACTTCACATTTTTCAGTAAGACAGAATATCGAGTGTTCAATTCATAGGAAAGTACAGAAAGCACATATAATCATATTTCAGTGACAATTTAAAGATCGGAGATGTTTGTTTAAAATATGTACCACTTCCAATATTTTCACAATAATCTTTGTTAGGTTTTTCTTTTAATGATTGATCGCAGACCAGACTGGATCCAAAATAATCACCACACCCTGGTTCACACAAATTAATTTTTTCAGGAAAATGTTTCAAAGGTAATGCCCTGCAGTTATATTTTATTGGAAAATTTAAAATATCTATAAGAATTCTTCATATAGACACTAGTGATAGGGAATAAGCACAGACACATGGAAATGGATCATCTCAGTTCCTGGGGATTTGGCCAAAGCAGTGACAGGAGGGGACCAAGCAGGGCCCAGGGAAGCAACTGACAATCTGAGGCTGGCTCAGAGTGGGCTGCCCTCATGAGCCCAGTATGGTACCAGCCTGCAGACTGCAGGGACTCGGGCATTTCACGCATGCCGCCAGGTGAAAATGGTGGGAAGCACTGGGTAGGATTATTTAAAAAAAATAATAACAGTAATTTTTACAAAGCACCCTAAAAATAATTGCTTCTTTTTATAAAATAATGTTAAAGCTTAAGAATAGATATGCTGGAGCTGGAGCGAGAGCACAGTGGGTCGGGCGTTTGCCTTGCACGCGGGCGACCTGCGTTTGATCCCCCGCATCCCACATGGATCCCCGAGCACCGCCAGGGGTAATTCCTGAGTGCAGAGCCAGGAGTAACCTCAGTGCATCGCAGAGTTTGACCCAAAAAGAAAAAAAAAACAATAGATACACTTTGCAACTGGTTTTGTGTCATATATGGAAAAGTAATTATTCCAACAACATGAAGTACAGAATAATTATACTCTTCATAATAAACCACTAATAAATACAAATCTGCGGTCTTTTTTTTAAATAAATTTTATTGGATCATCGTGAGATACAGTTACAAACTTTCAAATCTACTTGAAGCCTCTTTCCAGTACCTCCAACAACAGACATTGTAATTTAATACTCCAAAATGACAGAAAAGAAAGCTTCAAAAATTTTAACTTAAGCACCATTTTTAAAAAGAGTTCTCAATCTCCTACTGGGAAAGAAAATATAGAAAGGAAAACAGGTAGTATAAAACTCAGGAATAAGTAGAAATGATACTGTCGCAGCACTGTCCTCCCCTTGTTCATCGATTTGCTCCAGTGAGCGGGGCCCAGTAACGTCTCCGTTGTGAGACTTCTTGTTACTGTGTTTTGGCATATTGAATACGCCTCGGGGAGCTTGCCAGGTTTGCTGTGCGGGTGAGATGCTCTCAGTAGCTTGCCAGGCTCTCCAAGAGGGGCAGAGAAATCAAACCTGGGCAGCCGCCCAGGTTTGCATGCAAGGCAAAGTCCTTACCCTCTGTGCTATCGCTCCAGCCCAGAAATGATACACAGATTCAAAATAACTGTCCAGATTAAGACACTGCCAAAGCCATGCAGAAAGTCAGACATTAAAACACACTCCGGGGCTGTTTCTCTTCTTGTTGTGGAGGACTTTCCACAGCCCCTCCTAAAATGACTGTTCCCTGGTTTGTACTGGGGCCGGGGGGCGGGGGGCACACTGGATCCTGCTCTGGGATCATTCCTGGTGGTGCCTGGGGGACCACTTACAGTGCCAGGGGTGAAACTATGGCCTGCCAGTATATGAAGTGTCTCTACTGCAGGAGTCACCGCACAAGACAGAAGCAATTGCAGCTTGGTAGAGTCACACCCAGGCAGGCCCATGCTTCAGCGGGCTGTAAGACTCAGATTGCGGGGTCCCAATCTAGCACATCTCCACAACACTTGGAGCTGACTTTCTAAACAAGTTCTCGGGTAGGACGTCCAAGGACCACACTTTAGCCCCACTTGTGGCTTGAAAACTGTGACTAGTGATCTCATCCGATACTAGACACGGGTGGAGAAATTACATCATGGAGTGACTTTAGAGTTCACTGGACTTTTTAAATGGGGAGAGGCAAATTGTGTGGTGCATGGTTTTTCCGGGGGGTGGTCAGAGGCCCATGTGGTGGGTCCTGCATACAAGCCAGGTGCTCCAACCCACTAGCCCCAGCCAGAGTTACAGAATATTCAACACATCTTATCTCATTTACCCGTGATCTACACAGTATTGATAATAATTAGGTCTACTGTTCATTCTGGCAATAAGCTATCTGCTAACACCTCCTTCCTGCCTTTCCTCCATCACCTCTTCCTGCCGCACGACATCACTGCCCTCCTCTGATTTCTCACACACCCGCCTCCTTATCTTCTTCTCTGAGCTCCCTCAGCACCATTCATTTGGTCTTGTCCAACTCCTACAAAATTCACAGCCCTGTTTTGTGTGTGATTTTTGCTACACGCAAGCCACGTGACTAAGGGCTGCAGCATCAGCAAAGTTCCGGGGTCCTGACAAAGACCTGTCTCTTCTCCAAGGGGACCCCACGACAGCAAGCCCAGCTGCAGCCCCCAGAGCCTCCCTGTCTCCTCCTTCGCTCTGACTCACCCCTGGCCATCCCCACAGCCAGCTCCCAGGCCTCCCTGCCCCTCCCTCCAGCGCTGAGCCTGCTCCAGCCCTGGGGAACAGGAGTACCCCTCAGGAGAAGGACCCAGTTCCTGGGCACGTCCTGCAGCACAGGGAGGGGGGCCTCACCCTCTCCCCTGCTCAGCTGCCCGAGAAGCACTCCGCTGATGGCTGTCTGTGCTTCCAGTTTCCTCCCTCCAAAAATACCCTGCAAGGACTGCCAAGTTCCAACGCCTTTGGGATGAGTTTTCTCCCCAGACTGCCTGGCAGTGCTTCCTGCCGGTGGGGGCAGGGATCTGCACGGCCTGAGTCTTATCCAGACGTCGGCCTCCAAAGGTGTAAGAAATGTTTCTCTTTTACACAATACCAGGATAGCGGAGAGACGTGCACATAAAGTGGCTGATAGTGAGTAATTTTACCAAGATTTTAAGTGGTGAATCTCTCTCCACCCATGACATTTCTAGAAAGTCTTCCTAACAAAATAACAAGAACAGTGTATAAAGAAAACTGGGGGGGGGGGGGTCAGAGTAATAAAACAGTGGGTAAGGTACTTGTCTTTCTCACGGCCAACCTAGGTTTGATCCCCAGCACTCCATATGGCATATGGACCCTCAAGCCTGTCAGGAGAGATCCCTGAGAGAAAAGCCAGAAGTAAGGCCTAAGTATTGCAGGGTGTGGTCCCCAAACAAAACAGAGAAAGAAAGAAGGAAGGAAGGAAGGAAGGAAGGAAGGAAGGAAGGAAGGAAGGAAGGAAGGAAGGTAGAAAGAGGTAACCATTTGGTATTTTACAAAGGAGAAAAAATATATTGAGTATAAGATACTGCAGGATAATATTGGCTGTCCCTTCTCCCTGGCCGCAGGGAACTTAGGTTTATGGGGCTACACCCATCACAGCTTAATATAAGCTTAATATATCTCTTACTGTGTCATACAAAATGACTAGAAAGATTACTAAGAAGTAGAATTAGATGACTGTTTGAATGGATAGGAACTAAGGAAAGGAGAAATACATCCTAGATGGTATTCTGCCCCTGAGCGGATCTCCTAGCAGGAGATCTCTGTCTTAGAAGAGCTTCCTGGAAGGAAGGGCTTTACTGTGTTGATTGTGCTGTCTGACCGGGTGTGGTTGCTACCCCCAGCCTTGGAGGTTGGCTGATAACCAAGGCTGTGAGACTGGGCATGGGAGAGATGGGAAGAGGAGACAGAGTGAGACTAGCTTGGGGAAAATAGGGGGCAGAAGTGAGGGTGGGGGAGACTGGGATGGGCACCCTGTGAGGCTGCAGTAGGCTTGCGGGGAGAGTGGAATCAATGGCACGACTGAGGCTGGAATAAAAGGTAAAGGCCCTCCCGTTGTTCATCGATTTGCTCGAGCAGGCCCAGTAACGTCTCCATTGGAGATTTTGTTGTTACTGTGTTTGGCATATCGAATACTCTCGGTAGCTTGCCGGGCTCTCCGAGAGGGGCGGAGGAATCGAACTCGGGTCGGCCATGTTGGCTGCGTGCAAGGCAAACGCCCTACCGCTGTGCTATCGCTCCAGCCCTGAGGCTGGAATAAAGGGCACTATCTCTGCCCAGCTTGGGGCCCTGTTCCTTCCTTCTTCTGTCCACCGCCGTCGGCCATCCAGGGTGGGAAAGTGGCCTGACCATGGAACGCACGCAGGAGAGCACACACACATTTTGTGAATACACACAAGATACAACCCCGATAAAAACTGCTTACAGAATATACTCTAGATATTTGCTGGGAAACTGGTCATTAAAAATGCCAAAGTGAGAATTTACATTAACATAAACAGGAAATGTAAGATTTCAGTTCGAAAAGAGCGTAAGATAGTCCCATTTATGCAAAAATATACAGCACTGCAGCACTGTCCTCCGTTGTTCGTCGATTTGCTCAAGCTGGGCCCAGAAACGTCTCCATGTGAGACTTGTTGTTACTGTGTTTGGCATATCAAATATGTCATGGGTATCTTGCCAGGCTTTGCTGTGCGGAGGAGATACCTCAGTAGCTTGCCGGACTCCCCAAGAGGGGCAGAGGAATCAAACCTGGGCCGACCATGTCGGCGGCATGTAAGGCAAACGCCCTACCCTCTGTGCTATCGCTCCAGCCCGCAAAAATATATAGGCAGAAGAAATCGTACAGGGGTTGAGTCTCTTGCCTTGTACACTCCCCTAACCTGGTTCAAATCCCCAGCACCACAAATGGCCCCAAGCACCCTAGAGTGTCTCTACTGCTGAGCAGAGAACCAGGAATAGCCCCTGAGTACTGCCAGGTGTGCCCCAAAATTTCCAAAACAAATAAAAATATAAGATACATGGTATATGCATCTAAGAGACTTACTCAGAAGCCTCAAATAGCAGACACTGATTGTCTTCTTTCCCCTTTACACATCTCTCGTATATCACGTATCGTTATATAACTGAATTCTGTATAGTACACCACTTTTGTGGAAATTAAAAAGGTGGTTTTTGTTTGTTTTGTTGTGGTAAGTGGCATTCAGCACTCACTCCATCCTGGCTCTGGCTCTGTGTTCAGGAATCACTCCTGGCAACTGGAGGACTATATGGGGTGGCAGGAAGTGAACCCAGGTTGGTCATGTGCAAGGCAAATGCCCTCCCCACAGCGCCATCACTATGGTTCCCATTCCCTTTCCTGACAGCGGTGCCTTACCGTTCTGCTCCAGCAGAGTCGAGAGTGCGTTGGCGGATGCCTGGAAGACTTCCTTGGATGAGGAGTGCATCAGCATGGACAGCATCACCTCCCTGTGAGCTGGGAACCTTCAGAGACAAGCACGAGACCACAGCCACTAAGTCATGCGCACAGGACTCACCTGGGCTGCGTCTGACCTCCCCAGAGACAAAGATCTCAACAGCCATGCCACCTCCACTTACAAGACTGAACTTTACTCATTTTATATTCACAAGGTAGACAAGAATCCATTCAATACTAGTTAATTAGCATTCCTGCCTCTTCAAAGTTGATCAGCAAAAGGGGGGAAAAACAGCAGATACGTAAAGAACAGAGAGAGCAAAGTGATGAATGAGGGCGAGAGGGGGAGGCCAGAGTGAAGGAGACAGTGGAGTGGCAGTGGGTGTGAGCCAGAGCAGCACTGCGCCACTCTGCTTCTGTGCTGCTCCTATACCAAAGCCCTCAATGTGCCATGCCCTGAAACTAGGCACTGCACAAAGAAGGAGCCTGCCAGAGTGGTAGTGAAGTGGGCAGGAAGGGAAGCCACTGGCCTGCTCATTTCATATTGACAAGGTAGACAAGAAGCCGGCACCGGCTCACGGGTGAGTTCTATCACCTGAACCGAGTGAACACAGCATACAAAACAAGCACCCAGATCAGCATGTTCTTTCTAACGGACTTTCCAACTACCCTTGAGTCCAAACGTAGTCATACCCAGCACCATGGAGGGCCTCTTAAGGCAACAGGCTCAAAGTATTCTGCATCCACAACTGTCCCAAAGCACCACTTAACCCCTCAGGGCTTCTGCCATACAGGCAGACAGGGGTGTGGGGTGGGAGGAGAAGACTGGAGACATTGGTGGTGGGAAACGCACACTGTGAAGGGACAGTGTGGGAACACTGTAGGACTGAAACACAACCATGAACAGCTTTGTGACTGGGTATGTCCGGTGATTCTATTTTCAAAGAATCACGTCTATGTCAAAATAGCCTAACAATGGAAGTCTTAGTCACTGCGTTTTATATTAATTGACTGAAAGCACAGCTGACAGTTTCTATCCTAAAGAACCTAAATGACTAACTGGCCATCTTCGTCGCCAATCTTCTCGTGCAGACTGTGCTGGTACATGAGGAGGTTGTTCAGGGCCCAGCACGCCGCCTCCTAGTTGGGGAAGAAAGAAGCCGTCAGACCTCGGCCAGCAGCAGCCACGCCTCCCCGTGTGGCCCCCGAGGCACCAACCTGCACATGCCTGTTCTTCCTGTGCCATGTCAGGGCTTCATAGCAGGCTCGAAGCCAGAACAACTGCTCCTCCTCTGCCTCCTCATCCTCCAGACGCTCACTCTTTTCCTCCAAGTCTTGATTTAAGAAAATGGTCTCAGCTTGGGGGGAAAAAAAGAGGCAGCTTACTTGTGAGCAGCGGGCTCAGAGCTCCTAGCACAGAACACGACCCACCGAGACCAGAGCCTTCTTCAGCCGTGGCCTCGCTTCATTCTCAAGGCCTCCAATGCGTGCCAAAACAGCCCTTACCACTGGCATTCCACTAAGCTCAGACAAGGGGCACCCACAGGAACTGACGACGAGGGGGGCTGGCGGAGGACAGCTACTGCCTACACCGCGCCTCCGTGGGCTGTGTCCTGAGCGTGGCCTGGGTGGGGGTGGGCTTCCTCCCACGCCAGAGCTCTGGGGAAGATGGCCCGGGACAGGCATTCTGTGCAGACAGAAAGCCCTACTGGAGCCCCCTGGCCCCGTCACTCACTGAGGAGCGCCAGACAGCTGAGCGCAGCCATCTGCACCGTGGCATTCCCGGGAAACTGCCGCACCGCTGCCACCACGAACACATGCACCTCATTCAGCACCAGGATATTGAAGAAGTTCCCTGGGAAGGGGGTCAGAGGGGAGCGTGGTTTGTCAGAATGATTACATGGTGGTTCCTCCACAAAAATTAAATTACACTTCAATTAATAACACCATCTAGAGCATTTTAATTAATAACACCATCTAAAGCAATACCTTTGAGTAATGACTAATCTTCAGTGACTTCAAAACATGTCTTTAATTAGAAAAGTCTAGAAAGAAAATGTATGTTTTTTAAATATTATTTCATGCAGTCATTCAATTTCTTACCAGGAGTGAGAAATTCCTGGAGAGAACTAATGACAGGTTTTGGGGGGCAAACTCTGAGCCCTGACTTCCTCTCTACCATCATCCAGTGGAAACAGTGGTCTGTCAAATGTCTGGCAAGCACACCAGGACAACATCTGCAGTGCAGAGCAGCTGAGATTTCCCCTCAGATGCCCTCAGACAGCCTGCTGGCATTGTGTCATTGCCTGATCTTGTCTATTATGACCTGAGAAAAAAATAAGGGCTTTTTACTACCTCCAACCCACTTCTATAAGGAAACATTTGTGAGTGGTAATTCAGAAATGCATGCCTTCACCCAGTTGGCCACTCACTGGGGGCATCATGTATTCAAGGAAGCAGGAAGCTCCAAAGGAGAGATCTGTGAAATGCAGTGAACCCGGACACAAAGCCAGGACTAGAGAGAATGTGACCATGAGAACCCAACAGCCACAGAGTATTGATGAAAGTCCACAGCTTCCCTGGGTTGCAGCGACTTCCTTTCCGCCTGCCCGCCACGCAACCCCTCAGAGCTAGGACAAGCTCGTCTAAAGCTGCCTGTTCCCATTCTGAGCCCTGGCAGCTGAGAGTTGCTCCACTGACAACACGTACCGTGAGAAGGCACACACCTGGCCCCTCAAAGTTTTCAGACAATTCACATAAACACGCATTCAAATGCTTAAGACTAGATTCCTTAACCCATAATCAGGTTTCAGTATTTGACAAAAGTTTTTTTTAACTTTTCTTTTTTAAATTTATTTATCTTATTGATTTATTTTGACTCACTTATTGACTTTGGATTTTATTTAAAGTATTAAATTAAAGCGCAACATTTACACAGATTTTTAAAAAAATAAGGACAATTCTACAGTTGCAAAATGGAACAAATAATCACCTGCTTCGAGATAAGACAGATAAAAGCATCCTTATCTAAAGATCAATCTGATGGTGCCTTTTCTTTTCCAGAACCACTTTGGGAGAGAGCCCAAAATGACCAGAACACATGCCTGGGGTGGGGGGAGCCTGCACCCCAGCCTCAGCACTTCACGACGGCTCCACCGCCAAGCACTACACAGGAACAAACCGGGCGCCCTGGCTTGCGTCTGAGCCACCAGTCCTCACAGCCAGCCAGAGTACCAGGCACAGCTCCCTGCGTTCCAAGCACCACTGGAAGGCCACCCAGAAAAGAAAGAGCAGTACCCAGAGAGTACAAAGCTTACCAGTGAAGTGATGTTTGTGAGATCTATTTTACTTCAATAGGAGAATGCAAGCCTGTGTGCCATTATGGACCTATAAGGTAATTATATACCAGCCCCCTCATCACAACTGCCAAACCACTCTAACCCTGGTTCATTTCAAGGGATGCAAGTGAACTCGTGCATTAAATGTAACCCTGCAAGCTGTAACTTGATTAAGTCCTAGAACAAAAGTAGGGACTTATACATTCATGTGTTGTTCCAGTTTCTCAACTGAAGACATCAACCATTGAGTAAAAGTGTTCCCAGACATCTGCTTGTTTGTATAACTGTGAAGCTCTTCTTTATTAAATATAAGTAACAATTTCACTTGTCATAAAATAAACTAGACAGAGCTGGAGCAACAGCACAGCAGATAGGGTGTTTGCCTTGCACATGACCGACCCGAGTTCGATTCCCAACATCCCATATGGTCCCCTGAGCACGACAGGGGTAATTCCTGAGTGCAGAGCCAGGAGTAACCCTTGTGCATCGCCGGGTGTGACCCAAAAAGTAAAAATAATAAATAAATAAACTAGACAGTAGCTATAGTATTTTAAAATAAATGCTTGCAAAAAAAAGAAAAGAAAAGAAATCCTTTGCTTGGTCTGAGGAGGCAGAAACTGTGCCCAATCTGAGATCACCTCCCAACTCTGTGATCTTAGATGAGACACTGAGAATTACAAAATGGACCCAAGTTGATGAAGGTGAAGATAATAACAATATTACAACTCCCAGATAATTTCAAGGATCAAAAACATTTTATACGTGAAATTATATTGAAACTATAAAAGAAATGTGCAAGGATTGTCAGTATTATTCCCCCACAATTTTAGTCACATAACAGACATAAAACACATGCTTATGAAGAAAATAAACTAAAACTGTCTGTACAAATTAGAATTTATGAAAATTATACTTTGAAAATTTCTCAATGCTACAATCAATTTCTGAATTACACAAAGGATATAGTAGTGATTCTAGAAGTGAAAAGAGAAGTTGTTACAATAAAAATCACAAAATTGTTCTCAAATGAAAGATAATTTACTTCCAAAATCACAGCAATATAAAGCAGCTAAATTTCTATAAAAATCATGATTGTAGGGGCCAAGGAGATAATGCAAAGGGGTAGAGTGCATGTCTGGCATGTGTGAGGTCCTGTGTTCCATCCCTGCACCCCATGTCCACCCCCACACATAACCAGGGCTTGACCTGGTGGTGTGTGAGCACTGCCAAATGGGTCCTGGCAGTCCCCCAACCCCCAGGTTCAACACTATGAAGCTCAACAAGGATCATCTGGATGAGCGACTGTGCTCACACCCCTCATCCTGATCAGGCTCCATCGCTGCTTTCCCGGCAGTGCACGTAGACCTCCGGGCCATGCAGGGTGAGGAGATGAATGACATACGTCAGGAATGGAAGAAAGGACCAGGTTGTCATTATTTACAAATAAATAACTGCTCCAAAGAAAGCCGAAGAGCACTTATGACTACTGGGATTATTTTTAAAAATTAGAAAGGCAGTTGAAGTAATAGACAATCATCTGCAGTTCTCTATGTGTGTGTGATATCCTAACAGAATCCTACATAGAATACATACACAGTGTCATACTGCTAGAAGTGGATGGAATGTGGAATAGAAACGTGTCCCCTTAAAAGAAGTTCGGGGGACTGGAGCAATAGCATAGCGGGGAGGGCATTTGCCTTGCACGCAGCTGACCCGGGTTCCATTCCCAGCATCCCACATGGTCCCCTGAGCACCGCCAAGAATAATTCCTGAGTGCATGAGCCAGGAGTAACCCCTGTGCATCGCTGGGTGTGACCCAAAAGCAAAAAAAAGAAAAAGTTAAGTTACTGCTTCAATGACAAAGAATTCCAGGTGCCAGAGAGGTAGTACACAGGTTAAGGTGCTTGCCTTGCACACAGCTGACTTGGGCTTAATCCCCAGCACTGCACTGGGTTCCCTGAGCACTCCCAGGAGTGGTTTCTGAGAGTAGAGTCAAGAGTAAGCCCTGAGCACTGCTGGGTGTGTCCCAAAAGCCAAAACAAGCAAACAAAATTTACAGATTACTATAGTTTTTTTTTCCTGTCATCCCATTATTCATCGATTTGCTCGAGTGGGCACCAGTAACGTCTTCATTGTGAGACTTGTTACTATTTTTGGCATATCAAATATGCCATTGGGAGCTTGCTAGACTCTGCCATGAGGGTGGGAGTAATTCCTGAGTGCAGAACCAGGATTAACCCCTGTGCAACGCCGGGTGTGACCCCAAAAAAGCAAAAAAAACAAAACCCACAAGTTAAGGTCAGATATGTTCAATCCACATAACCATCAGAGCATTATTATGACTACTGTGAATCAATGCTGAAGACAGACTAAAGAAAAGTGGATAAAAGACAAACTGTGGCAAGGGAACACGCACTGAATGCAGAGAACGCCTGCGAAGGCATTTGCCATCATTCACTTTTCCACTTCCGAAGTGACAGCACAGCGGGTAGGGCGTTCGCCTTACACGCGGCCAACATGGCCGACCCGAGTTCGATTCCTCCGCCCCTCTCGGAGAGCCCGGCAAGCTACCGAGAGTATTGGATATGCCAGACACAGTAACAACAAAGTCTCCAACGGAGACGTTACTGGGCCCGCGCGAGCAAATCGATGGTCAACGGGAGGGCCTTTGCCTTTACCTTTACCTTTACATTTCCACAGCAGCATTCGTGGCAGCACCCAGAGCTGGAGGGAAGCCAGATGGGGGGCCTGGGGTAACTCGGCTGCAGACACCAGCCTGGTCGCACCAGGGCACGGTGCAGCCCTCAGCACCAGCCAACGTGCCCCAGTGCGACCCCAAGGCTTGCTGGTGGGGGCTCCAGCAGCGCAGTGTTCCATCTCCAGCACACCACGGCCAAGTGTATGTGGACACCGCGACTAAGCTGCTGTGGTAGCAAGCCAGAGCTGAGTGTGTGCGACCCACTGGTATCCAAAGACATCAAGGAGGAAGGAAAGGAAAGAGGTGATTTTTCCAAATGTACAGAGGACAATATTCAGCATGATTCTTTTATGATTAAGCAAAACTGAGCAAACATAAACGTTTCCTTAGGGCGACAGGCCAATGTAGTCAACCAAGTTTCCTTAGGGCAACAGGCCGATGTAGTACAGGTGAATTTAGAAATAAAGGGGCTTGTAAATAGCACATTTTGGGGGGATGTGAGTCTTCACAGCAAGCAGAGGCAGGAGAAGGCCGCCACAGCCCGTCTTTCTTTACAAATAAGGAACTGTGGGGAGCACCCACAGCTTGGGAGCGCCCACGGCTGCATTCCCATGGGCCGGCCCCCTGCACGATCAGAACAAGGCGGGCCCCTCACTTAGAGCCTCATGTGCTGCTCCGAGTGATGGGAACCCACAGCCCCGTGGGAGTGGCCGGGCGTCACACACTGGCCCGAGGCTCTGTCAGGGCTCAGCCGCAGCCTGCACTGTCCCCGGTTCCCAGAGGACGAGACATGTCCACCCCACACATGCACCACAACAGAGTCACTCACCCAAGGTCAGCCTGTGCAGCAGGCAGCAGCTCACGGCCTGGATGTCCTCGGCGCGGGGAAAGGCCTTCATGGCGTCCACCACGATGTTGTAGCACCGCACGTTCCCGCTCATGAGTACCTCCACATTGCTGCCTGGATTGAAAAGGGCGTCGTCACCCAGCCACCCCGCCTCCCACCCGGGACCAAGACCGCCCTCTCAGGATGGGCACACCATCCTGACCACTACGTCTCCCCGTCCAAACTGCGTTCTGCCACAGCTGTGAAAACGGATTCACAGCTGACAAAGGGGGACTCGGGCCAGATCTCTAGCATGAGGAAAAGTCACTTAATCCTGTTTCCTAATTCCACCCCGCCCCGAATGGGGGGAACCGAGAGTGCTCACTGTGTGCCTGACAGTAAAGGCACACTTTACTGTGTGCCTTGCTGAGTGCCTTGCCTTCTGCCTTACCGTGTGCCTGGTGCTGTCTTGGCCTTAGGCTTTCACATGCATCAGTCCGGGGGGTGTTTCCTAACAGGCTCTACCCCCCTGTCCCTTTCCCTTAGCAGAAGGAAACAGCCTCACCAAAGACAGCGGCAGAGTCCAGTCCACACCAGCTTCCTGCCTCTCCCGGGAGGGTGCCAGGAGAACGGGGAGGGGAGGCAGAGGGGGGCCGGGAATGCCAGACCCGAGGCCAGCAGGGCCTTGGGAGGAGACAGGAGAGGGAAACCCCTGACACGGTGCGTCTTAAGAACAGTCTGCAACATTGTTCTCTCTGTTTCAGCACAGCCAAGCTATATTTTCCCAAGAATTGCATTTTAAATAAGTTATATTCAAAAACATTATGTAGAAAATCATATAACAATGAAAGGAAATGACCCTTTAAGTAATGACCCGCTCTTACTTGCACTAACAGATACAATCTGTCCTCAGACAAAAAGGCAAACACTTTCTATTACAATCACCATGAAAAGAGTTGTTTTCCAAATTTTTCACTTCTACTATTTTCTACCTCCAAAGCATCACGTTTTTTCAGTGCAGTTATGTTGTATGTGGACAACAGTTTCCAAAACATTTCGTCCAGAGAAAAGAACAGAGTCCAGGAAGTGCATGCACATCTCTATCCTGTTCACCCGGCCCAGTCTTCCACAGGTAAGAGAACGACGGACTCTCGGCTACCACAGAACAAGCACAGGCCTTCCCAGGGCCCTACCCGCAGCCTCCTGGGTCTGAAACCAGGTGTGCACATTCCACACAGCTTCCACCCCTGGCACAGAGACCACAGACGGGCACTGGCCTGTACTTATGCGTGATTCTACACCGGTCATTATTCTACACTCTTCACCCTGGTCCACACAACTTCACTGTGCGAAAGGAAAGCTATCCCAGGGGACCCACGTCCTGTCCTCTGTGAGCCTCCAACAAGCCCAGCACAACACCGTGTGCACTTCACAAGCCCGTTAATAGTCTTTAATCACACACACATTCGTTTCTCCCTATTCCATTTTGTGATAAAAGTGGATCTCACTGATCACAATAAGAATGACAGTGAAGCCCAGGCCCTTCTGGTTTTCAGGCCTTACGATATGGGGAAAACTCAGTGTCCTCACTGGCCCTTCTCAAGCCAAATCCCCCACTCACACACTTGATAAGACATAGACAGACATGAGCTGGGCATGAACACTCACATGCGTGTCTGTCCATATACATGCCACCACTCACACTGATGCCCAGGCACAGCAGCTGCGGGTACATGCCCATGTGCGTCTACATACATGTGTGCATGCATACATGAGGGCATGCGTGTCGGACAACATTGGTTGTCCTTTCTCCCTTGCTACAGAGGACTTAGGGTTTTCGGGTGATACCCACCACGGAGCTTCTGAAACACCACCGTTCCTCTGTGTTTGTTGGAATGCAGCTCCAAACATTTCAGGACGACATTGGCATGTCCTGTTTCCCTTGCCACAGGGAACGCAGGTTTATTACCGTGCTCCTGAGGCACTTCCACTCCACTGTGTTTATCTGTAAACTCCTCTCCATGCTTCCTACCCCAACCAGTCTATCACCTTTTTCCCTAATCAGACTCTGTTAGCTTGTAAGGTCAGATTCCTCAGAAATCTGTGGTTTTATATGTATGAGTGAAATATTACCTTTCTCCTCGCATTACATCTTTTGAATAGTTTACTTTAAAGCAATGTCCTTTTTGTATAGACACAGGAAGAAAGTTATTACTATGCTTTTGTAACTTGGGATTTCATTGGCTTCGAATATTATTCACTCCCGGGCATCTGCTTTCTCAACTTAAGCCTCAGTTGCCCTTAATTTCTAGTACCCCAAAAGCAGGGTCCCGGAGAGGGACTGAATGGACCCAGGGCAAGCTGTGAGCTACTCTGGCATCGAAATGGACCAAGCCAAAGCGCCACGATACTCAACTATAAGTTGAGAACTTGGTCATGGACAAATGCTGTCATGATCCAAAAAGTAACGATGAGATTAGGACCCTGCTAGGGATAGGGAAGAGTAATCTGGCCTGAGCACTGTGGTCCAAGATCGAGATGACCCCAGGAGAGCGATTCTATAAGCTTAATGTATCTCTTACTGTATCCATACAAAATGACAAATATTATGAATGTTTATATGTTTGTTGGACTAAGGAGAGGAGAAACACACCCATATTTGCCTTTAGGCCAGTTGTCTGTCCTGGAAGTAGCTTCCCCTGAGGGAAGGACCTTACATCCCCTGATTGTATGATGATACCTATGCGTAATTATTACCCCAACTCCTCATGCTGGGGGGTTAACTAGACTGTAAGAGTGTGCTGGGGGATCCAGATTCCAGAGCCAGAAGGAAAATGAAGGGGGATTGAGGAGGATAATAAAGTAGCATGGGGGTGGAGAGGGGAAGAAGCAGGAGAATTAGAGGAGAATGGAAAGTGGAATGGTTGTGGCTGGTTCTGGAGGTCTCCACACACATGAAGGTACCGGCAGAGGAACAAAGGCATGCGGGTCCCGGGGCTGAGATCTCCAAACCTGCTTGGATCAGGGCTGAGCATCCTCCACCCAGATCCTCCATCTTCCAGTAGGCAGGGGTCACACCCACCAACTGACCCCCAGTGCTGTGTAATCCCATCAACGGCCAAGACCCAAAGACTATAAAACCCAGCTCCTGGAAGCCGGCACGACATCCTATTATCTCATTCTTACTTTGGACAACCTGGCTGGCTACCGAATGTAACCTGCCCACACGGCAGAGTCTGGCAAACTCCCCGTGGTGTACACAATATGCCAAATACCAGTAACAATGATGGGTCTCATTCTCCTAACCCTGAAAGAGCCTTGAATATGGCACTTTCTAAAATCTCAGGGCTAGGGCGAGGGAGACGTTACTGGTGTCTGCTCGAGGCAATCGACGAACAACAGGTGATCGTGATCGTGATCGGAAAGTGGAATAAACTGCAACTGACACCAACCAACTTGGCCCTCATTCCTTCCTTCGCCTGCCCATCGCCATCAATCTCCCCAGGGTGGGGGAAACGGCCTGAGACCACCAAACGCGGGCGGCAGGGAGAGATAGAATGCTGCTGTCTTTCTGAGTTTACACACATGTGTACATGTGTGCTCATACATGTATAGGCACATGCACCAGCGCACACAGCTGAACTCCGTGACTGCACGTGGTCTCCCTCCCGTGTCTGTGCACAGTCATGCCCCACTACACGCTCTCCGCTGCCCCCTACTCGGCCTCCCCACACTTGTGTCCCACATCATTCAACACCCCACTTGCTCTCGCAGCTCCGCTTGTCTGACTCTCCGCACCAAGCATCACAACCCAAGCACTGATCTGCACCTCACCTGGCACGACAGGCTCTCAGAAGGCAGAAAGCAGGCTTAGATTTCTAACTACTATTTCTCAGCACCACGCTCAGGGGCAACTGCAACTAATGAATTAAGAAATGCCTGGTTTTAGCATTCACAAGATTCCAAGTAATAAAAACATTTTAAGCACTTTGAGGAGGACATTTTACAGTCTTTCAAAGAAAAGCAATCACGTTTGTTGGTCACTTACCAGGCACTGCTAGAGAGTGTAAACAATGCAGTACATGAAACACAATTTCTTCTTCATCCTTGAACGTGTTCAATGCATTTAGCAATATCACATAATCTTTATTCTCCACAAATTCAACGAGTTGTTCCTCTGAAACTAAAAGCAATAGAAGAAAAAATACTTAAAAACTAATGAGATCACATAAAAGCTTTATTACTTCAAAGTGTAACTCATGACAGTTTATGAGACACAGTACTATAACAGGTATAAGTGATAGTCCAACAACAGCCCCACAGTTTCCAGTGAGAAAAACTGCCGTGAGATTCAAATAATTCTATCTGACCTACGTTTCTTACAGGACATTTTAAAATGACAATGCTTTAGGGAACAAAAGCTCTCAGAAAACAAACTTCTTTACATTTCTTTGGGAGGGCCTAGGGAAAACAGACCCATGGTGAATAAGAAAGCAGGAGAGGGGAAGGTCACTGCTGAGAACAACTCAGCTGAATATACCAGCTCAAGAAAAAGAAATTTTTAGAAAAGAACAGGCATACTGGTGACCTGGGTGAGTGGTATAGCCATTTATCAAAGCACAGCCTTAACAACATGAGATCTAAGCTACGCACAACCACAGGAACTTCGGAATGTGCCTGTCAAGTTGAGGAGTGGGGGCAGAGCAGGTTGTGGGTGAAAAGGGAATATGGAGACTGGTGGAGGGAAGTGGGAAATACTGGTGGGAAAGTTGGCGTTGAAATATCATATGCCTAGAGCTCAACTATGGATAACTTACAAGTCACAGTTCTTTGATAAAAAGGAAAGGGGGGACAGAGCGATAGCACAGCGGGTAGGGCGTTTGCCTTGCATGCAGCCGACCCGGGTTCGATCCCTGGCATCCCATATGGCCCCCAAGCACCTCCAGGAGTAATTTCTGAATGCAAAGCCAGGAGTAACCCCTGAGCATTGCTGGGTGTGACCCAAAAAGCAGAAAAAAAAGGAAAGGGGGGATAAGAGAAGGAAACAAGAACAGGTGTGAAAACTATCCAAATAATTAATTTTTCTTTTATGTATCGTGTCAAGTCTCACGATGGAGACGTTACTGGGCCCGCTTGAGCAAATCAATGAACAACGGGAGGACTGTGACCGTATGTATTGTGCATTTTTGTTAACAATCCATGATTAAAGAGTTCCCCCTCTTTAAAAAAAAGCAATTAAATCTAAATATTCTAATGGTCTTCATTTTATCAGAGGTCAAAATTATCATCATGAACCTTCATACATCAGCAAGTTCTATGTGGAGTCATTTCCATGTGGGCGGGAATCTCTGAAGTATAGAAAACTGACTTCTAGCTGGGTATGTTCTGCTGCAGGACCACACCTCCCGGGGTGAGGCCCTGGTCTAGATGCCCAGAACCAAACAAAAGTTGCTGAATTTGGCTTAGTTCACCTGAGCAGGGCCTGACAAAACCAACAGAAAAAGCAGCATGCCCATTTCATGGTTGGCAATACTTTCAGGTTTTTATTTTGTACCCCAAGTCCATGTGACGGATATGAAATTGATTGTGTTCTTCTAATAAGGGGAGATACCAGAGATCCTTCTCATTTTATGGAGCAGTTTTTCAGGATTCCTTTAAAAATGTTGGAAAGTCACCTGACAAATGTACAATGCCTGAGGAACTTGATAACTCATACTCTTGGCACTGAGAGCCTTTGTGATGAACCAGCCTCTTCATTCCCTGGACCAGGTGGGCCCCAGGGCTGGTGAGAGGAAGAAGCATTTTCCTCCCATGCCTGTTCCACAGGGAGGGAGGGGAAGGGAAGAGGATGGGAGGGAGGGAGGGAGGGAGGGAGGGAGACAGACAGACAGACATTCTGCATTCAAAGAGCAAGATCTAAAACAAATGTGCTTCCGCCCTTCTCACCCCAGAAAACAACTCCGCTCCCGGCCTGCTTGTCCAGGGACTGGCCAGGCCCATACTGTGTGTCCCTTTGACTATAATGCACTCTGTGCTCTTCTTCTTATACAAACGTCAAAATTAAGAATTTGGCTGCTTAAATACCTCTCTCAAACAGCACATGTAGAGCTTTGCATCCAAGTTTCTGAACTTCATCATTGGCTGAAAACGTGCGCATGGCATCGAAGATCAGCAAGAAAACGTCACTTTCCTCGTCCAGTATCAGCAGCGTGATTTTTCCTGTTTGAAAAAGAGCAGCGTTCCTCAAGTAAGCAGCCGCTTTAACACTCAGCATGTCAGTGTTAGCGAGGACAGAGGCTGCTTTCCCTTGATGAACCCCTGAACTGACAGGGTATGTAGGACCGGCAGGTTTTGGGGGTCTTCCTACATGAGAAAAGTTTCAGGACACGCTACAGCAACCAGGACTCCAACCGAGACCTGCAGCCTGGACTCACTCCCAATCTCCTCACACACCTCTCTCACCTGTGGCAAGCGACCAGGGAACAAGGCACATGCTGGCGGGTCAGCCCAGCCCCCAGGGGTTTCCCTGCTGTCTGTGCCACTTCCCTCACCGCTTCTTTCTTAAAATGTTTTGTCTCTGCTCGCTCCAGCAGCCACATGTGGCTCAAACTCACACTAAAATTTACTCAAGAAAGTCAAAATTTTCCGAGAGGTGTGGTGAGGGCGAGAGCCTCCTGCACAGAGCAGACCCCTCCCAGCAGCACGACAGGCAGCCCACCACGAAAGCACTGTAAGAAAGAGCCCTAGGCAGCCAGCCTCCAGCAAACTTCAGGGACCCTCCAGAGAAGTTACCAACTGGTCTTTCTTTTCCAAACACGCCAGCGAAACAAAACCCAGTTCAGACACATACCCCACCCACTCCAGTTCACTGCCAGAAGGACACTGAACCCCCAGCCCTCCCCATAAAAGGGTCCCCAGGAAACAGGAAGTTCATCCACCCACCAGTTCATGTGTGAGCGTCAGCTAGTGGAGGGAGCCAGCCGGCTGCCCTCTGCCCGCCTGCGCCAGTCCAGTCCAGTGTGCCCAGCGTTGCACTTCTACAGGGCTCACGTGTGACATTTCACCAGCTCGGCCCTCCCGCCCTCCCCTCCCCCCCAGTTCTGGGCCCTTCACACCGGCCCTGACCAGCTTACCTCACAGATGGCTCGGGGGCAGCCTGGTCTCAGCAAAGAGAAGGTTGCTCCCCAAGGGGCTGTGCTCTCACCACTGCAGCCCGACCTGTCCATCACCAGGCACCCAAAGCTCCTCCCGAGAAAAGCAGAGCACCCAAGCAAGGGTGCTGTGGCAAAGCTTCAGAGCCCAAGCTAGAGGCCGCACAGGGCCCGTGGACGTGCACCAGAGGCGTGAGGCATACACCATTCCCACAGACCACAGTCCCGGGACCATGGCAGGGACCCACGTGGACAGTCCGACTACACCGAACGGAATGTGGGACCAGCTGGGGGGAGCCCAGGGAGAGGCAGTGCTGAGGGGGGACGTGAGGGCATTAAGGCCTAGACAGTGGGCTGGGCTCTGGGGGGGACTGCGAAGAAGAGAGAGCAGGAAATAAAGTAGAGGGACCTTGGGAACCGCCATGTTATGCTTAAAAGGTAAAGTAAAACACACTTAGGACATGCCAAAATTTGATCGAATGTGTCAATGATTTTTAAGGCTAGACATTAAAACAAACGTTTCCTATGAGAGTAGATGAAGGTGTGTTTTACTCTGAGTCACATCACCTGAGGCCAGGAGGAGTTCAAGGGCCTTCAGGCCCACCGTGGACAGGCTCACGCTGGCTTTGTGAACGGTCAGCATCTTAAGAATCAGTCTGCAGATAAAAACACAAACCAAAGCAGGACAACATCAGACCTGGACATTTTCTAGAACTTCACTCACCTATGTTTTTATTTAGCTCATTGTTTTTTCCCCACTACTGAGACTTATTTGTTTCTCCTTCCTAGAAGCCTCAGCCAGGCTATGAACACAGGGAAACATTAACAGTCTCAATAGGTAGGAAAGAAAGAAAAATTAGTTATTAATTTTTTATCTATTATAATTTTTTCAGTACCCAAGAAACCAGTTACAAGTCAAGAGCCCGGGGACTTTCATCATATGCTAATGAGTTCCATGTTTCACATGCAGACGTCGGGCAAAGATGCATGAAAACCACTGCCTAGATAGAGAAGGGAGCACCAAATAAAGGGTGTTTGGAGGATCCTCCCAGGAGGGGAAATGCATGTTGAAAGTAGACTATGGACTGAACATGATTGCCACTCAATGCCTCTTTTGCAGACCACAACACCCAAAAGGAGAGAGAGAACAAAGGGGAATGCCCTGCCACAGAGGCAGGGTGGGAGGGGGGGTGGGGGGAAATGGGCACTGGTGGAGGGATGGGCATTTGATCATTGTATGACCGAAACTCAAGCACAAAGATTTGTAAATCTACAACTGTACCTCATGGTGCTTCACTAATAAAAAAAAAAAAAAAAAAAGAAAACCACTGCCTAAAGAGTCGACTCACAGCAGTTTGAAACATGAGTCGACAAGGTTTCGAATCGACAAGAGCCTGCCACGCTGAGTGGCTGCTCCATCCCAGTCCGGCTGGCCTGGCCCTCAGAGCTCCGGGCTGGTTCCATGTTGGTGGCACCCAGCTCACAGGCAGTCAGGGCCCTCGCAGTCCCCACGAGGGGGAAACCGCCTCCCCCTGGGCCCTCCTTTCTTCAACATAACCCTGGGACCTTCCCTCGGTGCCCAGCTTGTTCCCCACAGGGGAAATTTCTTTTTTCTGGCTGTAAGCCTCAGGGAAAAGAGGTTTTAATTGTAGGGAAATGATGGTTTACCACGAATGTTCTCTCGAATGCTCTAATATGCTCCACTGAAGACACGGTCGGGGATCTTATTCACGACTATTTTCTTCTGGCCCAGAGTTGGGGTGCAGTAAGTGTGGGGTGAGTGACGAATGCATGAGGGAGGGACCTGCCTGTCATTTCATTTCTGGTCATAGCCTGTACTGGAAAATGACTAGGCAGTTTTCTAGGGGTCTCCAAGGTTCAAGATTGGCTAATCTTAGGGGATCTTGGTAACTCTTGACTAACCAGGAGATAAAATGATCGTTTCGTGCTGTGCTTATGAAACTCCTTACTAGGTGTGTGTGCTTAGATTAGAATTTCAGAGATCTTTTTGGAAATGAGAACACACTGACTGGGTACTCACCCCCTCAGCCTCTACGGATGCTGAGTCAGGTGAGGGACAGAAGGCCTTGTCGCTAGGGTACTTCTGCTTGTGTGTGTATGGTTATAAAGCAGGCTATTATCAGGAAAGAGCTTCCAGGGAAGGCTGTAACTCACCACATGTGCCAGGGCCTGCCAATATCATCTCAGACTCAACTGGCTGGTTGGCCTCCTCCCTGGTACCATGACCGGCTTCTCTACATGCCCCAGATGCTGTAGTTCAACAACTGCTTCAGAAGCTACAAACTCTTTTACAAATTCTCTCTGACCCTGTTTTTATTACTCAAGTCAGATCTCATTACATTGTTTACTGTGGGATAACACTTTTTTGTCCTTCCTGCATAGCCTCAGGTAGTTTAGGTTTATTGGGTTGCTCCCATCACAGTGCTCCCATGCCTCTGTGTTTATTTGTAACTTCTTTCTTTGTGCTCCCTTCACTTGTAAAACTTGTTTTTGTCTTCTCCTTCAGTCCTTTGCATAGTTTATTCAGAGCAATGTCCTTTTTGTATGGACACAAGACAGTAAATGCTATGCTTTTGTAATGTGGGAGTCATTTGACTCTAAGAGATATTTTCCTCCTGGGCATCTGTTCTCTCGACCTCAGCCTCAGTGGCCCTTACTTCCTAGCACCCCCAAAAGCAGGGTCCCAACGAGGGACTGGATGGAACCAGGGCAAGCAGTAAGCTATGCGCTACCCTGGCATCGAGATGGGCCTGGCCAAAGTGCCGTAATACTTAGCTGTAAGTTAAGAGCTTGGTTGTGGACAAATGCTGTCATGATCCAAAAAGTAATAACTAGATTCGGACCCTGCTAGGGCTAGGAAAGATTAATCTGGCCTGAGCGCTGTAGTCTGAGTCTGTGGCAAGATGTTCCCAGGAGAGCTGCCCTACAAGCCTCAATGTATCTCTTACTGTGCCCATACAAAAATAACTAGTATTAAGATGTTGACAGAGCTATTGGACTGAGGAAAGGAGAAAAACACCTTAAGAGATATTTTGCCCTGGGCAATCAGGAAGGGTTTTGGAATACCCCTAGGAGATGTTTCTGCCCTGGAGCCTAGCAGTCAGGAAGGGCTTTCTTATGTTGATTTGGCTACCTGATTGGGTGCAGTGTCTGCCCAAAGTGCTGGGGAGTTGGAGAGAAGAGAGAGCAGGGTGGCAAGATGGACCAGGAGAGACTAGCCAGAGGGACAGAGAGAGAAGGATGTAGAAGAATACAGGAGCAGGCATGTGGAGAGAGCGAGCCCTGGCTGTGAGATAGAGGGCAGAGAGAAGAGCAGCAGAGACAGGAAGAGACAGGAATGAGGGGTACTGGGAGACTAGAACAGGAGGCTCGGAGAGACTGGGGGCGGCGCGTGGGGAGAATGGAATAAACGGCATCTGATCAATCAAACGGCTTGTCCCTCGCTTTATCCACCATCTGCCCCATGGCCCGGGCTGCCCCGGCTGGGTGAGCAGCCCGTGCCCACTCCGAACACGGGCAGTGAGGGGGAGAGCCACCAGGGCTTCCCCCGGCCGCCCAGAGGTTTTATACAATGTACTCTAAATTTTTTTAATTTACCCAAGGAGTGATAGCACAGCGGGTAGGGTGTTTGCCTTGCACGCAGTCGACCTGGCCGACCCAGGTTCAATTCCTCCACCCCTCTCGGAGAGCCCGGCAAGCTACCACATGGCAAAGCCTGGCAAGCTCCCCGTGGCTTATTCGATATGCCAAACACAGTAACAATAAGTCTCACAATGGAGACGTTACTGGGTCCACCCAAGCAAATTGATAAACAATGGGAGGACAGTGACAGTGACCTCAAGGAGAGGCAGATACAGCAGCTGAGAGGCATTTTCAGGAAGGCGCACAAAGCTCAGGGAACCATTAATTCTATTTGATTGAAATCAACAAAGAATGGGTAGCAGGGAAACTTCTCATTGGTGGGAAAGGCGATGCTTTGTTTCAACAGATGATAGCCCCACTGAGAAACTTTGGGTCCCACTGCGTCTCTTTAGGAGTGGAATTCATCCACCTGACTTGGCGCTCAGACCACTGGAATCTCACAGCTCTCCAAATTCCAGCCCCAAGCCATTGCCAAACTGATTTCGGCCAGAAGTCACAAGGAGAGAAGAGGAGCCAGCATCAGAGGACCTACAACATGGCCTCTAGCTCCTTTAACATACCATGAGGTCACACTAAGTACATTCCTTATACCCCTCTTATACAGGTTGTGGATTGGACCACGGCGGGAACACCCCCCCCCCCCATATTTTTGAATTAACAATTCTTTACTGTTGCCCTTTCCTTGGAATTCTCAGGTGCCAGTTCCTGAGGAGGAAGGAATGACTTTTAACAGGACCGCCTTCTCAATTCCCGCTAGGGTGTCCGTTTGTCCGTTTGGAGTTCCGCTCCCCGCAGTCTCTTTCTCTACCCCCAGGCATGGAGACCAAAACCCAATGGTCAAAGCCTCAGATAACTTTATGAAAGTGTTTTTTCTCAAACATAAGCTAGGTCGCACATCTATGACTGCCAGTGAACCTGACCAGAGAGTGGTTGCACTCCCCTGCTAAAAAGCTCCTGCTCTGGTGCTCCCTGCCTGAAGTTTATCGAACTCTTAATAGCTGCTCCCCTGGGACTCATTGCTGTGACCACTACTGTGCTGTTGTAGGAACAACTCTTCAAATTTGATCCGAGGCTTCAGTTCTTCAAAACATGACTAAATGACTCTCATCACCCCGGACCTTGTGATACAACTGGACACTTCACAACAAGCACTGCTCTGGGTTCAGGGGCAGACTGACGTTTTAGTACAACAAATAAGACTTTTGTGATTGGAATTGTTCCTCTTTCTATTTCAGATTTTGTGTTTTTGTAAAAGGAAAAGGGGGAGATGTAATATAACATTGGTTTCTCCTTTCTGCCTTGCCACAGGGAGCTTAGATTTATTGGGTTACTCTCATCACAGTGCTCCCATTTCTATGTCTAACTTCTTTCTTTGTGCTCTGCTTCCCCAACCGGTCAATCACCTTTATCTCCTAATCGGACGCCATTGCACTGTATCACTGTCCTCCTGTTGTTCATCAATTTGCTCAAGCAGGCACCAGTAACATCTCCATTGGTCCCTGCAGCATGCTAGTGTAGCCCAAAGGCATCTGCTTGCTCCAGGAACACGAAGTGAGACTTGCTACTGTTTTTGGCATTTCGAATATGCTACGGATAGCTTGCCAGGCTCTGCCATGTGGGTGGGATACTCTCTATAGTCCCAAGAGGGATGGAGGAATCAAACCTGGGTCAGCCGCATGAAAGGCAAACACCCTACCCGCTCTGCTATTGCTTAGGCCAATAAAAAACAGACACTGATCTCTGGTAAACAGTGCTTCTCTCTTCCCCATAAGTCCTTTGCATAGTTAATTCAGAGCGATGTCCTTGTTGTATGGACACAGAAGACAGTTAATGCTATGCTTTCATAACTTGGGAGTTAACTGACTCCAAATAACATTGACACCAGGGCATCTGTTCCCTTGATTTAAGCCTCAGTTTCCCTTATTTCCCCAAAGCAGGGTCCCAACGAGGGACTGGATGGATCCAGGCCAAGCTGTGAGCTGCCCTGGCATCAAAACGGGCCAAGCCAAGTGCCAATAATACTTAAGAGCGTGGTCATGGACAAATTCTGTCATGATCCAAAAAGTAACAACTAGATTAGGACTCTGCTAGGGTTAGGAAAGATTAATCTGGCCTGAGCATGTAGTCTGAGATTTATAGTGAGATGTCCCCAGAAGAGGCTCTTCTTAAACTTAATGTATCTCTTACTGTGTCCATACAAAATAACTAATATTAAGCAGAATTAAGATGTTAATTCTTAACATCTCCAAGATCTCCAAGCCTACTCGGATTGGAGTCGAGCATCCTCCACCCAGATCCTCCAAATTCCAGTAGGCGGGGGTCACACCCACCAACTGGCCCCCTGGCGCCGTGTAATCCCATCAGCGGCCAAGACTCAGAGACTATAAAAACCAACTCCCGGAACCGTGTGGTCGCAGCCGCGCGACATCTTATTATGACATCTCATTCCTACTTTGACAAACTGGCAGGCTACTGAATGTAGCCTGCCCACACGGCAGAGTCTGGCAAAATCCCCGTGGCGTACCCAATATGCCAAACATCAGTAACAACGATGGGTCTCATTCTCCTAAAGAGCCTTGAATATAATCTCAGGGCTAGGATGAAGGAGAATAATCAACGAATAACAGGATGATTTGTGATTTGTGTGAAGATGTTAATTAAATGATTGTTCCACTAAAGAAAGGAGAAACACACCCTGGTTGGTATTTGCCCTTGAGCGGAGGGCTTTCATATGTTGATTGTGCTACCAGACCTGGGAGTGGTTGCTACTGCCAATGCTGGAGGTTAGTGAGAGACTAGAGAGAGACAGAGACAGCAAGTTGGAGCTCAGAGAGACAGTTGGGGAGATGAGTGAGGGAGACGGGAATGGAGAGCTTAGACTGGAACCAGCACGTGGGGAGAACAGAACAAACGTCAACTGATCACCAACCAGGCTGGCACTCATTCCCTCCTTCGTCTGCCCATGGCATCGGCCATCCCAGAAGCGGCACGAGACCACAAAACGTAGGTGGCAAAGGAGAGAGGCGGGGCTTCCTAGTCACTCTGTGGTTACACAACATCCAAACTGCAAAAATAGGGTCTGGGCAATAGCACAGCAGGTAGGACAATTGCCGTGCATGCAACCGACCCAGGTTCAATCCCCGGCATCCCATATGGTCTCCCAAGCACCACCAGGAATAATTCCTGAGTTCAGAGCCAGGAATAACTCCCCCAATCCCCCCAGCATTGCTGGGTGTGACCCAAAAAGAAAATAAACTGCAAAAATACAGCAAGAATAAAAGTTGTGTTTGTACAAGATTTAGTAAAGTGCTAAAGGATGATTTTTTCTCATCCTAATTTTGAAAGCTAGTTTTTAAATTAGATACGCAGTACAAAAGTTCATGTTTTTTTAATTTAAATGTGCTCTTTGAAGCAGTAAGCCATAAACTTCTAAATTACTATTTATAGAACTTCTCAGTTCCCATATTATTTTGAAACTAGTGGCTTGTCTCACTTCTACTACTAAATAATTTTTAAAAAATTATCTGCAATAAGTCACTGCAGCTCAACCAATCATGTAAGTTTGGGAAGATACCACCTTTAGCTGGGCTTTACAAACCAGTCTGGACGCAAACAGCACCCCCAGGGTAGCACCTCCACTGTGCTCAACAGGCACCTGTCACATACTTACTGATGAACCCCGAGGATTTCCCAGTCACGCCCAACATTCTGGGGTCCCATCAAGCTCTGCATCGTATCAGGGCATATTTCTATTAATCTGCACAGAAGTGACCAGCCCACCTGCAGTCAAGAAAGGCAAATATTTAGATTTCTTATAGGATTGGAGTAGAACACCTAAGGCCAAGCATGCATCTCCTCATTCTTAGAGGAATAAATGATTACATTGATTTTTTAAAGTGATTTCAAAATGTTTAAGAGACACAAAAGCAAACCAGATCTTTTTCCCAAAACCAGAGCAGAGGTTATGCAGAGACAGTGTAACATTTCTGAATAATGAAGGAAGAAATAGACTGTTGTCTAAACTGAAACAAAACAAAATAGTTACTAGTTTGGGGGAACACAGCAAGCTCATGGGGTGAAGATCAGCTCTGTCCAGGCCTGGTACCAAGGCGCGTCACCCACACCCTCTGCTGAGGACTGGGAGCAGCTGTGATGGATGGGGGATGAGGGCTGAGGGCTGAAGCAGCAGTGGAGAGCCAGCATTTCCTTAGGTGGGGACTACGTGGAGTCCTTGCAGGAGGGGTGGGCGTACCGGGGAGAAGGAGGAGAGTGCTCAGAGCGCTCGCTAGGTCCCAGCACACTGAGAGGGAGCTGACAGGCCTGCGAGACATCACGAATGTCCTCGCGCACTCACATTTCCAAAAGAAATGTGTTCTTAGTGGTGCATTTAAGTAGATCTTCACTAAGTCCCTTTACACAAGATGCCAACAGGAGTAAGTTGTAAAAATCTTTACTTCTGGGATAAAAAGTTGAAATGCAAATTTTTTAAAATACAATGTTTAAATTGCAAATCAGGGATTCAGTGTGCCCTACTCTTACTGGTGTATATATTTTAAAACTCTTCGATAACTTATCATCACAGAACTCTTTTTATTCTTTGTCTCTTTGTTTTTGGGTCACACCCAGTGCTGCTCATGGCGCTGTGCTCAGAGATCGATCATTGCTGGTGGGACTCAGGGATCAAACCCAAGTCAGCCACATGCAAGGCAAGTGCCCGACATGCTGTGCTATCTCTCACGCCTTTGTATTGCTCTTACTGACACGATCAGAAAAGATAAACCAAAGAAAGCCGAAAATGCAAATCTAGCAAAACCATGGAAGTCCACTGTGTGTGCAGTGACAGCATCTGAGGCCTGAGCCTGGCGGCGGTCAGCTGGAACCTCGTACAGAAGAGGGACAGGCACGGGAAGAGCTTCCAGGGCAGGAAGAAAGAAGCCTGCTTTTCTTCAAAGAGTGGAGTGGACCCTTCTAACCTGGTGTTGCCTGAGGGAGTCGGCAGGGGCAGGCAGGTGAGCTGGGAATTTCAAGGCCTTCGGAAGGCTTGAGGGGGATTCATGACAAAAACTCAACATCCCTTTACAATATCATTTCTACACCTTTTTTGCTTTAAGCATGACTTGCTCTACTCTGTCAGTCCTTCCTTTTACGTAATCTCAAAATGCCTGAAAAGGCACAATTCATGAGCTATTTTTACCTACACTTAAGTGGGACACCCTCCTCCACATAAGCTAAACAGACACTGACTAGCCAGCTGTCATAGAGACCGGTTATTTTTGTGCTTTCATAAAACACAGACTTTCCCAAGTATTTAAGAAAATAACATTCTGAATCTCCAGGTGTTCGACCATCAATGAATTCCAAGGGATGCTAACTCCTGACCACGGAGAACACCTGTTTGCTGGTGTTTCACTGGTGCTGCCCCAGTAAAACTGCTCTGAGAAAGATTCAGGAAGCTGCATAGCTATAAGCAAATACTGTGACAACGGGAAAGAATACAGAACTTAGGGATATTTGAGACACTTTCGTTTCCTCTGGTCTCACCTCAAAGGCTGAAACTATATAAACAGAAGTAAAATTGGGGAACACAGGGGAAGTGATCAGAGGGTACAACATGGGAATAGTGTAGAACTGACCAATTCTCTAATGGTGGTCACTTATTAAGGACTGATAATAAAACTTGAAAATAAAACTTTAGAATCTGGGAGGGCGGGAGTGATAGCACAGCGGGTAGGGCGTTTGTCTTGCATGCGGCCGACCTGAGTTCGATTCCCAGCATCCCATATAGTCCCCTGAGCACTGCCAGGAGTAATTTCTGAGTGCAAAGCCAGGAATAACCCCTGTGCATTGCCGGGTATGACCCAAAAAGAAAAAAAAAAAATTCAGAATCTGGAATAACATGTTGAATGAGTTCTTAAAACAAATCTTATTTTTTGGCTTACACCTGGTGATGCTCAGGGGTTACTCCTGGCAGTGCTCAGGGGACCATACGGAATGCAGGGGATTGAACCCAGGCTGGCCACATGCAAGATCAATGCCTTACCTGCTGTGCTATTGCTCCAGTCCAAATTCTTAAAACAAATCTTACTTTTCAATAGTAAATTATCTTCTTCCCTTGATCTCACGATTAAGAGTTCAAATTCAGTACTTTAAGCTAAATCAACATATAAAGCATTTTAAAACTCCTGCATTAATTATACTAGTAACAGGAAGAAATCTGAAAAAAAAAAGTTTTCTCTTCCAAGTGGAATATTAAAGGTAGGGAGAATACATCTTCCTGGCTTTGACAGGACTACTGACAATTAAAACTGAGTATGTCTAGCCAGGGAGATGCACCAGTGGGAGTGACGTGCTTGCAAGTGGAAGGCCCTGTGTCCAAGCTCCAGCACTATGTCACTCCTCCAGCCCTGGTGGGTACAGCCAGGCCCCTTTGGGTATCCACCTACAAAAAAAAAAAGTTGTTGTGCTGGCACCAAGGCACTGTGTATTGGTACTACAGCACACCGTGCTTTCTTTTTTGCACAAAACAGTGAATTCAGTTCGTGAACAGTGTGACGAAGGAGATTCTGAAGGCGGTAGAATGGGTCATGGCTTTGTCAACAGCCCTAGGATGAAACACCACCACAGAAAAGCCCTCCACAGACAAACCACGTACAGTGCTGAATCTCCTAGTTCTGTCACATTCAATTGCCAAATCGGAGGACACTGCACTCTGTTCTTGCACATGTCGTCTCTGACACCCACTGGACAAGGACACTGTCCAGACATTGTAACTAACTGGAGACACAAGCAAACCCCCAGGCCAACTATTTCTTTTAAAAGGATGAACTGGATAATTGTTGAGTAACACGATTCTAGATTCCAGGGCACCCTGGGGCCCTGCGGACCCTGTCCACCCACTATTACACTGTTCCGAGTGACACTGAAGGGGCAACTGCCAACATAGCAGGGGAGGCAGGTCCCAGCTAACCACTCAGAAGACCCCAGGTGGGGCGGGAAGAAGGGAGCAGCAGGCAGGGACTCACAGGAAATAATAGGCTGAAAATCAAAGTTCAGATGGAAAATATCTTAGCTGAAGGAAGACAAAAGCAATAATTTATCCGAAATACAAATCTCCTCACCAAAAAGAAAGAGTTAACCCTAAGACCCACTCAGAGTGGGCACAGCTGGACCCAGGAGAAAGCCTCAAGGCGAAGGTGGTGGGACCGCTTCGGGCGAGGCACAGGTTCTCAAATGCAGCTCCACCGAGCACAGCTTCAAGCCTCATTCCCAGAACCTAAACTGCTGATTCTAGCTCTCCACACCTCAAAACCTGACAGGAAACACACGCCAGGCAGGGGCTCTGCCCCGGGTGTGCACTCACCACTCATCACCCGGTTCTCCTTTCTATCTAAACAGACTGGGCATGTTGGGAGATGAGGCAGGTTCTGAAAGAGGTCTACGTTTCCAGTTTTCAAAAGTAATAAAAAATAAGAACTTAAAGTTACAGAATCACGAAACACCACTTTTTTAGTTAATGCTTTCTTTGGGTAAAGAAGTCCAGAAACCTGGCTTTAAGTTAAGATAATGAAGGCGAACCTCCAGGAGTTTCCCACTTATTTTAAGAATGCAGTTATGGTAATAGGGACTACTAATTACTCCCCTATTGTGTTCACTAAGCACAAGGGGTCTCTGCTTGTCCGACAGGGACAGGGCACCGGGCAGAGTCTTGAGGGGAAGAGAATTAATCAAGGGTCACCCCCACTTGGGCGAAGTTGAGCACTGCCCTCCATGGAAGCCACTCTTGAAGATGACCAGTTCACTGTACCTCTGGGGGTGGGTGAGGTCAACCCTCAGGAGTACCCAGAACCTAGCACCTCTGCCAAGGAGGGCAGGGTGGCAGCAAATGCTCACCTGCTGCACAGAGGCCACCTCCAGGTACGAGTCCAGGACCACCAGCAGTGGCACGTGCACAGCTTTGCCTTGAAATAATGTAGAAGCTAGAAAAAAGGGTGGAGAAGGGGCTCGGTCAGACCCAGGTAACTTGGCACCTGCCAAAGGGGCCAGAGCCCAGAGGTCCGAGGCCCAAGCTCCTGGGGAATGAGGTGAGTAGGTTGAGGTGAGCAGGGAGGTGAGGTGACGGGGGAGGTGAGTGGAAGTTGAGGTGAGTGGGGGGGGGAGTAGGTAAGTAGAAGGTGAGGTGAGGGGGTGAGGTGAGTGGGAGGTACAAGATGAATGGGATTGGGGTGGGTGGGGGTATGAGGTGAGTGGGGGTGCGTGAGTGGGGGTCTGAGGTGAGTGGGGTTGGGGTGAGTGGGGTTGGGGTGAGTGGAGTTGGGGTGAGTGGAGTTGGGGTGAGTGGAGTTGGGGTGACTGGGGTGAAGTGAGTGGGAGGTATGAGGTGAATGAGGTCGGGGTGAGGTGGGGGTGAATGAGTGGGGATATGAGGTGAGTGGGGGCGGGGTGACTGGGGTGAGTGGGGTGAGCGGGCTAGGAGGTGAGAGGGCGAGGGAGGTCGGCGGGGCACGGCCGGCCTGGGGGGGACCCCGCGGACGCGCGCACCGTGCGGGGCGTAGGTGAGCAGCAGCGCGTCCTCCAGCGTCTGCACCAGCGTGCCCACTCGCTTGCCCTCCTGCACGTTGCTCATCCGGACGATCAACTTCCGCAGGGTCTCCTGGTCCTCCTCGGCGTCCGCCTGCCCACCACTGGCCATGGTGCGCGGGAACCGGGTCCGCGGGACAAGGCTTGGGCTGGGCCGGGCCGGGCCGGGCGGGACCCGGGCAGGGCGCGGGTCCGGATGGACAGGGACGAGGGTCCGGCGGGGCAGGGCGCGGTTCGCGCGGGGCAGGGCGCGGGTCCGGCGGGCAGGGAGCGGGTCCGGCGGGACTGGGCGCGGGTCCGGCGGGACTGGGCGCGGGTCCGGCGGGACTGGGCGCGGGTCCGGCGGGACTGGGCGCGGGTCCGGCGGGGCAGGGCGCGGGTCCGGCGGGACAGGGCGCGGGTCCGGCGGGACTGGGCGCGGGTCCGGCGGGACAGGACGCGGGTCCGGCGGGGCAGGGAGCGGGTCCGGCGGGACAGGGCGCGGGTCCGGCGGGACTGGGCGCGGGTCCGGCGGGCAGGGCGCGGGTCCGGCTGGACAGGGCGCGGGTCCGGCGGGACTGGGCGCGGGTCCGGCGGGACAGGACGCGGGTCCGGCGGGACTGGGCGCGGGTCCGGCGGGACTGGGCGCGGGTCCGGCGGGACTGGGCGCGGGTCCGGCGGGACAGGACGCGGGTCCGGCGGGACTGGGCGCGGGTCCGGCGGGACTGGGCGCGGGTCCGGCGGGGCAGGGAGCGGATCCGCCGGGGCAGGGAGCGAATCCGGCGGGACTGGGCGCGGGTCCAGCGGGACAGGGCGCGGGTCCCGCAGGACAGGCCGCGGCTCGGGCGGTGCAGGCCGCGGTTCGGACGGGACAGGGCGCGGGTTCGGCGGGCAGGGCGCGGGTCGGGCCGGGCAGGCCGCGGGTCGGGCGGTGCAGGCCGCGGGTCGGGCCGGGCAGCGGGCAGGACGCGCCCCGCCCCGTTGTTTATGCTCCGCGCCCCGCCCCGTCCTCCCGCGGCCGCCGCCCAGGGCGTGGGGCCGGGGAGGGGCCGGCACCAGCACCGGGACCCGGACCAGGACCCCGGCCCAAGCCCCTCGCGGCGGCCCGGACGCCCCGGCGCGCTCCGGGGAAGGGGCGGCCGCGCGGGAGGAGCTAAAGGCGCCGCGTCCGGCCGGGAACCGCGCGGGGGCTGCTGCCACCCCCGACCCCCGCGGCCGGACCCAGGGCGGCGCGGCTGGGGACCGCGTCCCCGCGGAGAGGACAGAGTGGCCTGTCCCCGCGGAGAGGGGAGGGGTCCTGTCCCCGCGAAAAGGGGAGAGTGGCCTGTCCCCGCCGGAGAGGGGAGGGGTCCTTTCCCCGCGGAGAGGACAGAGTGGCCTGTCCCCACGGGAAGGGGGAAGTGGCCTGTCCCCGCCGGAGAGGGGAGAGTGGCCTGTCCCCGCCGGAGAGGGGAGAGTGGCCTGTTCCCGCGGAGAGGACAGAGTAGCCTGTCCCTGCCCGAGGTGGGCGTGGGGCACGGAGCAGAAAGGGGGCACAAGCTTGACCAGAGGGGTCCGCGCGTGTTCCCGTGTCTTGGAGATGGTCAGTGACCCTCAACAAATACAGAGTGCCCCATGCTGAGGACCGTGTCAGGGAGGCTTGGGCCAGCGGGGTCGGGCCCCCAGCCCACACTGACCACTGTCGCTGCCGAGCTGCACTGCCGGGAGGCTCCCACGCTGAGGTGGGCTGGTCGCAGGGCCCAGTTCCTCCGACACGGCAGATTGGGCTTCAGCGGTCGGACCCCTCCGTGGGGAAACACCCTCCCCAGGAAAAGCCAGAGCCGGGCAAGGCGCCTTGGGGCAGCGCGGGCCGAGGAGGGGGAGCAGAGGAGGGCTCATGTCCACGCGGGAGGGAAGGGTGGGCGGCTGGAGAAGGACTCGCTCCCTCGGGCCGCTGGTTTCCTGTAGCCACAGTTACTGGGGACAGGAATGTACAGTGTTATTGGAGTACTGACCACGTGCCAGTTTAAGATCAGAAATCAGTGCCTTCACTTTTTTGCTTAGTACTATTGAGAATGGCAAACTGGAAAAATCAGTGCAAATAATAATAAATAAATAAACAACATAAGAAACTGAGGAAGGAATTAAAACATCATATACCGAAGAATGGTTAAAGTACAAGTGAAGAAAGGGTGAACATCAAAGGAACAATGACAAATAAGAAAACACCCTAAAAAATCCCAGCAGTACTTACTTCCCAATAATCCCCTTAAACATTAACAGCCTAGGCAGAGTGATAGTACCACAGGCATGGGATTCGCCTTGCACACAGCCACCCTGGGTTCCATCCCCTGCACACCTGTGGTGCCCTCCAGGAGTGATCCCTGTAAACTGGGTGTAGCCCAAAATCAAAAAAATTAATAGTCTGACGTCACCAATTAAAAGGCATGCAAGTGAACTGGAGAGACAGTACAGGCCTAAGGTGCTTGTTTTGTATATGGCTAAGGTAAAGGTAAAGGTAAAGGCCCTCCCGTTGATCGTCGATTTGCTCGAGCGGGCCCAGTAACGTCTCCATTGGAGACTTTGTTGTTACTGTGTCTGGCATATCGAATACTCTCGGTAGCTTGCCGGGCTCTCCGAGAGGGGCGGAGGAATCGAACTCGGGTCGGCCATGTTGGCCGCTTGTAAGGCGAACGCCCTACCCGCTGTGCTATATGGCTAACCCTAGTTTAATCACCAACAGCACATCTGAGCATGACCAGGAGTGATCCCTGAGCACAGAACCAAGAAATAAGCCCTGACCACCACGGGTGTGGCCCAAACACCCAAACTAGAACAGACAAAAGACATACAGGAGTCAAATGGATCAACAAACATTATCCAACTCTACTACATTCAGGAACTGCATATATGTATTCAAGATAGATGCAGGCTCAAAATGGAAGGTTGGTAGCAATCCCATAAGCAACCGGTGATTTTAGAAAAAGCAGGTGCCACTACGTTTGTTTCAGACAATGGGTTTCCAGTTCCAGGAGGTGGATAGAGACAGCCAGGGTGAAGCCCAGTGATAGGACGCGAGCCATCTCCATGAAGCCCTGGGTCTGTGCCCTGTGAGACACGCACAAAGTGGATGGACTCGGTGTGTGTAGTAATGGTGATTAATGTCAACACAAGATTTTAAATATTTTTACACCAAATGAAGGAGCACTAAAATGCACTAAAAATCAAAAAGTGACATAACAGTAGTACATTAATAGAAGCGGATTTTATTCTATTTTATTTTTTATGTAGGAGTACTGCTATTCATTCAGCCACTGATCAGCTGACTGAATTGGGCATGAACTCCATTAGAAGGGGATTTTAATACTTCTCATACAACCATAGCACTGTAGCACTGTCCTCCCGTTCATCGATTTGCTCGAGCAGGCCCAGTAACGTCTCCATTGTGAGACTTGTTGTTACTGTTTTTGGCATATCGAATATGCCACGGGGAGCTTGCCAGGCTCTGTTGTGCGGGCGGGATACTCTCGATAGCTTGCCAGGGTCTCCAAGAGGAATGAAGAATTGAACCCAGGTCAGCCAACATGCAAGGCAAACGCCCTACCCGCTGTGCTATCGCTCCAGCCCATGCAACCATGAGAAGATCAATTAAACAACATAAATGAAGACATAACAGTTCTAAATAATAATTAGAACATATGTATTTAATTTGAGGCTCCCAGAACCATGCCATCAGACTCCGCTCCAGGCTGTGGGGCGGGTAAGAGCCCTCCTCACCCCAAAGGACCCAGCCCTGGCAGCCGAACTCCACTACCCAACCACCGCCACGCTCCAGGCCGTTTTCCGGACATATTACAAGACACATTATAAGACACTTCCTGCCCAATTTCCACAATTACTACACCATATCTGGTGGAGTTCAAACAGTAGGCAACAGCTCATAAAGAAAAATATATAAATATGTGCCTCTTGGAGAGCCCGGCAAGCTACTGAGAGTATCCTGCCTGCATGAGCAGAGCCTGGCAAGCTCCCCGTGGCGTATTCGATATGCCAAATACAGTAACAACAACAGGTCTCATTCCCCTGACCCTGAGTCTCCAATCATTGGGAAAAGACGAGTAAGAAGAGGCTGCTAAAATCTCAGGACTGGGAGGAATAGAGACATTACTGGTGCCTGCTTGAGTAATTCGACAGTCAACGGCATGACAGTGATACAGTGAAACATATTTAACATACATGTTTCAAACATTTTACCCTGAAAATCAGAATTTACATTTTTTCCAAGTGCACATGAAATTTTTTTCCAGGGTACACCATAAATCTGGACACAAAACAAGTAATAACACACTAACAAAGTTTACAATCATGCCAAGAATGTTTTCAGATTACAGTGCTACAAAATTAGAAGTAAATCACAAAAAAAAAGACTATTGAATAAGTCTCAAGCAAGTGGAACCAATATGTGCTCCAGTAGCCACTGCATCAATGATGAAAGTAAAAGAAATTTAATTCTTTTAGAACTTTAAAGAAGATCTTTAAACTTCTAGAGACAAATGAAAATGAAAACATCAGAAACTATAGGAGAACCTATAAGAGCAAAGGTGGTGCTGGCAGGAAAGTTAATAGTGATTCAAGCCTACAAAATAAAGAAGAGTCACTCACACAGACACAAACACACACACACACACACACACACACACACACACACACAAATACACCCCACATCGCAATTTAGCCTACAGCTAAAGCAATGGGAAATGAACAAAAAAAACCCCCAAAATTCCAGAGGCAGGGTGGGGTGGGGGGGATGGGGGTGGGAGGGATATTATCCATGGTGGTGGAAAATGGGCACTGGTGGAGGGATGGGTATTTGATCATTGTATAATCGAAACCCAAGCACAAAAAAATTGTAAATCTACAACTGTACCTCATGGTGTTTCACTAATAAAAATTAAAAAATAAAAAAAAAAACCCAAAATTTAATAGGTGAAAATAAATGGAATAGAAGCCCCCCAATAACATGAAATACAAAAGATCAATGAAAGCAGGAACTGACCTTACAAAAAGACCAATAAATCTTAAAACAGTAAATCAATAAATCATGACCAGGTATATAAATAGAGAAAAACTAACAGAAGTACAAGAGGAAAAATAATGACAAATGCGGTAGGGTTACAAAGAATTATAAAAGGTCACTACTAACAACCGACCCGAGTTCGATTCCTCCGCCACTCTCGGAGAGCCCGGCAAGCTACCGAGAGTATTGGATATGCCAGACACAGTAACAACAAAGTCTCCAATGGAGACGTTACTGGGCCCGCTCGAGCAAATCGACGATCAACGGGAGGGCCTTTACCTTTACCTTTACCTTTACTAACAAGGGTTTGCCAATAAATTCAATAACCTAAAGGAAATGAAAATAGTTTTAGATAAATACAACCCACCAAGAAAAATAAATGAAAACCATGAAAAGACTGATAGCTAGTATGGAAATTGAAACCGTGATCCAAGAGTGTGTCCTGGGCCTGAGGATTTCCTGTGAACTTCACTAAGCCTTCAAAGGAGAACTTGAGCCTGCTCTTTTCAGACTGCTCTAAGAAGAAATACTTTCAAATACATTTTATGAGGACAACATAACCTGATACAACCAAAACAAGACAAGAAGATCATGAAAAAGCTCATTGCAAACCAATAACCATAGACATAGATGCAAAAATCTTAACTTGGTACAATAAATTGATTCAATAATGCATCAAAAAGAACACCAAATTGGCGGGGGGAGGGGTTATTCCAACATGCAAGGATGGTTAAACATGCAAATTAGTATGTTACACTAAATTTAAGAAGCATAGCACTGTAGCACTGTCCTCCCGTTGTTCATCAATTTGCTCGAGCGGGCCCAGTAAGGTCTCCATTGTGAGACTTGTTGTTACTGTGTTTGGCATATCAAATATGTCATGGGTAGCTTGCCAGGCTTTGCTGTGCGGGCGAGATACTCTCTGTAGCTAGCCGGGCACTCTGAGAGGGGTCGAGGAATCGAACTCGGATCATAAAATGGGGATGGAAGGAACATAGATTAGTAAAGGCTATCTACTCTAGACTTATAGCTAATATTACATCAAATATTGAAAACCTGATTTTTTTAAGAGTACGATAAAGGTTTTTCATAACCACTTCTATTAAAATTAGGATTAGAGGTCTTAGCCTGGGCAATTAAGATAATAAGAAATAAAAGGAATCCAGATCACAAAGAGTGAAATTCCATTAATCACAGGTGTTGTGATCATCAAAGAAGCCCCAAAGACTCTGTGTAAAAGCTATGAGAAACAGGGGTGAGGGGGAGGGTGGAGCCACCACCAGGTCAACCTGTTCCTGTGGCCAAGTGCATCAGCAGCCTGATGGTGCCTTCAGGCTCCCAGATAGCCCAAAATTGCCGCTGTGTATCTGACTGGACCTCAACAACTCAAGAAAAAGTTTCCTGAGATATTAAATGGCCAAAAGTTAGGTCTATGGGAGCCATGCTCACAAAACATCTCCTGCTCTGGTGTACAAGCTCGTTTATTGCCTTGACACAGAGACCCATAAATAAATCTAGAAAGAGATCAAAAGCTGCAGTTAATCTCTGACCCACACAAGGCTGAACAGACTGGGGTAAATCAATACCGGGAGTCGGCAGTTTGGGTGGGGGCAGGGGATGTAGGTGTGGGCAGGGGGTGGGTGTTGGTCAGTCTGGTGCCCGCCCAAGCAGAGCCTGTGGCAGTTGCTTGCTTCTACAATCCCAAATCGCCACCATGCCCTCAGCTGGAGTTCACCATCTTTGGACGAACCTCACTGAGAAATTAGTGATATGCTGAAGATTTGTATATGAGGATTTTGTGACTGAAATATCCAGGCTTTCTCAGAGTTGGGATGAACTACCTACCCAGATCCTCCATCTTCCAGTAGGCAGGGGTCAAACCCACAAACTGCCCTCCAGCACCGTGTAATCCCGTCAAGACCCATAGACTATAAAACCCAGCTCCCAGAAGAGAACAGCGCAGAGTCTCCTGCCCCCATGCCTGGCTGTCCTCACCAGGGTCCCTTGGAGGGGGGCGGGTTGAGTTATCCTCCCCGCCCTGAGAAGAGCCCCAGCAGCTGAAGACCTCCAGAACCAGCCACAACCATGCTGAGACCACTCTCCACACGCACAAAGGTATCGGCGGAAGAACAAAGGCATGCGGGTCCTGGGGCTGAGATCTCCAAGCCTGCTCGGATCGGGGCTGAGCATCCTCTACTCAGATCCTCCATCTTCCAATAGGCAGGGATCACACCCACCAACTGCCCCCTGGCACCGTGTAATCCCATCAACAGCCAAGACCCAGCATTTGCAGCCGTGCAACATCTTATTATCTCATTCTTGCTTTGGACAACCTGGTAGGCTACCGAATATAACCTGCCCACATGGCAGAGTCTGGCAAACTCCCCGTGGCATACCCGATATGCCAAATACCAGTAACAATGATGGGTCTCATTCTCCTAACCCTGAAAGAGCCTTGAATATGGCACTTTTTAAAATCTCAGGGCTAGGACGAAGGAGACGTTACTGGTGCCTGCTCAAGGCAATTGACGAACAACAGGATGATCGTGATCGTGATCTACTCTCACTTCCTGGAAGCACTGGCAGTCACCCCCAACTCCTATGCCACCATGTAAGCTCTTCTACCAGTCTTGCTTCAGAGACCCATAAATAAATCTCAAAAGAGATCAAAAGATGCGGTTAATGTCAGATCCACACAAGCCTGCACAGACAGATAAATTAGAGGGGGGACAGGTCAGCTTGGTGCCCACCCATGCAGAGACCCTAGCAGCTGCTTGTTTCCACAATCCAAAATCACTTCCATGCCCCCAGTCGAACTTCACCATCTCAGACAGACCTCACTGAGATATAATCTGCTGAAAATGCGGGTTTTGTGACTGAAATCTCCAGGCTTTCTCAGGGTCGCATGGGCTACTTCCCCACCCCTACCACTACTGCCAGAGACCTCAGCAGTCACATCCACACCCCAAAGCTGGCACCCAACTAAAAAAGCTACTCCAGCCTTACCTTCCCGATAAAAGTACTGAATGCTCTGAACATACATGGTGACCTTTTAGTACCTGTATGGAAAACCATAATGCGTACACAGAGAAAGAGAAGAAAAGTGTCTGCCACAGAGGCAGGCTGGGGGAAGCAGTGTTGGGGGATGGTGGGAGGGAAATGGGGGACATTGGTGATGGGAACTTTGCATTCAGACAGGTAGCAGGTGAAGAGCCGAGCCAGTGTACTGATGAGTACTGATGGCAGGTTTTTCAGCACCTTGCCTGGGCCAGGTGCTATTCATTTCTTCACCGACGAAATGGCATATCGGATTTCAGAAGGGAGAACATTGGGAATGACATATCTATCATGCAGAATTTGGTATGTGGGCAGGTGGACGTGGCTATCAAAGAGATCTGCATAAAAGTCATGGATAATCTTCTCCATTGCCCTTCTGGAAGATGTGATAGATCCATCAGGATGTTGGAGGGCAGTCATCTTGGTCTTGTAGTTGGCGAAGGACAGGCGGGCATTATGAATGCTTTTCCTGGCTCTGCTGCATCTACCAGCACTGCTGCTCTTCTCTCTTTGAGGTCTTCCTTTATCATTTCTCAGCACTGCTTTGTGAGCTCAGACGTTCTATTGCGGTTGCCTGAGGCATGTGCCAAGCCACATTGGCGAATAAGCTCAAGAGTTTTCAAAGACAGGCATTTTTTGTGGCTATCTCTCTCTTGGCGTTCCTTGCACAATCATGGAGGTGCTGAACCAGTCGAACGTATTCCTCATCAATGTTGTCAACAACGGCATATTCCCATGTTGCCGTAATAGTGCCAAAGAGCTCCCAGTTGGTGGTCATTCTGGGAGTTCTCTTCTTAAACTTTGCAGCCCTTTCTCCCTGCTCCATGAAGTAAAATTTTGTACAAAGGAGACGATGGTCCAATCCCATTTGGAATTTTGGGACAACAGCGACATTGGTCAGGCAAAACCGTCGATTGAATATGATGTGGTCAATTTCATTGTGGAACTGTCCACCAGGAGACTCCCATGTCCAACATTTAGATTCGGCCTTCTGGAACTGTGAGTTACCATGCATGGTCTTGGACGACATGATGAACTCAGACAGTCTCTCACCCTGTTAGTTCCATTCTAGGTCATGGATTCCGATGTGGAGTCAACATGACGAATGACCTGGCACCTGAGTTGCGCAGGAAGAAGAGAGTGGCTTGGAATGCCTTCAAGAGCATCAAAGAAATAGCTAAGAGGAGAAAGAACCTCTGGCTCCCGGCACATCTCTTCAATTCCACTGTTCTTCCTGCATTAACATATGCCTCAGAGACCTGGGCCCTACAAAAGCAGGATGAGAACGCTATTCAGGTCTCCCAAAGAGGAATCAAAAGAGCTAGGCTTGGAGTATCACGTTTCACTCAAATGAGAGAAAGAATCCAGAGTTTCGACTTCAGTTGACAGTCAGGAATCAGGGATGCTGTCTTGTTTTCCAAAGCGTCGAAAATCAGATGGGCTGGACATGTAATGAGATTTGGAGATGACCACTGGACGAGAGCCGTTACAGACTAAATTCCATGGGACGTCAAAAGACCACATGACCACCCACCTACGAGATGGTCAGACTTCTTCGTGAAGACCCTGAACAATTGGTTTGAGGCTCTTTGTGTTCCTAGAAGGAGCAGATGCCATTGGGCTATACTAGCATGCAACAGGGACAAATGAACACATTACTGGCACCCGCTCAAGCAAATAGATGAGTAACAGGATGTCAAGTGATCAAGTGATCAAGTGGTGATGAAAAATGTACAGTGGTGAAAGGATGTGTTTTGGATCATTGTATCACTAAAACCCAATCATGACCAGCTTTGTAATGGCCTATCTCATAGATCACGATCACGACCATCCTGTTATTCATCGATTGCCTCGAGCAGGCCCCAGTAACGTCTCCTTCGTCCTAGCCCTGGGATTTTTTTTAAAAAGTGCCATATTCAAGGCTCTTTCAGAGTTAGGAGAATAAGACCCTTCATTGTTACTGGTATTTGGCATATTGTGTACGCCACGGGGAGTTTGCCAGACTCTGCCGTGTGGGCAGGCTACATTCGGTAGCTTGCCAGTTTGTCCAAAGTAGGAATGAGATGATAAGATATCGCACGGCCGCGAAAGCAGCGGCGCGCTTCCGGGAGCTGGATTTTATAGTCTCTGAGTCTTGGCTGTTGATGGGATTACACAGCGCCAGGGGGCCAGTTGGTGGGTGTGAGCCCCACCTACTGGAATTTGGAGGATCTGGGTGGAGGATGCTCGGCCCCGATCCTAGTAGGCTTGGAGATGTCAGCCCCAGGACCCACGTGCCTTTGTTCCCCTGCCGGTACCTTCATGTGTGCGGAGAGTGGTCTCAGCATGGTGGTGGCTGGTTCTGGAGGTCTTCGGCTGCCTGAGCCCTGATTGGGGCGGGGAGGAAAACTCAACCCACTCCCCTCCAAGGGGCCCCAGCGAGGACAGCCAGGTGCCTGGCTTTCTATCATAGAGAAATGTTTTTCTCTCCTGCAATTCTGGATATCTCATAGATATTCAATGAAAATTTCAAAATAAACCAAAAAAGCTATGAGAAACAGCAAGTACAACAAAGTGTCTGGCTGCAAAATCACTTGATCACTTGATCACTTGACTTCCCGTTAATCGTCGATTTGCTCGAGGGGGCGCCAGTAACGTCTCCATTTGTCCCTGTCGCGTGCTAGTGTAGCCCAATGGCATCTGTTCCTTCTAGGAATACGAAGAGCCTCAAACTGATCGTTCATGATCTTGATGAAGAAGTCTGACCATCTGGTAGGTGGGCGGCCACGCGGTCTTTTGACATCCCGTGGAATCCAGTCAGTAATGGCTTTAGTTCAGTGGTCATCTCTAAATCTCATTACGTGACCAGCCCAAAATCAATATACAAAAGTATATTGCATTCCATTATGCGAACGATAATATAGAAAGCAACATAATTTATAGTCACATCAAAAAATCAGACGCCAGTGGGGTTAAAGCTCAGTAGTAGAACATTTGGCTTCAAAAATAAAAATACCAGGCCAGAGAGGCTCCTGGGCACAGCTTATGGTCCCCGAGTCCCTGGAGGAGTCATCCCTGAGCTCAGAACCAGTAGTAAGCCCGGAGGACACCAGATGTGGCCCAAACCTCTCTACTCCCAAAATACCTGGGAAACAAATACCTAGGAAAAAGTTTAGCAAAGGAGGTGAAAGATTCTTATAAAGAAAACACCAAGACCCTATTAAAAGAAATAGAGCAAGATACCAGAAAAGACATTTAATCAGTGATAGTATGGTGGGGAAGATACCTGTCTTGCATGCAGCTGGCCTGGGTTTGACCCCCATCACCTGATATGGTCCCCTGAGCACCACCAAGAATGATCCTGAGCACAGAGACAGACGTAAGTCCCAAGCAGCACTGTGGCCCCACAACAAAAAACAAACAAAAAGACATTTTATGTGCATGATAGGAAGAACTGAGAGAGCGAAAAATTTCATTTTAGCAAAAGCAAAATATAAGTTTAATTCAATCCCAGCCAAAACTTCAATTACATATTTTTAGAAAATAGAACAAAAACACCAAGGTTTTTAGGAAATAATAAAAGACCTTAAATAATTAAGGGAGTTCTGTAGAGGAAAAAGAAAAATGGAGACAACATGTTACCAACTTCAAAGTAAATTACAAAGTGACAGCAATTAAAACTCTATGGAAGAAAAATAAAAATAGATACCTGGACCAATGAAAAATATTCAAAACCCAGAAACAAGCCCACTGAAACATGAATAAATATTTATTGATATTTAATTTATATAAAGGATTCTGTCATACAATGATGAGAAAGTCTTTCTTTTTTTTTTCCCAACTGGAGGAAAGCCTCCAAGTATCTTTTTATTTTTATTTTTATTAGTGAGACATCTTGAGGTACAGTTGTAGACTTACAAATTTTTGTGCTTGGGTTTCAATTATACAATGATCAAATACCCATCCCTCAACCAGTGCCCATTTCCCACCACCACGGATCCCAGTATCCCTCCCCCCCCCCATCTCCCTCATCCCACCCTGCCTCTGTGGCAGGGCATTCCCTTTTGTTCTCTCTCTCTCTTATTGGGTGTTGTGCTTTGCAAAAGAGACAATGGGCGACAATCATGTTTGGTCTATAGTCTACTTTCAGCATGCTTCTCCCACCCTGGGAGGATCCTCCCAACGCCCTTTATTTGGTGCTCCCTTCTCTATCTGAGCTCCCTTTTCCCCCTAGCATGTGTGGCTGGCCTCCAAGCCATGGAGTAAAATTCCTGGTACTAATCTCGGCCATTCTTGTGTGTTAGTCTCCTATTTTGTTACTTTATCTTCCCCAGATGAATGCAATCTTTCTATGTCTATCCCTTTCTTTCTGAGTCATTTCGCTTAACATGATACTTTCCATGTAGTGCCACTTGTATGTAAATTTCATGACTTAGTCTTTTCTAACAGCTACATAGTACTTCATTGTGTGAATGCACCAAAGTTTCTTTAACCAGTCATCTGTTCTCGGGCACTCAGGTTTTTTCCAGATTCTGGCTATTGTAAAGAGTGCTGCAATGAACAGACAAGTGCAGATGTCACTTTGACTATACTTTTTTGCCTCTCTGGGATATATTCCCAGGAGTGGTATTGCTGGGCCAAATGGGAGCTCAATTTCTAATTTTTTGAGAATCGTCCATACTGTTTTCCAAAAAGGCTGAACCAGTCGGCATTCCCACCAGCAGTGAAGGAGGGTCCCTTTCTTGCCACATCCGGCCAGCACCGGTTGCTTTTGTTCTTGTGCGTATGGACCAGTCAGTCTCTGTGGTATGAAATGATATCTCATTGTGGTTTTGATTTGCATCTCCCTGATGATTAATGATATAGAGCATTTTCTCATGTGCCTTTTAGCCATTCGGATTTCTTCTTTGAGAAAGTTTCCATTCATTTCATCGCCCCATTTTTTGATAGGGTTGGATGTTTTCTTCTTGTGGAGTTCAACCAGCACTTTGTATATCCTTGATATCA